AACAACAAGACAATTCTAGCCTAATTTGTTTAAGAAAGAACTTAGAATGATTTTGTTGTTTGCAAATTCATTTGAAAATTGAGATTTTACACGTTTAATTGGAGCATAGTGACCAGGTTTAATGATCGAGATCATAGACGTCTTGTGAGAAATTGTCCCAGGGAATGAAATGTGGCATTATTTATTTTAGTCCGACAATAAATTCATTAACAAATTGTGGGTAGGTGAAAACATCGATCGCTCAGTTGTTGCTCGACGAAGCAGTGGCGTTAAAAGAGATATGTACGCTCTATTTTGACAGTGAAGGAATAGTTGCCCATGTCGCTGAGGGGAGAACTGACACTGGATCATTTTAATGTGACCATGTTTCCTTGCTGTAGTTAATTACTACATCACAAAGCACTCAAGGCATTGAGTGCGCAGATCACATTACTCGATGATAATGCACCTGCACACCGGTCAGTCTTGGTTCAAGCTTATTAAGAGGAGTTGTGAATTGAGGTTTTGCTACATCACTCTTTTAGTTCTTACCTCTCTCCTTGTGAAATTTGTATAAATTCATTAATCAAATCTTGCCTTTTCGGTAAACCGCTTCGAAACCCAAAGTGCCTTCGGAAGTGCTCTCTAATAGTATACCCAAGAACAGTTCAAAACTGCTTTTTCGGAATGAATGACTCTACTTATTATTTTTCGCCTGTATAACGTATCTATAAAAAAGCGTTTCCGATGCCACTGATTAAAATATGCCCATCGTTTTAGATTTTTATGATTTTCCGAAGTTTATGTGGAATGAGTATACCTGTGTGTTCCTTTGGGTTAACGTCCTATTATTTCTAAGTCTTGTGATTCCTCTTCAATTTTGTTATTGTTAGTAAGTTAGAAAACATTCTACAATATTCTACAACATTTGTCATTTGCTGCGTATAAATAATATATAATTTTAGAAACTTATAAAAAAAGAACTTCATAATAAATGTATGTAATAAACCATTTAAATTTCATCAGGACCATACATTAGATTCTCAAGGTTGAAAACTTATTTCACTGTTTAAAACTTCCAATATGATGATTGGAACCAGACGGTTAAAACACGATAAAAGATTTTTGAAAATCTACAGGTATAAATGGATCAAGTACTGTAGATAATCCGTTATTAGAACTTTAAAATATCGATTTTATAAAACATTTTTGAAATATTAGATATCACAGAATTTTCTGACCATTCCTCGTTAGAGTTCCCTTCTGAGGCACAGAAAGGTAATACTTATCACTTTAACACATTATATAGTACAATAAATGATACTGCACAAACTACCACACAGATTTATTATAACACACAAAATAAAACGGAACAATAATAAAAAAAATCACAATGCACCATCTACAACCTATGAATTCCAAATTACAGTTCATGCCCAGAACCGTAGTAAAAGCAAAGGACCAGATCAGCTACCGGCAAAATTGTTGAAATATGTATTAAAACAACCCATTTGTTTGAAAACAACCCAGCACCCATAGTGTTACCGTATGGGCGATTTCATCTCATTAGGATGCGCCACTGAATCCCTGTAGAAGTCCCCAGTTGGTCATACAAAATTATGTTAAAACAAATTGCTTCTACCGTCTGGGACTTTTTTATCACAAAAGGCGTGTAAGCTTCCTTGATGCAACTGATCGTCAGTCAGCCGAGTTTGATTGAAGAAATGTTTTAGAAGTGGCAGAAAAGTTCTGAATGCAATCACAGAATAAAATCGTCCGCGTCTATTATAAATATGAGCACCGATACGAAGTTACCTTGTAAATGCGCCTTTAATTTGCACTTTCCATTACGGTCCATGAACCGAGCCTGCAACATTTTCAATTTTGTCTTGTTATGCTTTCTCTCTATTATGTGGTATTTTTAAATGTAAAACAGAATGTTCTCTAAGCTCTAAAAACGGCCTGCAAGAAATTGGTACACATCAGACCAACGGTCATTTATAAAGTTTGTGCATATATACGACTGGACAATCAGATACCTTAAAACATTATGAATGATTTGCATACTTGGTTGTCTACCAACTTAACATTAATTTATTATTTGTGAATCTTTGTTTCCTACCACAGGAGTTAGAAACTGTTCGAACCACAAAGTTACATACTTCCAGTGATTTATATGTCTTACGTTAAGTAAACATCTATTTCTCGTCATAGATTAAACTTATCTAGCGCTGAAGTAGTGCCGCGTATTTGCTATGTGATTTGACCAGTTATACGTTTTTTAATTAATTACAAAATTATTCAAGATACATATTCTTCTGACCAGTGGCGTATGTTTAAAACGAATCTTTATCTCGCAGAAAAAACCCAAGTAGAGTTAGTGCACACGGTAATTAAGATAGATTTTGGTTTTGTTATATGAACTTATTGTTGGGGAAATACGTATGATGATGGAATATCCAAAACGATTGTCTAAAAATAGCCGGGAAACCGCAACCCTACGTCGTAGTGACATTTTGTTATATTCTCATTACACTTTACAACTGAACATGTATATGCATAATCTTTTAGATGCTTTTCATTTATCTATGTTATTTGAATGTGCCACAATGGGAAAAGGCATATTTACATGTTGCCGACACAAGCAGTAAAATTCTAGAGTGGATTTCAAAACATTTCAATCTTCTTCAAAGGAACATGGTATAATCTGTTAAGGTGCTAAATTATCCTGAAATTTGTATGGACAAAAACCTAAATAATGCTCATCTTTTACATTTTGTCACTCAAATAAATATGCATAATATTTATACGTTTGTTATAATTGCATTTCCGTTTATTCAACGAAAAATATACCAATGTCATGTCCACAATGAAAGAATAGGGAAAATAAGAAGAAAAGAACTTAAATGAAAAAGAAAATCCAATGTAAGTAAATCTCTGTAGCATTCCCTTCACAACACCCGAGTAAAATATTAATTTGGTTTGAGAAAAAATAAAAAATCTTCAAATAATAGGACATATTCGTTCATAAGCACTGCCCGAAAAGGTGTTATCCTAAGGTTGGGTTATTTTGTGACCCAAGGCTATAATCATAACATATTTGTTGAGTCAACTAGACAATAATATATAAGCGTGTGGGTTTGTTGTTTTTCTTAATAAAATGAGACATATTTTTATACATGAACATTAGCCTTTATAAAGCCAGTGAACCACGGGTTAGACCAAGATAAACCTGAAGGTCATTATTAATATAACTTCTGTAGAAGTCTCTCCTATTGGTGTGGTTTGTCAAATATCAAAGCTCTTGGCTTTTGTTTAGCAGTAAACATGAATAAGATATGTTAACTATTAAGGCCACATAAACTAAAAGACCATATGGTGAGGTAATTTTAACACAGAGTCATGAATTATATTTGATTTTGGAGGATCACGAACCAGTGCTTCATAATATCTCACTTTTAAGCATTCAAATTTTCCACAATAGGATTTTCTTTCTTGTGTTTTCTTTATAAGTCTATATTATCTAACTGTCCGGGGCAGGAGAACTATGATCCACGGGGCAATATTAATATTGGTTATGTTAATGTATAAAACTAAATTCTGGACATTGTGCCACACGAAAATAGTTGCAACGCTTTTAAATTGTCGGCTATTTTTACATTTATAATAATTATTATTGGAAAACAGAGTGAACAAATTATCTGAAAGTTTGCACAATAGTTATTGTATCGGTCAAAGCCTACATCAAATGGAATCTTATTCTCGAAAAATCATTTTCAGTCCCGGGATTTTCTCTGGACTGACATTTTAGACAATTTATGATATTATAATGTTCTCCTCTTAGTTCACGGTACTTAACGCTTTGAAACCAGAAAGAGAACAACAAATGGAACGTATCGAATAAAAATGTCATAAGCCATAACATATAGGTACTTTTTGCTGTATGACACAAGGAAACAACAATATATTTAGTCAAAGTTAATTTTAATAGACAAAATGTAGACCATATGTCGGCCATTTTTGAAAACATTATTTTATCATTTAAATCGCGGTAATGTTGTTACATTTCAGTTTCTTCATGTTTCAGTTAACATTTCTTCATGTTATCTTGCTTAATTTAAATTATTAAAACTATCTTTACTTTGTAACTCAAAATTTATTTTATCAACAAACAAGAACATTTAGAAAATGATGATTGTTTCAGACATACGCACAAACTTTAGGACCTATTTTTGATTTCTGCAGAAATTTGAAAAATGTTGTTCTGTTTACGTAAAAATCTAGAGATTTAAAATATTTTGCACAAAAACTTTGTTATATATTACAGTGAAATAAAGTGATGACGCGGAATTAGTGTTGTTAAGTATACAACCTATTTCGAATATTAAAAAATAAACAAGAGATGTACAACAAATAGTATCACTGTCTTTATTTATGTTCTGATCATTTTACTTTGTTCTTTCTTACTGTCTGCTTTAAATCAGTCCATTCAATCTACTTTTTAAAGAACATTTAATACCAAGCGATACAATTCCTCAATATATAGTGATAAACTGCAGACCCAATGACATTTCAAGAACTGTACCTTTTCTAAGACAGGTTATTTTCATATGAAAACGTCAGGGGGGAGAGGGGGAAGGATAACTTAAATATCTTGTAGTTGTTCGTCAATGCATTACCTGTCATCGTTCACCCTTTAGGGATTTGCAAGACAGGACACATAATAGGAAATTTCTTAGATAAATTACAATTTATGAAATGAAGATTAATGTTAACTTGAAGCAGCGCTAAACACCACTCAGTACACAATTTAATGGAATTTATGGGACACTGAGCACAGACAAAAGGAAACACGAATGTAGAGCAATTAAAGCAATTAAAGAAACTAAAGGGCGTCCTTTATATTGTTTATAATTAACCTACAAAGATACAAATAGAATGTTATAGATGCTCACATTTATTCATATCAATGCCCATACAAATATTAAGTCAAACTGAAAACAGAAATTTGATTTTTCCAGGGAGTGGTATAGATTGTACTGTGGATTGTGCATGTTGCATAGACAGAAAATGTGGAGCAGGTCATTTTTTTCAAAACGAATGTAAGCTAGGCTGTATCGATGGCTATAGTGGTGCTCGCTGTTATGAAAAATGTATACACAACTGTACAAAATGTGATAACTTTGAAGATACAGAAAACTGCACTGCGTGTTATGATGGATATTATCTTGGTCCTGCTAGAGACTGCACATCACAATGTTTACCTGGATGTAAAACATGCACGTCAGGTACCACGTGTACATCATGCAAGGAGGGATATTATAATGACAATGGTCACAAAGACTGTCGCTATCGTTACTGTTCTGAAAGTTGTAATTGTGAAAATAATCAGTGTGTGTCATGTAAGGACGGTTATTACGATACCAGTATTAATTGTTATAGCTTATGTCCAGGTAACTGTGTCAATTGTTCAGCTTATACTGATTGTGGATCGTGTAAGGATGGGTATTTTAAAGGTTACAAGAATAACAACATAAGTTTTCCTTTGTTAAACGACTGTACATACAAATGTCAAGATAACTGTATACGATGCTCATCCTATGACAGTTGCTCAGTTTGTAAATCCGGCCTCTATGGATCATATTGTAAGAAAAATTGCTCAGCTGGTTGTATAAATACTTGTCATATTTTAACTGGAAACTGTGACTGTTTTCCTAATTTCGCTGGGGAAAGATGTGATAGATGCAAAGCCGGTAAATACGGAAATATGTGTAATCAACAATGCTCTGCGGGATGTAAAGCAGACGTTTGTGATAAAGATTCCGGAGATTGCACGGACGGATGTGTTATAGATATAATCACTGGTGATAAATGCGACGTATGTTCAGCAGGTTTGTATTGACATTACTGTAATTGGTCTTGTTCAAATTAATTGTGTTTGGAAACACTGTTTGAAATTTAAATGTATAAAACATTTGATGAAGTTCGAAAGTATGAATGAGAGCAATGTCTTATTTGCAAATTAGATTTTTTTTACATAGTTTTGCGTTTTAAAAATGTTTTCCACGATCGTGTAAAAAGGATCGAATTCCAGTTGTTCTTATTGAGACAGAGGCTCTCTTAACTTACAGTCAGGTATATCCTAGTTTGTCCCTGTCCTGCCATTTATCGTTTTTAATTGGGTAAATACATTGTATTCCAGACATTTCTATACCGCTCTGAATCAACTGTTAATCACCTGACTTTGTGTTTTATGTTTTTTTTAACAAATAATTACTTCATCATTAAACATTAATTTAAATAACAAATTAATTAAAATTGAAACTTTACAATTCATTTGCCTTTGTTTGCTAATATTTGCCTTTTATTTTGCTTTTATTATTTTGCTCATTATGCTTTTGTGAATGTGAAGGACATCCTTTCTATTCAATCCTGACTTCGAACCTACAAAATTATTTATTTCTGACACTCTCAGAATTTCTTATATATTTATTGACCAACATCTAACACTAAAAACCTAAATACTGTTGACGAAATATTTAATCTGTTGTGAAGAAAACACTGTAATTAACAAGCATACACAATCATTGATATTCTTTCAGCCTTAGAACAATCAAACCAGTTACCAACAAAGACATTCGCTGCACTTGGAACAATTCTGGTTTTGTCTATAATTGGTAATATCGTACTTTTGGTGATCTTAGTTCGTCTAATACGTCGAATCAGGTACAGTGAGATTTTATACGATTACCAAATTTAAACAGGTAGCATTAATAGTATAGTTCTTCACAATTGTCATGTATCAATAATGTCTTGAAACATTATTTTAAAAGAACAAAGTGGAAAAATAAAAATCAGCATGAGGGTAAGACAAAAAATAGATAAAAGACTAGCGATGTGATAGATAACACATTAGTAAAAAATCATATGTGCCAACTTCAAATGGACTGTAGCAATGCGTCGATGATAATAAGTACTACGACATTATTGTTTATATGCGCGGCCTTGTGAGATCCCGCTTGAGGTTTTTCTATTGCATTTTTAGTTTAAATTATAAGCCTTCTCAATTCTAGAAATGGTCTGCAAGATATATGCAATAAATGACTGGTTTCGAAGTATTAAACTCCATATTTCTACTGCGTGACTAACGCATTAAGTACTATTTTTGAACATTCCGACTTATGCTTTTGTAATTTTCGTAGATTTTAAGTGTAATGTTACTTTTTTTTTATAGATTTATAAAAAATCATAAAAGTTAGCAAGAATTTGGAGACATGCTGCTTGAAATCCTACTCATTTTATCTATCAACTTCCAGATGTTTCGTATTTCATATGACCAAAAATTAAAGCATAATCAATACTTAAACAATTTCGAACAATGTAAAATGATTTTTAAACTTTGCTTTCAGGGTTTTTGATAATGACAACACGACAGAACAGCATTATGAAAACACTGGTAAATGTTTAAGTAACACAGTTAAATCTAGAATGTTTTTAAAAAGTAATCAAACATATATCATTTTCATTATCATTTACATTAGAAATAATACGTCGTGAATTGTTTTATTGTGAAATTATTTGCATTCTGCAGTGAAATAATTACTCGTTTCAGGTATCAAACTGGAAATAGGACATTCGGTAAATGTTATTAACACTTCCAGCCAAGCAATAGGTATGATATGTATATCTATTGTTTCTTTCTTGATTATCACTCCCGTGAACTAAACATAGAGGATTAAAATACGTCATATTATGATATGTATTAATAATCATTTTATATCATGCTCTTTACTGATTTAAATAATTGTTGTTATGTTGTTATTTAGACATGTGTATTGAAGTGATTTGATATAAAAGATTGGTTTATACCGTTATGTTTTCAGCTTCTGACAGAGATAGTTTTGGAAAGGCGGATGATTATGAGCCAGTAACTGTTGGAAGTATTAGAGATAGTTAGATTAATCTTAACATTAAACATTGATATTATATGTACATTATCTGTATGGACTTGATATTTAAGAGTAGAGCAATTATTGTATAGCTTAATAATAATCTCTGTTCCCGAGAGTAATACCAATGATTATTTTAGTCGTACTTTAAGTAGCAGAAGATACATATGGACATTTCCGACCACATCATTGATTGTATTAATGAATGATTTATACAAAAATTTGATATGACATTTCAATCGAATATAAAGCAGTTATCCATGCTATAATTCCTCATATTCAACTTTGTTTTATTTGCCTTTATTTTATGATAATTTCTAATAAGCAACTGTAAACAAAAACGGGTAAGCAATTAAAACAAATAACAATACAATTAAAATATTCTTCAAATGAAGGTATTTTAAATTAATTAAAATGAATGTAATATAGGTTACGTTGTCAAAAGTACGTTTGCAATTTAAGTAAATCATATGTTACCAATGGTTTGCACACCAAATGTACCATTAACATTTCACTATGTTTTTGTAAACAAAATACAATTGTGTTCAATACTAAGGACTTTAGCAATGCGAAATTAGCCATTTTGTCATATGAATCGTATATTGTAGGCAAATTAATTTCTCAGAAAATGTTTCTATAGCTTTTGTTGTACATGACAACATGATTTTTCTATTTTCTTTTATCATTTTGTATATCAAATCATTTTTTTTATAATAAATTATATTTCTTGGGCAGGAATTTTATTCCTAGTCATCGACATGAGTACCAGTACTGAAAATGTACATTACTAAACATCTACTTTTTGTAAAAATAATTGTTTAGCTTAAATGTGAAAACTTTTATAATGTTTCACCTTGGATAGACATTTTTATATATAGTTTTGATAATAAAATGGTTAATGTATAATAAATTTAATCCCACTATTTGTTTATTTTATCATATTTTGTTATATACTTTTTTCCTTTATTACCAATAATGTTTGTCTGGAAACATTTTATTGTGCACCGATAAGACTGGAAACTGGGAGGCCTGAAAATCTGTCAGTACATGAAGGAACTTGTTTTTACTCTATTGATATGGTAGAAGGTGAGATATGTGCTATGCTATATTGTACGCTCTCTATATATACAATTCAGACCGCCAAATGAAATGCTTTATAAATAGTCTTTAAGATACATTAGTAGAAATATGTAGAAAAATGAATCACAGCAGCATTCTCAATAAAGCAAGCTGTGTATTATATATATGTAAATATATTTTTTGTTCTATTTACCTAGGTAATCTTTGCTTACACGTCTCATATTAATAATATCTGTCATATTTTGCGGTTCGGATCGGAATATCCGTCCCGAGGTGACCCGCCCATTGGGCGGTAACGAGGCTTGCCGAGTTACCGCCCATGGGCGGGTGACCGAGGGACGGATATTCCGATCCGAATCGCAAACATATGTCAGATATTTTTTCTTGCATATTCTACCATATTCCATTATATTTTAAATTATTTATCTTTATTTTCAATGAAAATTTATATCATTACAACCGTAACTACTTTCATTCAACAGCGTATGAATTACAAAATCATTCATAACGGTAAAATGACGTCATCTTTATCGTGCCATTGTACAGCACGCGACTCATCTGGAACCCCCCATGCCAGATGAAATTTCCGGCATGGGTAAAACTAACGGAAACGCCAGTCTGATATGCAAGAAATAGAGCATATTTGTTTATTTGTGTGTAAGATGAAATGTATTTCATCGAGTGAACTTAAAAGACATTATTCTCACGAGTAGCTTAACCACGAGTAAGAATACTGTTTTTGAAGATCACGAGATGAAATAAGATTTCACCTTACACAACAAACAAACACATTTTCTATTTATCTTATGCTTTAAACAAGTTTGAATGAAATTTTCTTAATATTAACGTTAATATTAAAATCTGTTTTCCCCACTGGTAGCCTCCATTTCAGATGAATGAGATAAAAGAAGCATTGAGCTAAAATAAAATTTCGAAAATCAACGCAAAATGGCGATGATATAAGCTATAACTTTAAACAAAAAATATGAATTATCGCTTGTTTCAATCATTCAAAAACATAAGAAAAACACCAGGCCGAACTTAATTCTGTTATATACACTATAAAGCGGAAGGATATAATTTATTATTAGTCTATTTTGAAAGGCTGCCTTCGGGTAGATGACTGTGATTGCTTTTATATATTTTTACATTTATTGCTCGTAGAATACTTAAATATGCCCAAATGTCATCAAAAGCAGTTTTGAATGATAAAGTAAGAGTAATTAAAAGACTGTTGTGAATTAAATCAAAACGTAGAGACGAATTTGGTTACGGGTTACTTGAATGAATTGAAGTAAGTTTAATCTTTTTGATAACGATTTAGATTTAATTTGTTTAGGAAATAGATATAAATTCTGAGTGCATTAGTGTAGAATAATGCACGGTTTGTGTTCAAATGCGAAGTTATATAATCACGAAGGCCGATAGGCCTGGTGATTAATTACAAAGCATTTGAACGAAAAACGTGCATTATTATACAATAATGCACGAAGGATTAATATCTATTTCCATTCTAACACGTCAAGAAAAATATAATTATTATTTTAAATTTGGACTTTATGAACGGTGGTTAAATTTGTTTTCTCCTCAAAGTTTCCAATAGAAACGTTCTTTAAAGGCTGTTCCAGTGGGTTGAAAAAATTGTCGTTAAATCTACCGTGTGTAGAAACATTTTGTGAATAACGAATTTTGAAAACGTTGATAAAACTTTGTTTGTTTATTTTATTTCACTCTATACTTTTTCAAGCGAAATACAAATTATTAAAAGTGAAATAAATGTTAAACTTAACTCGTTTGCGACTTGATTTGATTATTTTGCACGTGCTGTTTGGGACTACATTGTGACGTCACGTAAGCAACACTATAAATGTATGTACAGCGTCAACGACTGAATGAAGATATTGGTGTTCGGATTCATTTCGTAGTTAGACCATTTTCTTTTATTCTAGAAGGTTTTCACAACAAAATTCGACAACAATTGTTTTGTATTTTCAAACAAAATGGCGCCCTCGATGTAAAAATACACAGGTAGATAATAAGAACGGCGAGTGCATTGTTGTAGAATAATACACGCTTCGGGCCTTCTTAATTTATATTATTAGAATTGCCGATAGTGTTAGAATTATCAATTTAATCGTTGCTTTGCTCTAAACAACCATGATAATTTTGGCAAAATTTTAAAACATAAATAAAAATGAGGTACCTATCTTTTTCGGAAAATTTTTTAACAAAAATGCAGTCATTTTTTTTGAAAATTTTTGAAATTTTAATTTTTGAGTAAAATGAACCCCCTCAAAACCCTAAAATAAAATTTTATTGAATTCATATTTTTACGATTCATTCATTTTGATTGTGACTATTTGATGTACATGTGATTAGACGAAAATAAACTATTTAAATTGAATTGAATTCCGCCTCAAAATTATTTCCCCATACCTCCTTTGTAAAATAATTATCAATCCCAATGCATACAACAGTTATCTTCATGTAGCAAACTGATATGGGTAAGTTTGACAGCCATGAGTCATAGGTTTACAAAACCTGATTCAATTGAAGCACAAATACCCGCCCAGTCACATAAACTGAACTCAATGTGCAAACGTGTCTCAAATCTAGACCGAAAATCGTCTGATCCTAACAAACAAGTCCAAAGAACACTCAGGACCCATTTGAAATTTCTTGCATTGTTGCAAAACATTTTTCATTCACATTTTCTTCTCCTTTCATATAGTATATCGAGACACACGCGTACTTCTTTTTTAAACTCTGGTAACTGTTATTATGGCTGTAATGTCTTGTCAACTACAAAACGAGCATATCAGCACTGTCTTTATATAAAATAAGACACATGGTGTTTGATTCATGACACAATTATGGATTAGCTTTACCTTTGGCATTGATTTAAGCATACCCGTCCTGTCACAGTATGAAATATGTGCTAGAGTAGATGTAGTTGTAAGGCTTCTCCTTTACTTTTATTTTTCACAACAGCGCAGGCAACTTATCAGACATACGCAATGTTAGCATTTATCCGACTTTTCACAAGGTAGCAGTCCGCAGCTTTCCCAGCCATTTTACTCGTGCGTGAAACCTCTCGCATGTCGGTTAACAAACATTGAATCTGTTTGATAAACTTATCTTCTTAGAAATGATTGACAAGTCTGGAGATAACTTGATAGTCAGGTATAAAAATATACATTAAAAGTGTCCAAAAGAGTTAACTATAGTTTCTAATCGAATAAGCCTTTTTTGAAAGAAGTAATATTTTTAGTGGTGTTAGACCTGTTTTATGTATTTCCGGTTTAGAGAAAACGTGGTTTAATAAATAGAATAAACAAGGAAAATCGAGAAATTATGCATTATTGATTATTTATTCCTCACAAATATCGATCCTTACGTCCATAAATTGGTAGCAGAGCGAGGTTTTCTTTGGGTTTTCATCGGCAAGACTGTATTATCGAATTAGGACATTAAGAAGCGTCAGTGTAATAGTAGTCGGACAGTAAGGTCGGACAGTCGGTTTTAACATTATGAGTGAGAAAGGGGAAAAGGGTACTTCTAGTACCGAATTACACACGGAGGAATCAAATATCGTTGATATGCGGTTAAGAAAATCGACATTGAAGGCAAAGTTTACACGAATGAAGAATAGGTTAAAATATGAGATAGATGATAGAAATGAGAACAAGTCTTTGTTGCAAGGCTTTATTGACAGACTAGAAGAAGCTATGGATAATGTACATCAAGTTTTAAAAGAACTAGTGAATGAATATACAATTCAGGGTAGAACAAAAGAAATGTTAGTCACTATGTCAGAGATTGAACTTATAGATAAGGAATATGAGAAAGTGATACAGGACTATCATAAGTTACAAGAAGAAATTAAAAGTGAAAGTGATCCTGTAGATGTTAGTAAAAAGCAAATTGACATTGATTTATCAAAGCAAATGAAACGAGTATCAATACCAATATTCACGGGTTCTAAGAAAGAGTATGAATTTTGGAAAGCTGCATTTACAGCTTGTATAGATAAAACCGAGGCAAGTGCTGAATATAAATTTTTACAAATGCGGCAATATCTAAGAGGGGAAGCTTTGAAGTCTATAGAAGGACTTGGTCATAGTGAAATTGCTTATGAAAAAGCAAAAGAGAGACTTGAAAGGAAATTTGGAGGAAAACGAAGAATTGTGAATAAATTCTTAGACGAGATAGAACAATTTCCACCCATAAGATATGAAAACGCTAAGAATATAGAACAATTTGCAGATTTACTGGATGTAGCCATTGTCAACATTAAAGAAACAAATGCTGAAGATTTACAAAGTGGGTTCATGTATTCACAGTTGTTAAAAAAGCTCCCTGAATCAATGATTGCGAGATATCAAAGATGGATATATGAAAAAGAAGAGACAGAATCAGTAGAGATATTAAATGAATGGATACTGAAGGAAGCAGAATTCCGAACAATAGCTATGGAAACAAAATTTGGTCTTGATGGGAAGTTCGAGAAACCTAAGGATCAACGGTCGTTCTTCGGTAACATGAGACAGTCACAGAGGGAGTGTAAGCTGTGTCACATGTCACATGGAATATGGGATTGTAAAGCAATGAAGGAACTTTCAGTGAAAGATAGATGGGAGAAAGCAAAATCTTTAAAGTTATGTTTTCGTTGTCTAGGGGACAATCATTCTGGTAGAACATGCAAAAGAGTAAAAAAGTGCGGAATAAATGGTTGCTTGAAAATTCATCACAGACTGTTGCACCAGCCAGATTTAAATCCTGAAGCTGTAGTGTTTAGCCCTGGTGAAAATAAACAGAACACTTTGCAAAGCCAACATAATACAAACGGTCAGACATTTACAAGTCAGGCATATACAAGTACATGTACACAAAATGTTTATGTAGCACTTCGTACAGTTCCAGTTCTGTTGTATGCCAATGGTCGAGAAATTCCAATTTATGCATTATTGGACGATGGGAGTACTAGGTCATATTTAAATGAAGATGTTGCGAAAGAATTAGGAGTAAGTTCAGAGTACGAGACTGTTAAAGTGAACACTTTGAATGGAAAATCTGTAAATCTTGATACAATGTGTGTGAACTTTCAGCTAAGCAGTTTAAATAGAGACATTAAAATTAACATGGAAGCCCATACAACACAAAAAGTAACAGGGAACTTGAGACCAGTAGACTGGACAAAGTATTGCGATCAGTGGCCGCACTTAAAAGGAATTCAATTTCCATCAATAGGACATCGCCAAAAAGTTGATCTTTTAATTGGGATAGATTATTTAGAGCTACACAGGTCGTTGCAAGAAATTAGTGGACCGGAAGGTTCACCTTCAGCCAGATTGACTCCTTTAGGTTGGACATGTGTCGGCCCAGTACCAATGAAAGATGAGGAAATCAATTTATTTACATTTCATATGATGGACACTGTGAAGAAAGATGGTGAGATAAATGAGATTCTTAAAAGGTTTTGGGAATTGGAAGAAATTGAGGGTAAGCAGGGAACTAGCTTGAGTGTTTCTGATGAGAAAATAATAAATTTGATGAAAAGTGAAATCGTATATGATGAAGAAAGCAATAGGTACCAGGTTCCGGTGCCTTGGAAAGAAAACCAAAGTGAATTGAAAAATAACTATGAAATGGCATTTGAAAGATTAAAAAGCACAGAAAGAAAACTGAATGCAAATGCTGATCTAAAAGCTTGCTATGGTGATATTATTAACAATTATGAAAAGAAAGGTTATATTTCTAAACTGACTGAAAGTGATTTAAAAAATACGCTATGGACATTGCCACATTTTCCGGTTATACGTCTTGATAAGGAAACTACAAAAGTCCGGATTGTTTTTGATGCCTCAGCCAAGCATAACTCGCTGTCATTGAATGACGTGATTCATCAGGGACCGAAATTGCAAAACGATCTATTTGAAGTATTGCTCAGATTTCGAAGAAATGCTATTGCCATAATTTGTGACATTCAGGAAATGTACTTGCAAGTAGAATTATCACCTCCAGACAGACTTTATCATAGATTTCTTTGGAGAGAATCACCAAAACATCCAGTAGAGACATATGAATTTAATAGACTTGTTTTCGGTGTTAATGCATCGCCATTTTTAGCACAGTACGTCACCCAGCTTAATGCCAACAAATTTGAAGAGAAATATCCTCTTGCAGCAGAAACAGTCATAAATTGCACATATATGGATGATAGTATGAATTCCGTGGAAAATGAAGTAAAAGGAATTGATTTGTACAATGAATTGACTGAACTTTGGGGAAAAGCAGGTATGTGCGCAAGAAAATGGCTGTCAAATTCCACAGAAGTATTAAATAAAATTCCTGTAGAATTGAGAGCTTCCCAGGTTAATTTGTCAGAAAGTGAATTGCCAACAGTTAAAACATTAGGCTTAATTTGGAAGTCAGATTCGGATGAATTCACATACAGCTATACAGAGTCTAGATCAGACATGAAAATAACTAAAAGAAGTGTATTAAGAAGAATTGCTGCTCTTTATGACCCTTTAGGTTTTTTAGTTCCATTCACAGTGAGGGCAAAGATGATTATGCAGAAAATTTGGCTGACAGGATTAGATTGGGACATTGAATTGCCTGAAATGTTAGCTTGTGACATAAAGCAGTGGTACAGTGAACTTAAAGACTTGTCAAATATTAAGGTTGAAAGGTGTATCCATGCATCAGAAGACACTGAACTTCATATATTTGTTGACGCATCAAGTGAAGCGTATGGATCGGTAGTGTACAACAAAAATTCAGCTTTACAGAAGCCTAAAATTGTTGCTGCAAAAGGAAGAGTCGCTCCATTAAAATCATTAAGTATTCCGAGAATGGAACTTCTAGCTGCAGTACTTGGATTAACATTGACATTAGCAATCTGTTCATCATTGAAAATGAACATTCACCAGTGTACATTCTGGTCCGATAGCATGAATGTTCTGTATTGGATTCATAGTCAAAGCAGGAAGTATAAGACATTTGTTGCGAATCGTGTAGGGTTCATTCATTCACATACTTCACCTAGTCAATGGAGATACGTACCCACAAAAGAGAATCCTGCAGATCTGGCATCACGTGGAACGTCGATAACAGAACTGGCTGGAAACCCTCAGTGGTGGCATGGCCCAGACTTTCTTGAAAATACTCCGGAATTATGGCCAGAAAACAAAATGGAAATACATGATGTGGCTAAAGTAGAAATAAAACGCAAGTCGGCTTATAACAGCTATGTGACATTAAGTGAGAATAATGACTTTAGACTTGAACCAACAAGGTACTCTGATTGGAATCGTTTAGTACGAATATCGGCTTGGGCTCATCGATTCATCGATAATTGTCAAGTTGCAAAAAAGGAACGTAGATTATCATTAGAATTGAGTGTTCAAGAAATAGAACAAGCAGAATATAAGATTATTCAAACTGCACAAGCAGAATGTTTCAGTGTTGAATATCAGTGCCTTAAAAAAGGAAAAAATGTATCTTCAAGTAGTAAACTTGCACCGTTAAATCCGAAACTGGACTCTGAAGGTGTAATGAGAAGTGACACTAGATTAAAGTTTGTAGACTTCATCTCCTATGATGCTAGATTTCCCATCATTCTTCCGCGGAAGCATTGGGTGACAAAATTGATAGTTAAGAATTGTCATGAAAAAACATGCCATGGCGGCACGAATTTGACATTAGCCAAATTGTCTGGTAGATATTGGGTCATATCAGCCCGTGAAGAAATAAGAAATTGGGAAAATCAATGTGCTAAATGTAAACGAAGCAAGGCGCAGGGTTCAAATCAGATTATGGGCGCATTGCCAGTTGAACGCTTTGGACAATCGATGCGAGCATTTACCAATACTGCTGTGGACTATGCCGGTCCATTCATTACAAAACAAGGCCGTGGGAAAACGAGACTTAAGCGTTACCTTTGTGTATTTACATGTTTAACAGTAAGAGCTGTACATCTTGAAATAGCTTACAGCTTGGACACAAACTCTTTTCTCAACGCTTTAAATAGATTTATCAGTCGTAGAGGTGTTCCAAGTGTTATTATATCTGATAATGGGACAAATTTTGTCGGTTGTGTTAACGAACTCAAAGATCTATACAAGAAACTTGATCAAAGTGCTATCATGAAAAGTGCTGTAAATAGAAAAATTGAGTGGAAATTCATTCCACCAAATGCACCACATTTTGGCGGATGTCATGAAGCTATGGTAAAATCGGCAAAGAAAGCGGTATATGCAATTTTGGGGAACGCGGATATCACAGATGAGGAATTAGTAACAGCAGTCGTTGGAGCTGAAAACTTGATAAACAGCAGACCTTTAACGTATCAGACATCAAACCCAAATGATGATACTGCGTTAACGCCCAATCATTTTTTGACTGGCCAGCTTGGTGGACAATTCGCTCCAGATATTATTGACAATGATCGTTATGATGTTAAAAAACGATGGCGGTATGTCCAGGAACTCCTACGCCATTTCTGGAAGCGTTGGCTTAGAGAATACTTGCCAACTCTGGGATCTCGATCTAAGTGGTTTCAAACTTCACGTGACTTCAAAGCAGACGATATTGTGTTAATAGTTGATCCAAACACACCCCGGGGGCATTGGCCTCTAGGCCGAGTGACAAAAGTGTTCCACGGTCCAGATGGACATGTTCGTGTTGTAGATGTTCAAGTTGGGAGGAATGTATTTAGACGACCAATTTCGCGTTTAAGTCTTGTTGCAGAATCAAGCAAAAGTTGTTAGTGACTCAAAGAAAAAAAGTAAACAGAAAAGTTGTTAAAATTAACATTAAATGTATTAAAAAATGAAGGCATAGTGTTTAAGGGGCATAATAATCCCCAGTGTCTTCTTTTAAGATTAATTTGATGAGAGGCATAGTGTTAAGGGGCATAATAATCCCCAGAGCCCACTCATGATAAAATCTAGTTTTTCATAAATGGTACATAGAATTGGAAGAATGAAAGAACTCGAAAGATATCGCAGATTTTCAAAGACTCTAAAATACATTGATATGTTAATTAAAGAAAAATTTAGCAAGACTTTAACATTTCAGTTAAATGATGTTTGTTTTTTTGTTGACTATATGTGTGTTGTATTTCTTTAAACTGCAGCAAAGTTAAATTGAACTTGTGAAAATAGTTGCTGTTTAAATATAATCAATTATCAAAAATGTTTGACATTTAGTTTTTTAAGAACAGACTTTTACTGCTGTTTACTGTACAAAGGGTTGAATTTATCATGTGTAGATAAAATGATGAAGACATTTTTTAAATAGTGGGTTAAAAATAGTTATAATTTACATGTATGTACATTTTTATACACTGTCATTCTTCATACTAAAATAATGTTGTTTCACTGTTTTTTTTTTGTTAAAATGTTAGTTAAACATTAAATATTAAGTTCGGTCTGACATATTTTTGGTTTGAAGAGTGATGGGTAGTTTTCTGTTTAATCAGCAATTCATGTTTATTTTTTGTGTGTTACAATTTCAAATGTGATAAGGGAAGTAATCACTGCATTAGAATGTTAGTTAAAGTAAATTGGATTGTCTCCCCTTAAAAAAGTATAATTATTAAAGAGACAATTGTGTAGAGAATGTTATCATATACTGACTGAAGCAAAACTAAAGATGATGTGTATTTAGGTATATGTATATATTATGAGAATTAAAACTTAGGAATTACTAAGTATTGGTATAAAGTCAAATGTTACTTTATTTTGTGTAATTATGGTTACTACTGTCAATGAATAACAATTTGCAAGTATTTGAAAAAAAAAAAATAATAATAATAATAATAATTGATGAAAATTGAATGAGGTAACATTTTTAAAGTTAAAAGGTTGTTTAGATTTTTGATAGGAAAGGCATAGCAACATGTACATTTGTATTTTTTGTTTGTTTTCACATGGCGTTTTTCGATTATGAGAAAAATACAATTTATTGTGAAGTATCAGTCTAGTAAAAATATCGTAAAAATTCGAGTACATTTTTAGGTACTTATCGTTATTATATAATTGTCAGATAGAATGATAATTGATCGTTAAAATTAAAGTTATTATCGTTATTGATCGGTAAGACCGATCAATGTGTGGGGGTATGTCCAAAAGAGTTAACTATAGTTTCTAATCGAATAAGCCTTTTTTGAAAGAAGTAATATTTTTAGTGGTGTTAGACCTGTTTTATGTATTTCCGGTTTAGAGAAAACGTGGTTTAATAAATAGAATAAACAAGGAAAATCGAGAAATTATGCATTATTGATTATTTATTCCTCACAAATATCGATCCTTACGTCCAAAAAGTATTATAAAACTAGAAATGTATCGTCACGCCACAGATGACCCCGCATGCAGCCAAAATTTCAGATGTTATAATATTTAGTTCCAATTCATTTGCACAAACTATTTTTTTTTCATTTTAAGTTCAAAGCCCTTAAAACTATTCAATGTTAACACAAACCATTTTTATACAAAATTCAAGGCACTGAAACTTTACCGTCTTAACCTTTTAGAAAATTGTATATTGCTTATTTGTAGCCAAAGTAATGACTACATACATTTCTAAAAAAGTATGAGTGTTGAAACTGAAAATTCATTTTTTCTAATGATCAAAAGAGAGATAACTTTGTCCAAAATCATTAAAACATGACCAAATTCAAAACTGTACTGCTTATTTCAAAATGAATGTGTACAATCATTGCGGAGATAATGAACGAAAACTAAAAATTTCTGATTTTTTCAAGTTCAAGAGGAATAACTCTGTAAGCTATCATCGAACTATGACCAAATTCGAGCTTGACCTGCACATTTCTTTGACATATCCATCATGTCCATATGTCAAATTTGAGTTGTATGTGTTATAATGTTGGGGAGATAATAAACGTGATCTGAAAATTTCTTATTATTTTCAAAGTGAAAGGGGCATAACTTTGCCACAAATCATCAAATCATAATTAAATTTGACCTTGACCTTGGGGTATAACTCTGTCAAAAATCCTCGGACCATGACGAAATTCGAACTTGACCTGTATTTGCTTATGATATATCTATGTCAAATTTAAGTTGAATGTGTGCAACAGTTACTAAGATAATGAACAGAAACTGATGATGACAGAATGACGGAAGGACGGAATAGGGTAACACTTTATGCCTCAGCAATTTTATGGCTGGGGCATAAAAATTGTTAGGAATTAAAAGACAAACTAAACAATTGTAAATATGGTTAGCTAGAAAGAACATCTTTAAAAACAATGTGAAATGTTGACATTATGAAATATTGTTCAACAGTTGTGCAGTCAGATAGTAAAATTAGTAGTCAAGTGCAAACGGTAGTTTGCACTTGACAGTACCGTCCATGAACAGGCTCAATCAAACCGAGCCTGCAACATTTTCAATTTTGTCGCGTTGGGATTTCTTTAGGGATTCTTATTTCACTCTTATTTTATGTCAAAGTTGTGTAAATATTTGACTGAGACTTTTTAGAAATTAAATTTATTATAACCTCCGTTTATTTACATGAAATGTTAAATACGGTAAAATCGTTACGAATAATGCTTTTTGGAACTTACAAAATTGATACATCTTAATTTGAGCATCATATTTATGATATAAAACCTTACAAATTTGTGTTAAAGGATCTTTCAGATTTATCAATTTTATAAGTTCCACAAAGCCTTATTTATAAAAAATTGTTGCCGAATTTTACATTTCATGTCAATAAAGGGAGGTAATAAAAATTTATTTTCTCTAAAGTCTAAGTCAATTTTTTCAATAAGAAATGAATGCATATATTTTAAGGATTACATATAATATGTACATATATTTGCATTACATATTTTACATATTCTTTGATGTTTGGAAATTGTTTCATACGCATAATTATATACATATATAATTTGTTTAAATATAAATGTAGTGGCAACAATAGAAACTGTATTTTGACTAAAAGTACCAAGTGGTCTTTTTCTTTTTCTGTGTACCGAAAGTAAATTGTTGGTCTTATAATCACCATTTTAACTCATAAGCAGCTATCAGCTATGTCTTTTCGTGTATTAGTCAATAGCATGTTAAATATGTTGGAGCACGGTCATTAAAACAATCATTTATATCTGTCAAAAGCTTTATTTCCAGTCTTCCTTTTGTAGGACACCTAGCAATCGGAAACGTGTTTGTTTAAAACATTGATATTACGAGTTTTATATCATTGAAATAATTGTTTAAACCTATTTAATACATTCATATCAATAGAGTCTGGAGATTAATTTCAGCGTATATTTTGTCTTCTTTCCACTTTTGCAAGTATTTTTCTTTTCTATATAACAGAGAATAATGCGATGCAGCAATGCAAGTGCGAAATGTCAACAAAAGTTCAGAGATCAGAATCTTTATATCAATCTTCATTTGTTTGTTTGTAAGAGTCCGCCCCATTCTAAAATATCTATGATTTGTTCAGCCCTTCATTATAACCATTACTATCTGTTTTTTGTTTGCCTACGATAGGGGTGACATCAACAAAGTTACAAGATAGTCAAAACTTGTATCGACCGATATGCAATCATTGTCAACACGCTTTTGAATATACTACAAAGAACATAAGAAAATATCAGCAAAGAATATTGAAAATATGTGCATTTACAAAATATCAATACACTTTGTACACGGTATTCCATTCAGACTAAAAGATATACATGTAATAGATATCTTGGTGAATTCCGTTTTAATAAGTAAAAGTACATTGTAATTCAGCAATGTTTTACTGTATTCTTGTTTGATGTGTGAGAATTGAAAATCTTCGATTATTTATGTAATTGTTTTACTCCTAAATTGAGATTAAGTAACAAAACAATTAAAAATTAAATCATTAAAAAACAACATTATTTCGGCAATTTATATTATTTGCTAATTATTTATATTTTGCTTTAGATATAGGTTCAATTTGCAATGAACATTACACTATTTTCCTTTATCTAAATTTAAAAAAAGCGAACACTTTATTGCAATAGCTATGCTACACTACTCCTTTTATTTGATGATATGTTTATACTATAATCTTAAAATCCAATGTAAAAGAACGGGAAAAATAATAATAACATTGAAACAATCAAAGTTTTGAAGTTGTATGTCACATTGCAGGTCTACCACCCCTACCACCTTTGCCACCAGGACCGGCCTCTCCGTCTTCACCCTTATGTCCACTTGGAACATTATTGTAACCTACTCCGCCTTTTCCACCGCCTGAAGAATTATGTTCTTGCTCGTTTGTCTTTTTAGGCCCTCTAATACCTAACCATCTTGTATACCATGGATCGTTGTTCCAGTTACCATTCCGTGTATAGGCATTTTTCGACACTGCTGGTGTGCCACCTGCACCACCTTTACCACCAGGACCAGGTTCGCAGTCCTCACTGTCATGTCTACTTGGAACATTATTGTAACCTACTCCGCCTTTTCCACCTCTTCCGTCTCCTGATGAATTATGTTCTTCCTCATTTGTCGTTTTAGGCCCTCCAATACCAAACCATCTTGTAAACCATGGATCGTTGTTCCTGTTACCATTCCATGTATAGTCATTTTTTGATACCGCTGGTCTACCACCGTCACCAATTTTACCACCAGGACGAGGCTCGTCGTCCTCACCGTCATGTCCACACGGAACGTTCGGACCCCCGATTCCACCTTTACCACCCTTTCCACCACCGGAACATTCATATTTGTTCTTCATATTATTAGCCAATCCATCATATGATTCAAAGGCCCTTTTACCAAGTTTTGGATTAGTTATAGCCGGTTAACAACCTGCACCACCTTTTCCCCCAGGACCCGGTTCGCCATCTTCACCATCATTTCCACTTGGAACGTTCGAACTTCCGATGCCTCCTTTTCCACCTTTACCGCCACCAAAGTTTTTTTTGTGGTGTTCATCACAATGTCAATCATTTTGGTTGTTTGTTGTGTTGTTACCATAATCTGAAACCCTATTGTATTACACAGTTTAATTCAACTTTAATTTAATTCAACTAAGCTATCAATTAAAATAGATAAAAGCTTGTGTTGTTTATTATTCGTTACGTTGTTTCTTATTAAAGTAATAAACTCTAGATTTATTTGATGTATGTATATGATTTCATGGCTTTCATCACAATTGGCATAATTTTATAATAATTACGTAAACATTTATATATAAATAGCTTATTGATAGCAATGATTTCATATAATCAGAGGATGACTCAAATATTCGGAATATTAGTCGAAACCATTTAACTTTTTTTACCTGCATCGTGAATATTATCGTTGTTATGACACTTGTCCATCACTTTAACTTTGATCACATTTCCGTTTATTTCTTTTCCTGAAACCATGTACAATAATGCAAAAATATTAAGAATAAGAAGCATTCGAATTGACATAAAATTATATTGTTTATTAAGATAAGGTTTTTTAAGTCTATTAAGGGTCGTTATTACTTTTATATGATTTTTAATTATCTTGGTTTTCGTTTGTAAATAAGTAGTGCACACATCGGTAACAGTTTTAAATATTGCGGACTTATTTTTAATCATATCTGAAATATAGTAACCATATTTAAGGCTAGGCTGATTCGCATACAGTAATATATTAATGCAAAAATTTTAATGCTGTTTTATTATGCTATAAAATAATTACCATCAAGTTCTTTAATAGCCTTTTCCGCAGTTTTAGAGTCGGCATATGTCACTCTCCCTTCCGATCCTGTAGTTACCAGGTTACATTTCTGTGTTAATATACATACCAGTATGCATTTATATCTTCATATTTAACAATACTTAACGTATACATAAAACAATAATGAAAGTATTTATCTCAGTCCATACGATATGTGTGGAGATGAGGATCAAACAAGAAAATATGTTTTAGTATGCTAAGGAAAGGAAAATAAACTGCTGTTAAAATAAATGTTAAGTATATGTCTTACAATTTAAGTTACCCAAATGAAAGACATGTGTATCATATGAAATCTGTCGCGGCGAATGTAGTGATATGTTCGTTATTTAAACAAGATAAGACACAGGTAATAAACTTAAATGAACACCAGTCTTGATTAATATATCGAGATATTATTTAGAGAAAGGAAGCTAAAATCATACTAGTATTTCTCCAAAACGTTTGAAATGTTGGATAAAATCCTCTTTCTTGATATCACTTCCTAATCCCGTGAGAACTACAGTGTTTTTACAGTCATTCATGTTTTTGTTTATTACCTGCAACATTGAAATATATACAGAAGCATATAACCTACGTCATAAAGATGAATATAACCTTGAAATTGTATCAATAAAATTTGACTGTATGAAAAACAATACTTACAGTACTATTTCCCACAACAATTGTGACGTGCAAATATGTAAAAATTGACGTGATAACATACATGTACATATGTGTAAGACAAATTAAATGTTTTACGTGATGTCCTGTTAGTTTTATAAACTGATAAAATGATATACCTCAACATTGATATCAAACCAGAGTCTCTTTAAATAGATAATGTATACATGTATGTTATTACAAAAATAAAGTATTTATATGAAGACAAAATTGTATCTTTAGTTACTTCTTCTTAATTCCTTTCATTTCAGTTGGTATAATTCACGTGACTAAATCTTAGCATTGTATCGTTGGAAACCCAAACTGTAAATTTTGTGCGTAAATCATGTAAATAGTGAGTTAAGTGTATTTATAAAAAACAATTTGAAAAACAAAAACGAAAGCAAAAGTAAATATTTACTATGTTTCAGTAACTGATTTGTTTTTAATTATAGACTTAATGAGTTGACTCAACTTCTGTCTGAAGCTTGACTATCAGCTGACACGAATTTTAGTTTTCTGGATGTTTAAAAATAGAATATGATTTCATAGTAATACTGAATTATCATAAATTGACAAAACACGCACTGCCTTTGTAAATCAAGTTTATGTTAATCACTCCATATTATTATAATATAGAGACAATAAGAATCCCTAAAGAAATACAAAATTGCAAAATTGAAAATGTTGCAGGCTCTGTTTGATTGAGCCTGTTCATGGACGGTACTGTCAAGAGCAAACTACCGCCCACGCGCTCTAGCACCGACTTAACTAAAATTAATATTTAAACATGAAATTGCAAAATCTTGAATTTAGAAACATACGACGGTTATCAGTGTGACACTTCCATGCCATTCATCGAAAAGCGGCGTTTGGTCCCTAAGTAAAATAAAGCGTGTATCCGAAACGAGAAAACAATGGGCGGAGCTAAACAAAATGGAAAAAAAAATGGTATAAAGCGTGTTTGTATATACCTACACAGCTATTAATATAACTCTTAATTGTTTCAAATCTGATGGAAGAACGATGTATTTGTTCTATAATATACTAAGTGAAGTAAGATTTGGTCGTTATTTCGGGCATATTCTTTTCTTGTATTTACTCTGCCCTTCACATAAAATTTAAGTATGACTATTTAAAAACTGTTTCCTAGTCGTGTATAAACTTGGTTTTACTTTCCTCGTTAAGCAAATATCAACCTAAAATAATGAATAAAATAGCTAGACTAATGTTTAATGAGTTTACGTGAGATGATTTAACGTGCGTCATCTCACGCTTCCTTGTATCGAATTACAGTAATCTCTTTGGTACTTCAATGCCCCCACCATTCAGTACTTGATATTTACTCATTCATGAAAAGATATGACTGACTTCCTAATTTTTTCTTAATTTTCCTGTGACCGGATCTGTTTAACAGATCATAAAATACTATATGTGTGGTTATTTATGCCAGAATATCTATTTGGTATTTTTATACAGGTTAAAACTCTTGAAAAAAAAATCAAATGAAAAACATGACTGTTATGCTACATGACGGATAAATGTTTACTATCAGTAAACACATAATTGAATTACAATCCAACAATGTCACTAATAAAGTAATTATGTATTATGTTTACATTGTTTTATCATATTTTGTAATCTTAATCTAGCAAATACGAATCATATAAGAGATACTATTGTATTAGTCACCTCTGTCATCTTTTTTCTTCTTTTTTATTTTTCTTTCTTCGTTCTCTATTTCTTTTTAGGGGGGGGGGGGGGTAAAGTGTGTATAATTAACCATGATTCCCCCTCTCTCCTACATAAATGATGCTAAAAATTCATTTTATAATTCTGACACTTTTGATTTATTATATCCAATGTTATACAATGACTCATATTCAAAACGAAGTAAGATGCTGCGACTCTAATAGGTGTCAATACATTATGATTATCAAATGTATTAGATCTAACTGTGATCCAATTCTGTGTTCAGTAGAATATGTTTATTTATAACCATTGTATTAGAAGTAACGATGTTCTTATTTTTCTTCAGGTGTTATTTTGTTTTTGAATAACAAATCAATGAAATGTTTCGACAAATATGGCCATGCGCTGGACCATATTCACATAAAGAAAAAAGAAGAAGAAAAAATTGTTGTGAGGTTTTACCCTTTTTATTTTCTAAGACTTATTGACATAGTTTGTTTAGACAAATACATTAATTAATTTAACATCGTATAAACATTCAAATTATAAATGCGTGTAAAAATCAATTAATTATAACACTAAAATGATTCAAAAGATGCATACTTCAATATATAATATGAGTCGTGCATTTGATAATCAATAGCCAATGCAGATATTATCTATTAAATGAAAGTGAGCACACTTGTTGGCTATGACACGAGTATCGAACAATAATATCGCGAGTATAAATATTAATATATTGATATTTAACTTAATAATTAATATCTTGGCTCTATTTACTAATTACTTAATTGAACATTTAAGCAATTAGTTAATACATACACATTAAGATAGAAAATCTTCCAGGGAAAAATCGTTAGATTAATAGTCTTAAAATCACAATTGAATAAAATAATCTAATTTTAATAATTCATCTTCAAAAACGTAAAACAAATAAAACTTTTTCCAATTAGAAATATATATCTAAATAAATATATAAACATGAATGAATAAATGAACATCAGTTTATCGTCTAATAATAACTTCAATCTTGTCCGTTGTGTCCATCTCTCCCATTTCCACTTCCATGACCCCCTCTCCCCCCTCTGCCTCCTCCTGCCCCGCCTCCACCACCTCCTCCTCCACCGCCATTAACACCATCTTGACCATCCTGACCGTCCTGTCCTGGACGTCCCCCGTCTCCTCCTCTCCCTCCGCCAGGTCCACCACCACCTCCACCACCCCAACCTGCCCAACCTTTCCAACCTCCTCCCCCGCCGTAACCACCATAATTTGTGCCGTTGCTATTTCCCATGTTTATCACTAGAAACTGTAAAATAAGAAAATTTTATACTTTGTTATTATACTTTTTAAAGTTAACTTATTTCTCTCTCTCTATTAGGTGTGATAGTACTTCAAATTTTCTCGGTATATAAAGCTATGGCAATTATATTTACATTTTATAATGGAAAAAAACTGTATCTTTTCAATCGCTTCTTTTTCAAACTATGTTTAACTATAATATATATTGGCAGCATAATTGGCAGCATATATACATCAACGTTACACTTAAAAAAAGTGATTGATGCTATAATATTACGAAATAAGACAAAAAAAATATTAGATCGATCTGAAAAAAATAAATAAATGAACTTACGTAAATTGAAAATACGAGTTATTCAGTGAAACAAGACAAATAAGAATGTGTCGTACATACTTTACTATCTTCATTAAAGATATCGAGAAGAATGTTCGTGCCCTTAAAACTGTTCCGAATTACGAAATGACATGATCTTTTAATTTAGTCATCCAATCTATTAATAGGCAACAGTTATCGGTAACTTTTCAAAGATTCAAAATTAATGTACTTGATCTTTTCTGAAATTTGTAGTTGGATTTTTCAAAGTATGAGACATAACATACCGGTATCCCAATTTTAGCTCATTGGTTTTCCAATTATTCATGTGTTCCCGTATAAAAACAGAATTCATAGTACGCAGTATAGAAGTAACACATTATTCAGTGAATGCGTTTAAATTGTACAATAAATGTAAGTGTTTATGAATTCTTTATATAAGATATAATTATATATCTGTTTTTTTCTCTACATTTTTCTGTTTTCTTTCCATATAGTATCAACAATTATTGTAATGATCATAATATTATCACTATTTACTAATTTTTATGTACTTAGCCATGAATTCAAACAATCCTGACACATAGGCATTAAAAGAAGTATCAAAATATCGCTGTTCATTGAAGTAAAACAAATTGTTGATTTTCGTTAGAAACAAATTGTTTACAAATAAACTCGGAACAATAGACTCAAATTTTAATGTACAAGATTGTTTTGCGAGTTTACTTGTCAGCTATTCGGACCTACTCAGTATTGGTTGTTAAATGTTGTTAACTCAGTTTTAAACATAACAAATTCAGATTAATAATATCTAAAGCATATGTTGTAGATTATCCGTAATATATATATTTCATCAATATCATTGAGGATTTGTTTCATTCTAATTATCAGAATAAAATGGGGAATTCTGGATCAAACAATTCAGGCGGAGCTGGTGGTCAAGGAGGACAAGCCCCTGGTGCCGGAGGTGGTGGAGGAGGAAGTGGGGCTGGGAGTCAGGCTCCAGGCGGAAACGGTGGAAATGGCGGCAAGTTATGGGGAAGTGAAGGCAGAAAATACCTCTACCCTTCAGGCGTGTTTCCATGGAGTTGAACAAACACTTTATTAGCTTCTTTTATTATCAATCACTTCATTATCATATAACAATATCGATTATCTTATCTTCTTGTTTGTCTCAGGTATCATATTCACAACATTGAAACAGACAAATTTGTAAAAATATCGATCAAAAATGTGCACTGTGTTACTTGGTATCTGATTTATAAACCAATCATATGCGTATATAAAACGTTTTTAAACTTTGATAGGAAATTGTGAATTTATGTAATTATTTAATAATGTAAATTAAGTATATGTTATGGTAATAAATTCATTCCTTTTTGATAACTTTGTTGTGTGTCATTGTCCCTGACCATTCTTTTCATCAACATCGACAATTCATAAATGTAATTCACAGTGCTTATTGATCCCAATTATCGCACACGGCCAGTCGTTCGGATAATAAAAGCATCTAAGCATTTGTGCTGTTATTTTTCTCATATATTATCATATACATCATAGATTTATAATACTTTTACTAGTAGTTTAGTTTAAACTTATTTTATGGCACCTTAAATATGTATAATAATATCATAAACGATAAATATATAGCAAAAGCAAATGGTTTGGACATCAATTGCTTACAACATTAAATTTAATTTCCCCGGAATATATTAAATACAGAAATATTACGGGGCAGTAATATCAAACTACACGTGTATAATTGTACACGATACAGAAACAATAAGACATGACAATTCTATTCTTAGTATACGGTAAACTGTCGGGTGTGGATAGTAATCAAATTTGACTGTATAAAATCGTTTTGCCAAATTCTAGGTCGCCATAATGCATTGTATGTCGTCGTGTCTTGTGTTTTGTAGATATGTACATGTTCAAATCTTTTATAGAAATGGTTTATTGAGAGCTTAACTAAACAGTAATATCCTTTATAAGAGTTAAATATGTGTTTGTCTTTGACTTAAGGTTCCAATAAAGTATAAATTAATCAGGGTGTTGGAGATGAAGATATATTTAAACAGTAGTAAACAAATATAAACAGATATATTTATATAAAATAAGAATACAAAACTAAGATATTCAAGAAGTTAAGAAAAAAAACGTTTGAATTGTATTATTTTGTAATTTTGACTGGCCATAATTATATTTGTCAATAATCAAATAGTAAAAGTTTAGGAAATCTTTGTCACGTTTTAGGACGTCTTCACATAAATTAAAGGTAGATACTGATAGGCGGCATAAACCTAATAGTATATGTTATTAGAACCCACAGCGGTGTCAATAGCTATAACGTCTACGGAACTAACGGTACAATGAAACTCCTCTTGACTTAAACCATAACTAATCCCAAGTTTTTATCAAGGGATAATTTACCTTGTTATAAACGAGAGAACGAAGTGTTAAGAATAATAAATTATAGCGTTGCATTAAGCAATGGCTCTACAAAACAAGTAGAGAACAAATCATTGAAGTGAGAAGTGCCGATAATTGACCTTTTATATTACAAAGTTTAAATGTAGTCCAATATTCAGAGAAATAACGTTCATACGTCGTAAATATGAATACATAACATCTTTCTTGTATACTTTATTCTTTCATTGTTCAAATTTATCGCGTGAAAATATGGTTAAAACATATTGAAAAGCTTGGAATACATATTAAAGGCATATTATACCTGAGAAACAACATTATTTTCATTCTTTAGAAAAGGCAATTAGGAGTTTTTTTATCGTTAAAATATTTTTTTGAAACAGTTTAATACTTATTACCTGAAGAAAGTAGTGTTGAAGTGGAAATTATTTGTCATAAAAGTAGCAAAATGAAACAAAAGTACTATTTTGACTTCCTCCGCCCTATGAACGTTGCCTTGGTCTTGTTAATCTTTGTTCTCGTCTTCCATACAAAATGCTAAAGCGCTTTAATTCTTATAGGATAATATTTTAATGCAACAACTATTTCTTTCACAATTGTAAAAATGTAGGAATTATTTATTAAGTTATGCTAATGTGTTTATTAAAGGACCCGACAGGTGCGTAAGTACATAATAACTGGATTACTGTGACAGCTTTTGCCAAAAGTATTTTATTATCTATAGGTATATCGTATAACGGACACATACTAGTTTATTATCATCATTTAGCCATTTAGATTCATATATCTTTACCCTTTTGACATAAATATTCACAATTATCACTCGACATAACAGGAATTTTCAGGATGACTAATGTTTCAGTTAACTGTTTTTATATTTAGGATAAGAAACCAAAAACATATTATCTATTTTCAATCTGAATCACGAATAAGGTATTTCTTTATTCATTGACATGTTTCTATAATTATAAATACATGTGTTTCTATAATTGCACCATTATCTGTTATACACACGTAATATTTCCTATTTTTAGTACAAGTGTCATTAGTGGAATTATAATTGTATTAAAAACCTAGAACGAAAAAAAAATATATATTTAATCCAAGACAGAATTTGATCGTTTCTAAGGAACTAAAGAGTATTTTTTAATTTAACATGAGATGTGGTCTCTTTTTTTGTTAAGATGACATATGTAAGGTTTAATATAATAAGGGTTTTCTGGTTGTAATACTGGGATGACATGTTTTTTTATTTATACTGTATTTGTCTTTATTACGATAATATATCAATAGAAATCTGAAAACGAAATTGAAACGACTTTGTTCAAATGTAAAGGTAGTGGCAACACTAGGAACTGTATTTTGACTAAAGTTTCTAGACGTCTTTTTTTCTGTGTAACGAAAGTATATTGCTCTTATAATCAAAAGCAACTAAACTATCATCTTTATGTCTGTTCGTGTTTCGTGTATTTTGATATGGAAATTTGGCCGCGACCCTTAATAGTTATGACGTATGATGACACGCTATACCGGTCTCAAGATTGATTCTACGAGATATGTACAAGCCCACCAATAGCATATTATATATATCATATATGTCGGTGCACGGTTCTTAAAACAATCATTTACAACTGTCAAAAGTTTTAATTCTATTCTTCCTTTTATAGGATACATAGCAACCGAAAACGTGCTTGTTTAAAACGGTCATATTTCGAGTTTTATATCGTTGAAATTATTGTTTAAAACAATTAGATACATTTATTTCAATAGAGTCTCAAGATTAATTTCAGCGTTCATATTTTGTCTTCCCTCCATTTTTGCAAGTCTTTTCTGTTCTATAAAACAGAGAATAATGCAATGCAGAAATGCAGGTGCGAACCGTCAAGAATTAGTACAATAAATAAGGTAGCATATTCCGTAAGATATTGTTTGATATTTCTGTTTCAAAAGCAATTAACATAAGTGTCTGACACTTCCTTTGACATCTTTTTTTAATTTAATTTTCTATACAGAGATACTCCTTATATCCTTATCCTTATAATTTATACAATTTTCTGATTTAACTAAATCACCAGTAATAATAATTTCTGTAAATGTACACTGACCAAGTTGATGTCTACCATATGAATTAAATACTAATTTTGAGTTTAACTTTGCTTTAATTGGAATATTGGATACAATATCAGGAGCTTCAATTTTTTAAGTAAAGATGATGATATGAAATAATTGATTTTAAATAAAATAAAACATTATATGATTTATAAAAATGGGACATTGATTATACACGTATGTATAAAAAACTGTGAAGCTATAGAATAGTAAGCTTCATCATAGTGATGTTATTTTGGGATCACTGATAGACATTACTCTTTGTGTTGAATTACGCTTGAGAACGTGATGAATGTTGGACCTGTTATTATCTCTAAAGATAAACAGTTTTAATCAAACCGACTCTGTAATTATCACTATTTTAGTATTGTTATAATTGATGCTCTCAAGGGAATTTTATATATCTTAATATCTTGCATAAATATTTTAGTATTAACAACTGAAAAGTCTTAATTACTATGCCAACCCTTTTAGATACCGCATAATCTATAATTTTAAAGTTGAACTATACAGAAACAACACAATTAGTTTACATCAGTTATACCCAGTTGATAATCATTAAATTGACGCAATGTTACAAATACATGTTATATCAGAATAGTTCGGAGAATATTTCAATCCTCTGACAATGAAAAGATCACATGTCTGTTGATAAGAATCCGACCCATTCAAAAATCTCTATATTTTGTTTAGTCCTTCAATATAACCATCGCCATCTGTCTTTCGTTTGCCTACGATAGGGGTAACATCAACAAAAATACAGGATAGTCAAAACCTGTATCGCCCGATATGCAGTCATTGTCAAGATACTGTTTGAATATACACAATATACTATAAATAAAAAAGTAAATATCAGCAATATAACAAAATATTACAGAATATATTTGCATTTACCAAATATCAATATACTCTGTACACGGGTTTCCTATCAGACTACAAGATCTCATACACATTTTGTGAATTTCGTTTCAATAAGTAAAAACACAATTTTATTAATCAATGTTTTACTGTGTTCTTGTTTGATATGAGAGAGTTAAAATCTTCGATTATTTATGTAATTGTTTTACATTTAAATTGAGATATAGAAACAATACAATAAAATTAAGTCATTGGAAAACAACCTTATTCCGGCAATAAATATTATTTTGCTAAACATTTGCTTTTATTTGAGATGTTTATACTTTTATCTTAAAAACTAATATATGAGAACGAAAAAACACCATAACATCGAAGGAGTCAAAGTTTTGAAGTTGTATGTCACACTGCTGGTCTGCCACCCGCACCACCTTTACCACCAGGACCGGCCTCTCCGTCCTCGCCGTCATGTCCACTTGGAACATTCAGACCCCCGATTCCGCCTTTTCCACCTTTTCCGCCACCTGAATAATTATATTCTTGCGCGTTTTTCTTATTCGGCCTTCCAAGACCAAACCATCTTGTATACCACGGATTGTTGTTCCAGTAACCATTCCATCTATAGTCGTTTTTTAATACTGCTGGTCTGCCACCCGCACCACCTTTGCCACCAGGACCAGGTTCGCCGTCCTCACCGTCATGTCCACTTGGAACGTTCCGACCCCCGGTTCCACCTTTACCGCCTTTTCCACCACCGATACATTCATATTTGTTTTTCATATTTTCACCATTCGATTCAAAGGCTCTTTTACCCAGGTTTGGATTAGTTATAGCCGGTTTACCACCTGCACCACCTTTTCCCCCAGGACCCGGTTCGCCATCTTCACCATCATGTCCACTGGGAACGTTCAAACTTCCGGTCCCTCCTTTTCCACCTTTACCGCCACCAAACTTTTTCTTGTGATGTTCATCACAAGGTATATCTTTTTGGTTGTTTGTTGTGTTACCATAATCTGAAAACCCATTGTATTACACAGTTTAATTCAAAATGCTTAAACTAAGGTATCAATAAAAATAGATAAAAGCTTTTGTTGTTTATCATTCGTTACGTTGTTTCTTATTAAAGTAATATACTCTGGATTTATTTGATTTATGTATATGATTTCAAGCTTTCATCAAAATTAGCACAAGTTTACAATAATCATGTACACATTTATTTGATATAAATAGCTTTTTGTTAGCAGGATGACTCGAATATTGGTTTTACAAGTATAGTTTAGTCTGAAGAAAATATTAACTCGAAACAATTAAACTTGGTTTACCTTCATTGCAAATATTATCGATGTTATAACACTTGTCCATCAGTTTAACTCTGATCACATTTCCGTTTATTTCTTTTCCTGAAATTATGTACAATAATGCAATGATATTTTTAAAGAAGCATTATATGTTTATAAAGATAAGCTTTTACGTGCATTTGAGGTCGTAATTACTTTTATAAAAAAAAATTTCGTTTGAAAATAACTGGTAACGGTAACATTTTTGAAATCTTGCGGACCTATTTCAATCATAACTGAAACATAGTTACAATTTTTAAGACCAGACAGATTTGCATACAGTAATATATTAGTTCAACAATTTTAATGCTGTTTTATTATGCCAAAAAACAAATACCGTCAAGTTCTTTTACAGCTTCTTCCGCAGTTTTAGAGTCGGCAAATGTCACTATCCCTTCCGATCCTGTAGTTACCAGGTTACATTTCTGTGTAAATATACATACAAGTGTGCATTCAGATCTTCATATTTGACAATACTTAACGTATACATAACAATAATGATAGTATTTATCTCTTTCCATACAGTTATGTGTGGAGATGAGGATCAAACAAGAAAATAAAATGTGCTTTTTATATGCTGTATGCTAAGGAAAGGAAAATAAACTGCTGTTAAAATAAATGTGAAGTATAAGTCTTACAATTTAAGTTACTCAAATTAAAGGTTCGGGAGAAAGACATGTATATCACATGATATCCGTCGCGGTGAATGTAGTGATTTGTTCGTTTACTATTCAAGATAAGACACAAATACAGGTAAAACATTCGTGTACTATACAAGATAAGACACAAACAAAGGAAATGATCTTAAATGAACGTCAACCTTGATAAATATATCGAAATATTATTTAGAGAAAGGAAACTAAAACATTCTTGTATTTCTCCAAAACGTTTGAAATGTTGGATAACATCCTCTTTCTTGATATCAAGTCCTAATCCCGTGACAATTACAGTGTTTTTACAGTCATCCATGTTTCTGTTTATTTCCTGCAATATTCAAATATTATATGTTATTTTGGTTTTGGAGTGATATATGTGGATATATTACCTGTTAAGATTTTATATCACCCGAGCCGTTATCACCCATTCTTTTGTTTTCTTTCCATATAGTATCAATAATTATTGTAATGATCATAATATTATCACTATGCACTAACTTCTATGTACTACTGTTATTTTGTAACTGTCTGTCATGTAAAATAATTGCAAATGGAATAACTATACAAAACTGGATTACAATACTTGATTGGAAAAAAATAAAATACAATGATATAGTTGTATTTGTAATATATATTTTATATATTTACAGTAATTCGTCGAATCGGAAAGTATAATATATATTTATACATATCAAGATATATCAAAACCTTTCTGTAAGTAATGACGTGTGTCAGCTTTATATATTATATCGATTGTTATTAATAAATTGTGTAATTTTATGATAACTGGAGTGTGCACCATATTGATTTAAATTTAATTGTATGTAATATAATGACTAAAGTTCATATATACTAAAGTTACATCTTGCGTGTAAATCTGATTGTCACCGAATTTGTCTTACCACCTTCACTGTAATTCGGATTTCCTGCTAAAGGAATTTTAGCCATGCATTCAAACAGTCATTAACACATAGGGATTAGACGAGGTATCAAAATACCCGGGCTTTTCCCGGTGGGGAATTTAAAAAACAAAATTGTTTGATTTTCTTAAAAACCTTTTTTTTTTTACAAAAAAAACTAGAAACCCCTTAGAGGGGCCCCAAGGGGGGAAATGTTTTGCCAGTTTTACTTGTGGGCTTTTGGGAAACCTACCCAGTAGGGGTTTTTAAAGGGTTTAAACTTTTAAAAAACAGCTCCCCTTTTAAAAAATTTGTGAAAGCCGCCGTTAAATGTTTTGTTAAAAGTCCCCCAAAGCCCGCCTTTATTGGGCCCGTCAAACTAATAATAGGGTTTTTAATTAGGAGTTTTGTTTTAAATCAAAATTCTTTAGATTTTAAAATTTAAACGTTTTTAACCCCATTTTTAAAACATAACAAGTTTAATTAACAAATCCAAGCATATATTTTCTTTTTTGGGAATATAATATTATAATCACGATATCATTGTACTTTTGTTTCATTCTTTTTTAAAACAGAAAAAAAATTTTTTGGAAAAAATTGATAAACAATTCCGGACCCAGGTGGCCCAAGGAGGACAAGCCCGGGTGCAGGGAGGTGGTGGAGGAGGAAGTGGGGCCGGGAGTACTGCTCCGGGCGGAAACGGTGGAAATGGCGGCACAAGTGAAGGCAAAAAATAAATCAACCCTTCAGGCGTGTTTCCATGGAGTTAAATAAACAATTTATTAGCTTTTGTTATTATCAATCACTTCATTATTATATAACAATATCGATTATCTTATCTTCTTGTTTGTCTCAGGAATAATCTTCATAACATTGAAACAGACAATTTTGTAACAATATCGATCAAAAATGTGCGCTGGTATCTTGGTATCTGATTTATAAACCAATTATATGCGTATATAAAACGTTTTTGAACTTTGATAGAAAATGGTGAATTTATGTAATTATTCAATAATGTTAATTAAGTATATGTTATGGTAATAAATTCATTCCTTTTCTGGATAGCATTTGTTGTTATTGTCCCTAACCATTGTTTTCATACAACATTCTGACCATTCATAAATATAATTCACAGTGCTTATTATTCCAAATTATGCCACACGGGCCAGTCGTTATCGGATAATAAAAGCATTTACGGCATTTTGAGCTGTTATTTTGCTCATATATTATTATATACATCATAGATTTATAATACTTATAGGTTATTTAAACTTATTTATGGAACCTTAAAATATGTATAATAATATCAATAAACGATAAATATTATTACCGAAAGCAAATGGTTTGGACATCAAATTTTGCTGACCAATATTAGATTTAAAAATTTCCCCGGAATATATTAAATACAGGAAAATATAAACGGGCCAGTAGGGGGGTTATCAAACTGAAACACTGTGTATAATTGTACACGATACAGAAGAAATAAGACATGACAATTCTATTCTTTGTATACAGTAAACTTTCGGGTGTAGATAGTTATCAAATTTGACTGTATGAAATCGTTTTGCTAAATTCTAGGTCGCCATGTAATGCATTGTATGGCTTCGTGCCTTGTGTTTTGTAGATATGCAAATTTTCAAATCTTTTATAGAAATGGTGTTTATTGAGAGCTTAACCTAAGAGAAATAACCCTTTAAAGAGTTAAATATGTGTCTGTCTTTGACTTAAGGTTCCAATAAAGTATAAATTAATCAGGGTGTTGGAGATGAAGATATATTTTAACAGTAGTAAACAAATATTCAACAGATATATCTATATAAATTAAGTATAAAAAACTAAGTTACAAAAAACGATTGAACTGTATTGTTTTGTAATTTTGGCTGGCCATATATTTGTCAATAATTAAATAGTAAAAGTTTAGGAAACGTTTCTGGACGTCTTCACATAGATTAAAGGTAGGAACTGGTAGGTGCCATAAACCTATATGTTATTAGAACCTGCAGCGACGTCAATAGCTTTAAGGTTTACGGAATTTACGATACAAATGAAACTGCTCAAAGGGGTATATATTAAACCATAAATAATACCAATTTTTATCAAGGGATAATTTACCTTGTTATAAAGATCGTGAACGAAGTGTTAAGAATAATAGATTAATCTTCTTTATTTAAAAGGGATTTTAAATTAATTAAACAAGGAATTTAATGTTAAGGCTCTACTAAAAAATATTTTAAAACCCGTTCAGTAAAGGCCCATAAATTGATTCTTATATTAAAAAGTTTAAATGGTCCAATAGTCAGAGAAATAACGTATATACGTCGTAAATAGTGAATACATAACATCTTTCATGTATATTTTATGCTTTCATTGTTCAAATATATCGCGAGAAAATATGGTTAAAACACATTGAATAGCTTGGAATACATATTAAAGGCATATTATACCTCAGATACAGTATTTTTACATTCTTTAGAAAAGGTAATTATGAGCTTTTATCGTTGAAATGCTTCGTTAAACAGTTAAATATTTATCACCTGAAGAAAGTAGATTATTGGGAAATTTGTAAAATGTAGCAAAAAAAAAAAAAGTATTTTTTGGAGAAAATCTAGCAAAAAAGAAAAATCAAAGTAGTATTTTGGCTTCTCCCCCCTTTGAAAGTTGCCTGGGCTTTTAAACCCTTTGTTCTCTCTTCCATACAAAATGCAAACCGCCTTAATTCTTATAGGGAAAAATTTTAAAGCAACAACTTTTTTTTACAAAGTTAAAAAATGTAGAATTTTAGCTATTTACTAATTATGTTCTAACATTACAAAATATAATTTTCTATTTAATGTGTTTATTTAAAGGACCCGTCATGTGCCCCGCGGTAAGGGGTTAAAAATATCGGGATTATTGCGGGAAAAAAAATAAAAAAAAAAAACATTTTTAGCTATAAAAAAATTTGAAGCTCATACATAGCAAATTTAAATTTTAAACAAAATTTCAGTTGAACTTCCTTATATATAAGTAATTGGTTTAAACCCTTTAGGAAAGGATTTTTTTGGGGTTATATCTGGAATATGGTGTACTTATAATGTTATGTTTATAAGATGTCAAAAGTAAAAACTTTCACAACCCTTTATTTTAATAAACAAAATCAATCAAGCACAAAAAAAAAACAAGCCAAAAAATTTTTAAGAAAGAATCAGACACCCATACAAAAAATTCAAATTTAAAATAAAATTATTTCATTTTTTTTCGAAAAAAAAAACTATAGTTTTAAAAAAAAATCTTAAAAACCCCAAAAGTATTTGTCAAAGTTTTTTACAAATGTGACAGGGTTTTTTTCCAAAAAAATTTAATATTTTTAAGGGTTTTTTTTTTCAACTTTAAAAGGGCACTACTTTTTTTATCATCATTTAGCGAGGTATCAATCACAAATGTTGATAGTTTGTTCCACAGATTGAAAGAGATTCATATGCCTTTACCCTTTTTGACATAAATATTCACAATTATAGCTCGACATAACAGGACTTTTCAGGATGACTTATATATTGAGTGTCGCCTTTGAGTTAACTGTTTCTATATTAAGGATAAGAAACCAAAAGCATATTATCTATTTTCAATCTAAATCATGAATTAGCTATGTCTTTATTCATTGACATGTTTCTATAATTATAAAAATATGTGTTTCTATAATTGCACCATTATCTGTTTCATACACACAGGTAATGTTTCCTATTTTTAGTAGTAAGTGTCATTAGTGGTTTTATAATTGTATTAAAAACCAAAAACGAAAATACGATTATATTTAATCCAAAACAGAATTTGATCGTTTCTAAGGAACTAAAGAGTCGCTTTTTAAGTAACAATGAGATATGGTCTCTTTTTTGTTAAGATGACAAATGTAAGGTTTTATATATAAGTTTTTTCTGGTTGTAATACAGGGATGACATGTTTTTTACTCATACTGTATTTGTCTTTATTACGATAATATATCAATAGAAATCTAAAAACGAAATTGAAAAGAATTTGTTCAAATGTAAAGGTAGTGGCAACAATAGAAACTGTATTTTGACTTTTTATTTTTTCTGTGTATCGAAAGTATATTGCTCTTATACATGTTATAACCGTCATGTTAACTCATAAGCAACTAAACTATCATCGTTTATGTCTGTTCGTGCTTCGTGTATTATGATATAAAATTTGGCCGCGACACCTAATGGTTATGGCGTAAAATGACATGCTATACTGGTCACAAGATTGATTCTACGAGGCTATGTACAAGCCCACCAATAGCATATTATATATATAATATATGTCGAAGCACGGTCCTAAAACAATAATTTATAATTACCAAAAGCTTTAATTCTATTCATCCTTTTGTAGGAAACCTAGCAACAGAAAACGTGCTTGTTTAAAACGTTCATGTTTCGAGTTTTATATCGTTGAAATAACTGTTTAAAACAATTAGATACATTCATTTCAATAGAGTCTCATGATTAATTTCAGCTTTCATATGTTGTCTTCTCTCCATTTTTGCAAGTCTTTTCTGTTCTATAAGTTCTATAAAACAGAGAATAATGCAATGCAGAAATGCAAGTGCGAACCGTCAAGAATTAGTACAATAAATTAGGTAGCATATTCCGTAAGATATTGTTCAAAAGCAATTAACATAAGTGTCTGACACTTCCATCGACATCTTTTTTAATTAATTTTTCTATACAGAAATACTCCTTATATCCTTATCCTTATACCTTATACAATTTACTGATAGTAATGATAATTTCTGTACATGTACACTGACCAAGTTGATGTATACAATAAAAAAATCAATACTAATTTTGAGTTTAACTTTGTTTTAATTGGAATAATGGATACAAGATAAGGAGCTTCAATTATTTAAGTAAAGAAGATGATATGAAATAATTGATTTTAGATAAAGTAAAACATGATATGATTTATAAAAATGGGACATTGATTATACACGTATGTATAAAAAAAACTGTGAAGCTATAGAATAGTAAGCTTCATCATAGTGATGTTATTTTGGGATCACTGATGGACATTACTCTTTGTGTTGAGAATTGAAGTATGCCTGAGGACGTGATGAATGTTGGACCTGTTATTATCTCTAAAGATAAACAGTTTTAATCAACCCGACTCTGTAATTATCACTATTTTAGTATTGTTATAATTGATGCTCTCAAGTGAATTTTATATATCTCAATATCTTGCATAAATATTTTAGTATTAACAACTAGAAAAGTCTTAATTACTATGCCAATCCTTTTAGATACCGCATAATCTATAATTTTAAAGTTGAACTATACAGAAACAACACAGTTAGTTTACATCAGTTGTACCGAGTTGATAATCATTAAATTGACGCAATGTTACAAATACATGTTATATCAGAATAGTTCGGAGAATATTTCAATCCTCTGACAATGAGAAGATCTCATTTTTGTTGATAAGAATCCGACCCATTCAAAAATCTCTATGTTTTGTTCAGTCCTTCAATATAACCATCGCCACCTGTCTTTCGTTTGCCTACGATAGGGGTGACATCAACAAAAATACAGGATAGTCAAAACCTGTATCGCCCGATATGCAGTCATTGTCAAGATACTGTTTGAATATTCACAATATACTATAAATAAAAAAGTAAATATCAGCAAGAAAACAAAATATTACAGAATATATTTGCATTTACCAAATATCAATATACTCTGTACACACTATAAGATATCATACACATCTTGTGAATTTCGTTTCAATGAGTAAAAACACAATTTTATTAATCAATGTTTTACTGTGTTCTTGTTTGATGTGAGAGAGTTAAAATCTTCGATTATTTATGTAATTGTTTTACATTTAAATTGAGATATAGAAACAAAACAATAAAATTAAGTCATTGGAAAACAACCTTATTCCGGCAATAAATATTATTTTGCTAAACATTTGCTTTTATTTGAGATGTTTATACTTTTATCTTAAAAACTAATATATGAGAACGAAAAAACATCATAACATCGAAGGAGTCAAAGTTTTGAAGTTGTATGTCACACTGCTGGTCTGCCACCCGCACCACCTTTACCACCAGGACCGGCCTCTCCGTCCTCGCCGTCATGTCCACTTGGAACATTCGGACCCCCGATTCCGCCTTTTCCACCTTTTCCGCCACCTGAATAATGATATTCTTGCGCGTTTTTCTTATTAGGCCTTCCAAGACCAAACCATCTTGTATACCATGGATCGTTGTTCCAGTTACCATTCCATGTATAGTCGTTTTTTGATACTGCTGGTGTGCCACCCGCACCACCTTTGCCACCAGGACCAGGTTCGCCGTCCTCACCGTCATGTCCACTTGGAACGTTCCGACCCCCGGTTCCACCTTTACCGCCTTTTCCACCACCGGTACATTCATATTTGTTTTTCATATTTTCACTATTCGATTCAAAGGCTCTTTTACCCAGGTTTGGATTAGTTATAGCCGGTCTACCACCTGCACCACCTTTTCCCCCAGGACCCGGTTCGCCATCTTCACCATCATGTCCACTGGGAACGTTCGAACCTCCGGTCCCTCCTTTTCCACCTTTACCGCCACCAAACTTTTTCTTGTGATGTTCATCACAAGGTATATCTTTTTGGTTGTTTGTTGTGTTGTTACCATAATCTGAAACCCCATTGTATTACACAGTTTAATTCAAAATGCTTAAACTAAGCTATCAATAAAATAGATAAAAGCTTTTGTTGTTTATCATTCGTTACGTTGTTTCTTATTAAAGTAAGAAATATTAAAGTATTAAAGTAAATGTAAATTATTAAAGTAAATCTCTCTGGATTTATTTGATTAATGTATATGATTTCATAGCTTTCATCAAAATTAGCACAATTTTACAATAATCATGCACACATTTATTTGATATAAAAAGCTTTCTGATAGCAATGATATCATATCATCATAGAGGGTGACTCGAATATTGGTTTACAAGTATAGTTTATTAACTCGAAACAATTAAACTTATTTTACCTTCATTGCAAATCTTATCGATGTTATAACACTTGTCCATCAGTTTAACTCTGATCACATTTCCGTTTATTTTTTTTCCTGAAATTATGTACAATAATGCAATAATATTTTTAAAGAAGCATTATATGTTTATAAAGATAAGCTTTTACGTGCATTTGAGGTCGTAATTACTTTTATAAAAAAAAATTTCGTTTGAAAATAACTGGTAACGGTAACGGTAACATTTGCGGACCTATTTCAATCATAACTAAAAATATTTACAATTTAAGGTTAGTAATTTGCTACAGAATAAAAGTGCTATTTTTAATGCGATTTATATGCTTTTTAAAAAAAACCTCAAGTTCTTTTACAGCCCGTTCCGCTTTTTAGAGTGGCATATGTCACTATCCCCTTCCGATCCTGTAGTTACAAGGTTACTTTTCTGTGTAAATATACATACAAGTATGCATTTATATCTTCATATTTAACAATAATTAACGTTTACATAAAACAATTATGATAGTATTTATCTCAGTTCATACAGTTATGTGAATCAAACAAGAAAATATTTTTGCAAGCTAAGGAAAGGGAAATAAACTTCGGTTAAAATAAATGTGAAGTAAAGGTCTTACAATTTAAGTTACCCAAATCAAACGTTCGGAAATTCATATGAAATCTATCGCATATGTTCGTTTACTGTACAAGTTAAGACACAAATACAGGTAATCAACTTAAATGAACGTCAATCTTGATAAATATATCGAAACATTCTTTAGAGAAAGGAAGCTAAAAACATACTTGTATTTCTCCAAAACGTTTGAAATGTTGGATAAAATCCTCTTTCTTGATATCAAGTCCAAATCCCGTGATAATTACTGTGTTTTTACAGTCATCCATGTTTTCGTTTATTACCTGCAATATTTAAATATATATATAAGCATGTAATCTATGTCATAAAGTCGAATATAACCTTGTAATTGTATCAATAAAATTTGTATGAAAAACAATACTTACAGTACTATTTCCCACGACAATTATGACGTGCAAATATGTAGAAATTGACGTGATAACATTCATGTACATATGTGGAAGACAAATTAAATGTTTTACGTGATGTTCCGTGAGATTTTATCAACTGAGGTAAATTATATACCTCAACATAGATCTTAAACCAGAGTATCTTTAAATAGATAAAAGATATGTTATAATAGAAATAAAAAGTTTATATGAAGACAAAATTGTATCTTACTTCTTCTTAATTCCTTTCAATTCAGTTGTTTCAATTTATGTAAATACATTTCAGCATTTGTTATCATTGGAAACCCAACCTATGAATTTTGTGCGTAAATTTAAAATGGTGAGTTGTGTGTATTTATAAAATACATTTTGAAATACGATAATGAAAGCGAAAGTAAATAATTACTATGCTTCAATAACTGATTTGTTTTTAATTTTAGATATAATAAGTTAAACTCAATTTCTTTCTAAGCTGATACAACTTTTGGTTTTCTGGGTTGTTAAAAATAGAATTTGATTCCAAAACACTGGATTGTCATAAATAAATGACAATACAGTAAGACATGTTTTATATCAATCATTTTATATGATTGATATAAAGCTCGAACGTGTTTGCATATACCTACATCATTATTATTATTATCAACAATTCTTTGTCTTTTAAATTTGATAATTAACGATATATTTGTTCTATAATATACCAAGTAAAGTTAGATTAGGTCGTTATTTCGGGCATATTCTGATTTTGTCTAGACTATAAATAGATCAAACAAAATTTTAAAACTGTTTCCCAATCGTGTATAAACTTGGTCTGACATTCCTCTTTTAGTAAACATAAACCTAAAAGAATTAATAAAATTGCTAGACTAATGTTGAGTGCGTTTACGTGATATAATGTAATGTACATCATTTTATGCGTCCTTAACTCTTTTGGTTCTTCAATTATCACCACTATTCAGTACTTATTTACTCACTCGTGAACAGATATTACTTACATCCTAAATTCCTCTTGATTTTCATGTGACCGGACCTGTTTAACGGTGTAAAAAAAGACTTTATTTGTGGCTATTTATGCCGAACACCTAGTTTTTATTTGAATATACGTTAAATCTCATGAAACATTATATGAAAAAAAAAATGACTGCTATGCCATACGATGGATAACTGTAAACTATCATTTGACATATTATTTTATTACGACTAAAGTAATTATTTATAATGTGAACATTGTTTTCCTTTTCTTCATATTTGGTAATCATAATCAAACAATTACGAATCAAGCCAGAGGTACCACCATTGTTCTAGTTGTTTTATTTTTCTTATTTTGTTGTTGTAGATCTAACTGTGATCAAGTTCTGTATTCAATACAATATGTTTATTTATAACCATTGTATTAGAAGTAACGATGTTCTTATTCTTCAACAGGTGTTTTTTTTTAATCAACAAATCAATTAATGTTTCGATAAACATGGCCATGCTCTGGACCATATTCGCATAAAGAAAAAAAGAAGAAGAGATAATTGTTGTGAGGTATTATCCTTTTTATTTTCTTAAACTTATTGACATATTTTGTGTAGACAAATACATCGTATAAACATTCAAATTATAAATGAGTGTAAGAATTAGTTAATTATAACACTGAAATTATTTAAAACATGCATACTTCTATATATAAGTCTTGCATTTGATAATCAATAGCCAATGCATATATTTTCTATTAAATGAAAATGGCCACATTTGTTGGATATTAAACTAGTATCGAAAAATAATATTGTGAGTATAAAAGTGAATAATCTATATCGATATTTTACTTAATCATGCATGTTTCTTTTTACACAAATATTGTTAATATTGTTTAACTAAATTAACTGAATAAAATAATCTAATTTTGATTATTCATCTCCAAGAGCGTTAAACAAATAAAACGTTTCCATTATTCTCTTTTAGAAATATATATCTAAATAAATATATAAACATGAATGAATAAATGAATGTTAACATCAGTTTGTCGTCTAATAATAACTTCCATCTTGTCCGTTCTGTCCATCTCTTCCATTTCCACTTCCACGACCTCCTCTCCCCCCTCTGCCTCCTCCTGCCCCGCCTCCACCACCACCTCCTCCTCCACCGCCATTAACACCATCTTGACCATCCTGACCGTTCTGTCTTGGACGTCCTCCGTCTCCTCCTCTTCCTCCGCCAGGTCCACCACCACTTCCACCACCACCACCCGCCCCACCATTGCAACCTCCTCCCCCGCCGCCGCCACCATAATTTGTGTCGTTGCTATTTCCCATGTTTATCACTGGAAACTGTTAAATAAGGAAATATCATACTTTATAATTATACTTTTCAAAGATAACTTCTCTATTAGGTGTAAAGTTACTTCTAATGACAATTATATTAACATTTAATCATGGTAAAAATCTGTATCTTTTCAAGTGCATTTTCAAACTTTGTTTTTCTATAATATATATTGACAGCATATATACATGAACGTTACATTAAAACAGTGATTGATGCTATAATATTACTGAAGAAGACAAAAATTATTCGATCGACCTAAAAAAAGTAAATGAACTTACCGAAATTGAAAAAGAGTTATTCAGTGAAACAAATCAAATAATGATGTGTCGTACATACTTTAGTACTTAATTAAAGATACCAAGAAGCATATTAGGGCCCTTAAAATTGTTCCGAATAACAAACGACATGATATCTTAAATACGTCATCCAATCTATAAATAGGCAACAGTTATCAGTAATTTTTCAAGCATTCAAAACTAATTTAATTGATCTTTTTCTGAATTTTGAAGTTGGATTCCTCAAAGTAACATACCTGTATCCCAAATTTAGCTCATTGGTTTTCCAATTATTCATGTGTTCCCGTATAAAACAGAATTCATAGTACGCTGTACAGAAGTAACACATTATTCAGTGAATGCGTTTAAATTGTACAATAAATGTAAGTGTTTACGAATTGTTTACATTATAAATATATTTCTTATTTCTACATTCTTTTGTTTATTTCCATATAGTATCAATAATTATCATAATGATCATGATATTATCACTATTTACTAATTTTAATTTACTAATTTTATTTTGTACCTGTCTGTCATGGTAAATACTTGAATTGAATAACTATATAAAATGGAATAACAATATAAAACGTTTAGAATACTTGATTGGAAAAATCGAAATACAATTATATAATTATATTTGTAATATTTATTTATACCTTTATATTTGCAGTAAATTGTCGAATTGGAAAGTATATATATATACTTATAATACTGCACGTTTGTAACGTCGCTTTTCATTGGATAATCGTGACGTTTATATAGTTTTATATACACGTCTTTTGTCGATTCATGAAGAAATCTTACTTTTTTCTCTAAAAAAGGATGCTTGCTGTATTATAAATTCGTTATAAAGGTTGTTGACCGGTTATATGGCCCTATATAAACGACTGTTTGCAATATAACCCTCGCCTGACGGCTCGGGTTATATTTACAAACAACCGTTTATATAGGGCCATATAACCTGTCAACAATCGTTATAACTAATAATATCAAGATATATCAATAACTTTCTGTAAGTAAAGATTTAGCTTTATATATTATATCGAAAGTTATTGTGTCGAAAGTTTTAAATTATTTGTGTAATTTTATGCTGATCGGAGTGTGCTCGTTATTGATTTAAATTTAATTATATATAATACGTCTGGCAATCAGACTTAAGTTCATATATACTTACGTTATTTCCTGCATTAAGATATTGTTGTCACCGAATTAGTCTTACCTTAATTGTACTTGTCAGCTATATGAACCTACTCAGAATTGGTATTCCAGTGGTTAAAATTAGAAACAGCATTGCTTTCAAAATTGAAATTTGTAAAAGCTCGCTGATGATTGATTGTTTAAAAGGTCGCAAAGAAATGACCATCAGATCTAATACATAGCTTGAATTAGGAGCTGATTTTAATTAGATTGTAGACTTGAAAACTTTAACATTGTTTACTCAGTTTAAAACATAACAAGTTTAAAACTCAGTTAAGATTCGCAATTCTTAATGCATATATTTGTACATTATCCGTTATATAAATACATTTCATCGATATCATTGTATATTTACTTCGTTCTAATTAACAGAATAAAATGGGAAATACTGGATCAAACAATTCAGGCGGAGCAGGAGGTGAAGGAGGAAAAGCCGCTGGTGCAGGAGGTGGTGGGGGAGGAAGTGGGGCCGGGAGTAATGCTCCAGGTGGAAACGGTGGACATGGCGGCAAGTTATGGGGAAGTGAAGGCAGAAGATACCTCTACCCTTCAGGCCTGTTTCCATGGAGTTGAACAAACACTTTAATAGCTCCTTTTATTATCTATCACTTCATTTTCATATAACAATATCGATTATCTTATCTTCTTGTTTGTCTCAGGTATCATCTTCATAACATTGAAACAGACAAATTTGTAACAATATCGATCAAAAATGTGCACTGTGTTACTTGGTATCTGATGTATAAACCAATCATATGCGTTCATAAGACAGTTTGAACTTTGACAGAAAATGATGAACTCATGTAATTATTCAATAATGTAAATTAAGTATATGTTATGGTAATAAATTTATTCCTTTTTGATAACATTGTTGTGTGTTATTGTCCCTGACCATTCTTTTCATCAACATCGACAATTCATACATGTAATTCACGGTGCTTATTGATCCATATAGAATCCAATGATCGCACACGGCCAGTCGTTCGGATACGAAAAGCATCGAAGCATTTATGCTGTTATTTTTTTTCTTTTATATTATTATATACGCCATAGAATTACAATACTTATTGTTTAGTTTAAACTTATTTTATGGCACCTTAAATATGTATGATAATGTCATAAACGATAAATATATAGCAAACGGTTTGGACATCAATTGCTTACAACATTATATTTAATTTTCCCCGGAATAAGTTAAATACTGAAATATAGCGGACAGTATTATCAAAATACACGTGTATAATTGCACACGATACAGACGAAATAGGACCTGACAATACTATTCTTAGTATACGGTAAACTGTCGGGTGTGGATAGAAATCAAATTTGTATATATGAATTTTATATATATTTGAATTTTGCATTGTATGGCGTCGTGTCTTGTGCTTTGTAGATATGTTAATGTTCAAATCTTTCATAGAAATGGTTTAATGAGAGCTTAACGAAACAATAATATCCTTTTAAAAAGTTAAATATGTGAAGTATTAAACGTCTGAGATTTTCAAAATGCCCCGGGATGATTACAAACAAAATCAGATATATCAATAACTGATGCGTTATGATGCCCAAGGACTCGACCCACTTTAGTGACGATTCGTCCCATTGCCAGTCGCCGCACAATACACTCAGAGGCACTTATAACCCGACACTTACATTTTTCGGTATAACTTGGTTATTTGAGAACAGATTTTTTTCCGTTTTTGAACATACAAAATTCAATATACCATACTTAATTATCTAAAATTTCACTGCCAATTCATTAACAAGAAAATAGAGAAAATAACAGAACAAATATGTTACTGCAAAATGAAAAATCACAAAATGACTGTAAATATCGTAATATGATGAAAAGTCTCTAAATCCAACTGATTCCGTATAATAACCAGTTCTAATACTTTCTGTGTCATCCCATGACTATAACAAAGTTTAAACACCTGTCTCGTGGTTATGACGGAGTGAATACTTCTCCATTTCGGAATAAGGGCTTCCTCGAGTTCAAGCAACTCCTGCATTCCAAGTTACAAGATCTAAACATCGCACTTGTCGGCTGAATTGAAAAGGCGTGTAAGAAAGCAGCCAAAAGTTCCTCGCAATTTCCTGGAACACGGGCAAGTCCTTATTTAGAAATAAAGAACTGTGAGGCAGAGGTGTTTACTTTGTTATAGCCAATTGGGAGGTCATATAAAGTGTTAGAACTGGTAAACATACATATTTTATAGGATTCAGAGACTGTTCATTGTGTTACGATTTTTACAGTCATTTTGTGATTTTTCCTTTTACAGTAGCCTATTTGTTTTGCTATTTTTTCTATTTTCTTATCAATGAATTGTAAATAAAATTCTAAGTAGTAGTATGATATATTGAATTTTGTAAAGTCCAAATCTAAACAAAATCCGTTCACAAATAACGTATGTTTTTAAGGAAAAAGTCAGTGTCGGGTTATAAGTGCCTATGTGTGTAGAGACGATTCGCCACATAAAGACTCGCCATACTTCAGAGCACTTCAATTATAATTATGATATCATTCGTTTTATTTCGAGAATGTTTTAGTTAATGAAAGATCAGTTTTTTTCAATTGATGGTATGGATTCATTGAAATACTACATGTTTTATAGTCTTAAGGTTTTGCGTTACTAAATAGAAATTATAGTTTAAAAAAATATATATACTTAAAATGCTTTTGTAAACAATCTTTGACTAGTATGTCCCAGCAACAATGTCATCTGTTTTATTGAAGTAACGACTAATTATATATATGTATTAATAAAAGATAATATCAGTTATCTATAACAACAAACTCATGTTTACTTATAACTCTTTAAATAAAAAAGATGATATTAAGAAAAACCCTAAACCATATATATTTTTCAATCAAATTGAATTTATAATAAAGTCAGATATTTGTTGATATTGTATACAATTCATAAAACGATGTTCTTATGTGCTGAGCGACGTCCACAATTAGACGTGAAGTCTGCAAAAAGACATGTATACCATGCGCTTTTTAACGTTGTTCTTATTTCTCTGACGCCGTCATTGTTTGAACTTATCATTTTTCATATATACAGGTACCAGAATGTCTGCTATAAGATATTTAATAAAACCACAATGATGAAGTGTTTATCAAAAAGACATCACATTTCTAAATAAATTTGCTTTCGAATCATATTAATCAGAACTTTGAGGTAAACGAAAAAAATTCAAAAAAAGAAAGAAACGCCAAAAAAAATCATGTAATGCCTATAGAAGAGACGTGTTACTGGTAACTCGGGTATTTTATTATCATCGTGGAATATTTAATTTGAATTTATTGTAAATTTGTAAACAGTGGGTTCAAATTTGCGTATATTTTAACCAATAAATCTTACTTTCATTTTCGTATATTATGCAGCAATGATAATGCAATGCTCTAAAATAATTATGTTATTTACATTCTATACATAAGAACAATTCATTGGACAAATTACAGCGTATTTAAATTTACTCCATTTTCATTTTCCGTATTATTTATGTGTGCGTGCGTGCGTGCATGCGTGTATGTATGTGTGTGTGTTAACAGCTTCGATTTATCTTGTTCTTTATGAGGGAGATATATAGGGTAGAGGAAGAGTTTGGGTTGATTAAGACAGTGGAATGAATATCCTAATTGGACGTGACAATGAAGATGGCGATCCTGGTCCTTGTGTGTGGCAGACCAGTGAAACGAAGTCAAGTGACCACCATAGAAGTATAAGCACCTCCCCGGTCTATTTCATTTAAAAGATATTGACTCCCCCATCATGATTTTATGACTTGATTTGTACATGTAATGTGGGTTTCCTAATGATAACATGCACTAAATGTTTCTGTCACAATATCAGTAGAGCGGGTATAAAAGTATAAAGGAACATACAAAAGTTAAAATTCTACAAGGTCACCATATCACCGCATTTATGACTAAATTGATCATATGACATGCACTTTGTTTTATTTATAGACACAAATAAGCCATAATATTACGGTTTTTCAATTCTATAAATAATTCAGATTAAGTTTGTGGGGTATGTCGCTAGTTTCCCAAATAATGAAGTCTTTATTATAAAAAGGCAAGACTAGGAATACATATCATACATTTGTATGTTGTATGCTAACAAGGTAAATCTTTACAGTATCATTAATATATCTTAAATCACTTTTAATACAGTAACTGTAATATTTGAATTATTATTTATATGTAAGTGAACTTGGTTGTCAGAAGCGTTTTAATTAATTACTGCTGATTTTGAAAAAAATAAAATAATTATTACATTTTATTATCATTATTACATTTCTTATTACAATTATTACATTTGTTATTCAAACCATTCACATAAAAGCTTACGTCATGACAACAGAGAGTATGCGTTTATTTGTAATAAATAATGGAGGATAAAATGTCTGTATGACTTTTAAAACAATCATATATCACTAACATAGTTGACCGGTAAAGCTATATATAGTTCATGCTTCAGTTAATACATACATGCATTACTATTCTATGTTATAAAAGTATAAGGTAGACAAAACTTGTATTTTCAGTAAAGCAAGTATTCTTCGATAAAGTGTGAACTCAGAAAATCTTCAATATAAAGGTAAGTCGATGACGTTATAAACTAAGTTAATTAATACAACATTGAACGTGACAATGCAGCAAACAGTGTTTAAGATGTATATATTTTACTTCCAGTACTTATTTGTATCTTTATTCTTATTTTAATGTTTAATTTGTTGTTTTTTTGTTGTTGTTGTTTTTCTATTAGACAATATGTAATTCGGATTATAATTAATATCTTAAAACACTTTTAATTGACAGTGAAAAAATGTGCAACACTAACTCGAACAATTCAGGTGGTGCAGGTGGTCAGGGAGGCCAAGCTGAAGGTGCTGGGGGCGGTGGGGGAGGAAGTGGAGCCGGAAGTAGTGCTTCAGGTGGGACGGGAGGTAATGGTGCCAGTATTTGTGGAGGTGGACGAAAGATAATTACTCCGCAAGCAATTTTCCTGTGGCGCTGATAATTCTTTATATGAAACTGCTCTGTGAACTTTCTTAATATTGTGAGAACAAAATAACTTAAATATTACAATCACAAGACAATTTCTTACATGTTTAAAACTTACAATTGCATTATATAAAAGTTTCCTCCTAAATAAAACGTACCAAATATTAAATTAAGTTTATATGTTATTTACTGTATAATACATGTATATGACAAAATATAATTAAATTTTCTTAATAAAACAAAAACCTAACAATGCTTTGTCTTGCTCGCCATTACTGTTAAGGTTGGTGTATTATGTCATTAAATGAAAACCTTCTAAAAGGAAAAAAGTTCGTTAAAATCTTGTTCCGCTTTTCCGATCCTGACATAACCATGATAATGTTCTCTGTAAATATACATGTACAGTACGATTATATATAATAACACATATTAACATCAATAAATACAGTTTCAGGTTTATTTGAATATCGGCATACAAAATACTCTTGACCATTTATAAATATAAAAAGGATGGCCGAATTAGCACAAATACGCACATAGAATGGCATTAAAGCAAATATTTATCAAAGCACTAAAAATGCTTAAAGCGGCAAGCCCCCACCAATTTTATGAAAAATTCTTAATCAAGAAAATTAGTATACGCTTAGCTTAATACTCCGGTAGTAATTGAAATTAGCAGTGAATTTTTGTCAAATCGCCCCAGGCACTTTATTCACAAGATATTACGGGCATTGGCCTTTTCACCCACAGGCGTTATATTGAAATATAAACTATTGAAAATTTAAAGAGGTGTTAAGGAGTGTTCTGTATAAAAGAATTTTAGGGGGAGTGGGTGGGGCGAATAAAATTGAAGTGTCTGGGAGTAGAGTGTCTTGTTTCCTCTCCAGAAAAGAAGCAACTAATCAGTATATTTAAAAGTCCATAATACAGAATCAACATATAAAGAAAATTGAATTTAAAGTGATATCATAATCGGAATTATCTTTTAGAGATCTCGTTATTTTCTAACAAAGTTGAAATCTCTGATGGTGTTGCTGTTGCTTCTGCTGCTGTTGTAAAAAGATAAATATATGAAGCAAAGAATGAAAATGCTTGTATTTTACCCTGGCAAAAGTATATATTTTCACTACAATAAAGGGAAATGATAAGTTGTTTTATTGCCATACTAATTTATTGCTTGAGGCGAAAACAGTGATACTTTGGTTTGCTTGTTTCGACTCGACACAAACTTGTAAAAAACAGAAAATAAACATCAAAAGAGCTCCACTAAGACACAAAAATATAAAAAAACCATAAAATTTGAAATCGTTACATGTAAAAATTGGGTACCTTAAGATGGAAGGCTGCAAACGGTAAGAAGTAAATATATCTCGAATTAAACTGAAATATATTTTAAGTGCGATCTTTAACAGTTTTGGGTTAAAATTAATTTGAACGCATTTATATTTGGTCTACTATATACCATTTCAAAATATATCTTTTTGCATTCATTTGAATAATCAAATTAAACATTTTATTAATAGCTGTCACGTCATAAAACTTGAGTGATGTGTTCTTCTTTATTAAGAACTAGGTAATTTGTGTGGATCCCAGTTTAAAAATGCATTACATGAATTATAAATAACCTATATTTTCTGTAATCCTTATTTTGAAACCTTCGAGCTTAATATAAAGATATATGAAGCATTTATTAAAATATAAGAGCCCGACAGGTTAGTTCAATAGGTAGAGTGTTGGATTGTGAATCGGGCAATCCGGGGTTCGATTGGCGGATTGTGAATGATCATGAAATACTGTCTTCGGTCATTTGTACTGTACCTCTTCTGTGGTATGTACTGAAGTAATCAGTTACATACAACTGCTTGGTAGCATGCTTAGGAACGATGTGGTCGCTGCGATCTGGTTAATTCAGAGTGGCTTACTGCCATCATCCCGACGGTAAACTGCAAACACCACCACTTAAATATAAAACTGTTGATTCCATTCTTGATAATCAGTGAAGATGTGAATTGCTATCGAAGGTATTGTTATGAATGAAAAAATATGTGTTACGTAAATGCATTCCACCAGTCATTTTATGAAAAAGTTACAGAGGCGTATAGTATATTTCTTGCTGATTGAATTATTTCAAACCACCATTTTCAGCATAAAGAAGCATATAGCTTTGTTTTACAAGAGAAACCTGAATGTTGACAAGCACGTGAACAAATTAAACAAATTTTTTTTTAAAAATGCAACTTTCTGTTGAAAGATATTGGACATGTCTTAATATGAAAATCTTTTTGGAAGAAAACCGCAAATAAACATACAGGTTTATAACAGGGAAATTTTGAGGAATTGTACTTTATTTGAAAATAATATTAATTGATGTTTTATTTGACTTGGTAATACTTGGACCATTATGAGCATCATTTGTTATGATAAAGGAAATAAAATGGGGGAGTACTCATTATTTTAAAAAGTTAAATATGTATATTCTAAATGACCAAGTAATTACAATCTCGTTTATTCAAGATTTAAACACAATTACGATTTAACGTCAGAACAAATTTCATTAAATCTGCGCCATCAGACGGGTCAAGATGATTTAATTTTATTCATGCTGAGTAACACTAACATATACCAAATGTATGTTCTAGTTGTCTTAATTGACTATATGACCTAATATGACTTAATCAATCGACTATATGAAAGGATCTAGTCCCACCCAGAGTTGTTCTGCTGACACTTCGCCCCTTCCCCTTTCCCCAAAAAGCTACATATATATTAAGCATAAGTATCTTTTTTCTTTCTTTATTTTTTTTCGTGAGGGTGGGTGACTGGCGGCGTAGTGACCATTCAATGCGCAGTAAACCTGTGTACCCTTGGTACCTTAATCATCATAGCATTTACCTTGGATTAAAATCATCATTGAACATTGTATGTAAATACACGCGGTAAACTATAAAGGTATTTTATATTTTTGCTCCCCGTAATGTAAGCGTCTATTTTTAGTTCTTTGTTTCGGTTTCGCAAATAATGCAATAATAAACAGTTGACACGAATTAAAGGATTCCGGCTTGTTATTATTAGGTCAAAGCAAATGTAAATATTTCATTTTGTTGAATATGAAAGCAGAAATTTGCAACAGTGTTCATTTCCCGATAAAAGTTAGTTGTTAAAGTTGTTCCGTTATAAAATTATGCGTATTGATCTATGCATTATTTGATAATAAGACATTTTTTACCATGTCTGTTATAACACATCATTATGTATACAGCACTAGGTTAGATAAGTCAATTATTTGGTAAACTGCATTTGATATATATAAAATAAAAACCTTCCCCGTCAATGAGCGTATATTTTGGTAACCCCAAGCTCTCATTCTTTATGTATGTTAATTAAACTCAGTGCAGTTATTGATGTCTTCAGGAAAAATGTAATAAAACTATATTTTGATATTTAATTGTAATAAATAATATTGGCTTATTAAGAAATGAATTGTTTGAACCTATTATTATCATATTTTTTAATCAATTCTGTCCATATGTAACTTATTAAGATAAAATAGTTTAATACTCTTTAATGAAGTACTAGTATATTTTTTACTTTAAGCATCAACATAAAATATGTATGTATGTATGTATGTATGTGTACCTGCATGCTTACTAGCCTGCTTGCCTACAACATGCATAAGGATGTTGTACTTAAGTTCCAGGATTATTAATTAACCAATACAATTACTATTTGAAACTTCAAGTCAATAATTTTCAAATGCTAAAAAATATGTGAACAATAATTTTGAATCCTATGTTGGACTTACACAACTTCGTTTACAATAAAACGTCCCTCTATTATTCTTCCCTTCACAATATACATTAAAATTACATAAAGTCTGTTTATGGATATATTTAACAACAAATACAAGTGATGATAGTTTTCACTTTCAATATTTTATAAAAATTGCAGTTCCAACTACCAATGTTGGGGACATTAATGCAGTACCAGTATCAGTAGTAAAAATGTATTCGTGTAACTACTTCAGAATCAGTACCAGAACTTGCTTAATGACTGCAGTACAGTTACAGTACCAATACTGTATTTCTTATGTGTGTATTTAAAGATTTATAAGAGTTAAAGATTCATAAGCGAAATGTCACATAAGGATCAGAGAAACAGCCCGTAACCGTAATTGATTGAACGTCGGTCACTAGAACGTTGTCCTTTAAAAGTGTTAACAAGAACTGTTTAAAAGATCAACAACAATGGTTATTGGCTTCTACTTGTTAATCGAATTCAAATTATTGATAAAATTTGTAAATTGACTGTTTAATAGATGTCTCATGTGTATTATCTAATTTTCTCAATTTCAATGTTTGAAGACACAGGGCATATAAAGATTTTCTTTTTCTTTCTTTTTCTTTAAGCAGTTTGTATTCTGAGAGTGTTTGTTGAACATTGTTATCCACTTGTAAGTCAATTTAACTTTGATCACATTGACGTTTTTTTCTTTTCAAAAATCATGTAATAATCCCATAATATTTTTAAAAAAGCTTTCCCAAGTTTTTACATTAATCATAAAGTTTTAATTTTTTCTACGTTCATTTGAGGTCGTTATAACTTTTATCTAATTTTTTAATATTTCTTGATTTTGTTATCGTAAATTGTAGGTTTACACATCGTAATAGTTTAAAAAAATCGAGAGGAAATTAATTTTAACTATAGTTACCAATATCAGTTATTTACGGCTTGTTCCCGCTGTATTTAGAGTCGGCAGTATTATCACAATATTACCTTTGACCTGAGGTTTACCCGGAACTTTTTCTTTGTAAGCATAGAAAACATGTATGCATTCTATTAAAATTTAATAAAAAACCAATTTTTCATAATGTATACAAAAAAAATATTGAAGTATTTATTAAATTAACCCTCCTTTTTGTAACCCAGAATCTTCTTACTTGCTTCATAAATTTCAGGTACAATACTCCCTCCCATTGCTCATCATTCCCCATTCTTATTCGTTTTGATCATATGAAACAGTTTTTAAGTTCAATTTTTGAAAGCTGGCTTTTTTGCTGCCTTCAGTTTACCAGTAGCTATTTCGCATTCAACCTGTTTTACAGGGTTGTTACTTTCATGGGTTTAAATGTTGAGTATAGGCTGGAACTAGCTTTGGTGATCACTTCCCAACATCGCCTCACTCTCACTCATACCATGTTGTAGGATATCTTCCATTTAAAAAAGCAATGTGGTTCTATTTTATTTTTATCTCTTCTCCAGCGAACCCCATGCAAGGGTTTTTAAGAATCTTCTTGTACTTAAACAAGTACCACCGATGACCATATTTGTTATTTCCCACAGAGTTTTAAATTCCATTTTGTTCCCTACCGCGTCTTTCCATTTTACTCTCCAAACCAGTTTTTCACTCCCAACTTTAGCATTTTAGCTCTCCCATAATGATTGTTTGATCTTGCTTTAAGGATCTTATGCAGTTCAGCTTGTGAAGCGTGGTAAAATGCTTGATTGAATTAATCATCTGTTTCATATGTCGGTGCATAGACCTGTATTATTGATGCCTGTAGAGGCTTTCTTTTCAATCTGACTCCTCATTTACAGGATGGTATTTTACTAATTATTGTGCTTGCTGTTTTTACAAAAAGATGATTGGCTACTCCTTCATGATGTTTAACCATCTCTTCTGCCTGAGTAAACTTCACTCATACTTGTTACCTTGTTTTACAAAGTCCGTAACATCTGCATTCACTGATTCCTAATATATGTAACTTGCTATTATTAATCTCTCATAGTTTGGGAAGGTTGATGAGTAGCTAGGCATGTCCACACACTGGTGAGGCTACACACTTCATTTTCAGGCCTGCTGCTTGCTCCTCTGAGATCCCCTTTCAGTTTAGCTTGAGAGCGAATGTCTTAATTACTGTGTCTTTCCGCGGGGGAAGCACTGAAAGGAGTCTTGTAGTACAGAGGCTTTGAGCTGCAGGAAAGATTTAAGGCACTCGACACTCCCTAACCTAACAAAATAGATTAGCAGCGGCACAGTGGATCTAGAGACGTTATTACTGCCACACTAGACGCATTTCACTACCCAATGTAAAAAACATAACACACCCGGTCTATATCTCTAAAAAAATGACTCTCCGGTCTTTATGTTATGTCTCTTGGTCACAATAACATGACCTTCTCACATTAAATAAATGACATCGCTAAAAATTAATATTAGTAAATGTAATCGTTTATAACCTTCAAAGATACAGGTTAATACATAACATGAGACTTTATACTACTTCACAACAGCAGGTGGCAAGTGCTATGTGGCAGCTGTTAAAAGTTGTCCTGTACTCTACTTTAGTGTTGTTATATTTTACTTGTCCTGCGGTATCATTGATACCAGCACAGTTAAGTTTTGAGAATTAAGTACCGTTGAAGCCGGTGCTATGGGGCGTGAGGGATTTTGCACGTTTTCAGTATCACTCATGTACAGACTCAATCAAACCGGGTCTGCAGTTCTCTTGTAATTTTGTTGGGATTAATGCTTCCGAAGGATCACTTTGTTTCCATATTTTTATGTATTAATCAATGCACCACGAATCCACAATTACAACTTTCTGAATTCATTTTTTCAACTTCACAGATTCATAATAGAACAACTGGACCTTATGAGTTTAATTTCATAAATTATAAATGTCATACTTTTGAAATTTCGTTTTCAATTTGTGTATTCATTGAAGTCAAAGTCCTGAATTAATGAGGATAATATTGTGAAAACGTGATTTCTGAAACTTAAATCATGATTTCCCGTCTTAAGTATAAACATATGCTCATATACCCGTGTACATGTAGTGTGTGTTTCTTTGCGTTTTGCGTTTTGATTGAAAGGAATACCTGAACTAAATGTTTCTGACGAAATATATCAATAGAGTTGATATTAAAGTATAAAAGCCGGGCTCTTAAAAACGTGAAACAACTACCCAGCAAACACATGACGTTAAAATAACGTCGGATTAATGTTAGATTTTGGTCACGACGTCGGTGACCAAAATACGACGTAAATCTGACGTTAAAATACCGATGTCTAATAGACGTTTCTTTTTGACGTCGTACTAACGTCAGGTTCTGGTCGGTGTCCTGACGGTAGGTAAAAAAATAACAAAAAATAATCCTTATTCGCTGTTGTAATCATTTAAACTTTTTTTCAAATGTTATTTGGATTACAAATGAAGTGTTCTTATATAAATACAGACCAAGATCGCGGCGCTGCAACATAATAAAACATGTAGTTGGCGCTGTATATAGGCAAGTTACATGTGTTATTGTTATGAAATCTATTTATAGCCACAGATCTGTTTACAAGTTCCAATCATTTAACGTTATAACATTATCATTTGTCTTACATTATATGTATCAAAATCACGAGTTTTTTAATAGTGCTTTAACATTTAATCATAGTGACAGAAAAGGGAAAGAAAACATAATTAACCTATAATTCGAATCTAAAGTCACGTGGATGGAAATTCAAATTCGTAGGCGTTACGTTTTGGCTGTCGGTCAGGAATCGGGATGCATTGATAAAGTGAATATTATAGATTTTCTTGAACAAAAAGGTCAGTTCAATTTATTTCTACTTTGTATTTGATAAATAATTGCATGATTGCAAGCACTCTTAAATTTAATTATCATTATTTGAACAGCTGAAGTAAAATGTCACACAAATTCGCGATATTGTCTTATAATAAATCTTTTTTAAAATTGACATGTTTTAACTCTGCTTGTGAAGAGTTTATAATATGCCTTTCAGTACTACCAAAGAGAATGCTTAGTTTTCATATTTTTCTTAAACTGTGATGTTTTTGTCAGTTAAAATCTGAAAATTGAGAATGAATTTGTACGATTTCGAGCATTTCGGACCAAGACGTTCCGGTCCCAAATAACCCAAGACGTTTTGGTTCCAGACATTTCGGCATTAAATCTTTAATTTAAAACTATAAAATATTTAAGACTTGCGTAACTGTTCTATTTCAAACGTAGAATATATACATAAGTTAGAATATAATTTTCTTTTCAGGTAGTTAAAGTGTTGGACATGCTCTCAAAGGTCGGAGGGACGGAAACACGTGAATATGTTAAAAGAAACATATGAAAGTAAGATTTTTGTAAATTCTATTACATACTTTAATCCATACTAAACTGGAGTTTAAAAGCGGCTTTTTAAATGTTCAGTATTTATGTTTACTTTTAATTTTTGTTAAAGCTCTCTTATAAAAAGTTGGCAAAATTGATCATTAAGTTAAGATAACCTTGAAAACATTTTTGCTTGTTATTTTTACATGTTTCATAAATTTCTTTTTTTTTTCAGTGAAAATGATGTCACACACGCTATTGGACGCTACAAACGCTACATATCCTCCGGACAGACGAGGGGTGCTGAAAGAAGGTCATATCTTAAAGCATCACATCTCAAAATTCGTGCTAATTCTCATGGATATCTTAAAGTATAACTTTGTGAAGTAACTAAAAGGCAGCAATTTATACATTACTGACAATTATCAAAGGAGGTCAAAATATGCAAAATGGCACTAAATGTTTTAGAAATGCTGTAGAAATATAGTTAAAATACTGAAAATCTGTCATTAATTGCTTAAAACATTATTATCAATATCTTTTAACTTTTCTTAAAATTATATTTTCATTATTTTATTTGATAAGGCAAACTTTGATAGAAATGTGCATACATTGGTTTGTTCTTTAATATTTGTACATGTTTTCTTAGTTTCATTTATGTCATTGTTTTTGTAATACTTTTTGTTTTGTAATTAACTTATTTTATGTTTTATTTTATTTAATTTATGAAAATTATTAAACCTTGCAGAATTTACTAAAATTGTATGTATCAGCTTAAAATTGCAACTTTTATTTTAAATTAAAAAAGCATAAAACATATTTTTGCTTTTAGTTTTCTGTTATACATTTCATTGGAGGGAAAGTCACTTAATAGAATGAGTTACATTAAATTTGATCAAATCAGGATTAGCCAGAAAATATTTATGACGTGGTGAAACAAAAAAGATTAGGGGAATGATCAGATGAAGGTCAGAAAATGATCAGATTTAGGGCAGAAAAGGGTTAATATTTAGGTCGGAAAATGGTCAGATTGAGGTCGGAAAATGGTTAGAAACTGGTTAAATTTAGGTCGGAAAATGGTCAGATTGAGGTCGGAAAATGGTCAGATTGAGGTCGGAAAATGGTTAGATAATGGTCAGATTTTGGTCAGAAAAAGGTTAAATAATGGTTAGATTCTGACGTCTACCTGACGTCAGATTATTACGTCAAAAAAACTTTCAAATCCAACCGTTTTTCCGACCGTCATCCGACGTCAGAACCTGACTTAAATCTGACGTCAGTATGACGTCTTGTGTTTGCTGGGTAGACTTATTAGGTCATCTAGTCATGGCATGTATTACTAAAACGATCTCGTGACATGAATTTTATTTTATTTATAGAAACAACTAGGCAGTTTTTAAAAATGAAACGGGTTTGTTCTAAAAATAATCCTGATTAATAGGTAATGCTGGTTTACCAAGTAAAGGGAATCTTTATGATAAAAAGGGAAGATTTAGAATACCTATCATACCCTGGTTTGCTGTCTGGTAATAAGGTAAACCTTAACCTCATTTTTAAATCTAAAATCTCTTTTAAATTGTCAGGTTTGAACTTTCACTCATAAATTAGTTTAAAGGGTGGTCAGGAGATTATTGATTTATTACTGCGAAAATATAATTAGGCACAGTAATTATATTATCAAACTATTCGCAAAAACAACTTATAAAATGTCAACAAAGAGTCTGAGTTTATTTAATATGATAAATAATTATGGATAAGATACCTGTATGGATGATATAGATTTTTCAAAACATTTACAGAGGAAATTGTCTGGTTACGTGCTTTCGTTAATACGTACATGCATTACTATTTTATGTATTGAATGTATAATGTGTAGACACAACTTATATTTTCAGTAAAGCAAGTTTCTTTGATTAGTTTAAATCAAGTGTGATCTCAGGAAAGCTTCAATACAAAGGTAAGTCGGTGAACTTATTGACTATATTAATTTAAACAGTGTTCATTGAGACAATGAAGCAAAACAGTGTATTGGATATATATTTTTATATCTGTAATTCTATATTTTGTTGATGTTATTTATTTAGTTGTTTTCTTTGTTTTGTTTTGTTTTTGTTTTATTTCTTTTTTTTGGTTTTTATGCTCCCGAAGGTGAGCTTATAGTCGCCGCTTTTCTATTTCTTTGTCCGTCCGTCCGTTCCCTCTTTCTTGTCCAGAACATAACTCTGAAACAACAAAAGGTATCTCTATGAAACTTTGTATGTAGATAGATATATTTGGGTTAATGTGCAGTGCACAAGAACCGTAACTCTGCCTTGCTTCATTTTAAAGTTATTGCCCAATGTTATTTTTTATACTATGAACATTGTCCGGGACATAAACCGGGACTTTAAAACAACATGAAACTTTGTAGGTAGATATATCTCATTTGGTAAATGTGCAGTGCAAAAGAACCTTTACTTTGCCTTGCCTATAATTTGAGTTATTGCCCTTTGTTTATTTTTACACTTTAACCATTGTCATGGACTCTGACACCATAAAAGATATCAGCATGAAACTTTGTAGGTAGATATATCTTATTAGGTAGGACTGCAGTGCAAAAGACTGTAACTCTGCCTTGCCTTATTTTGGAATTAATGTCCATTGTTCATTTATACACTTTGAACTTTGTCCGAGAGATAACGCTGAAACCGAAAAGATATCATCATGACAGTTTGTCCAGGACATAACTATGAAACTACAAAAGGTATACTCTTCTGTGTCTAAAACCTATTCGGGAAGCACCACCCGGTTCAGCCGCCTCCAGTTTTTTTTGCTTTTTTTCTATGTTTTTGTTCGTTTAGACACTATGTAATTCTTGTTATAATAAGTAGCCTAAAACACTTAGTTCAAAACAGAAACTGAATTATTCTATTGACAGTGAAAACAATGGGCAACGTTGACGCGACAATGCAAGGTGGTACAGGTGGTGCGGGTGGTCAGGGAGGTCAAGCTCCAGGCGCTGGGGGTGGTGGAGGAGGAAGTGGAGCCGGAAGTTCAGGTTCAGGTGGGGCAGGAGGAAACGGTGGAAATGTGCAAAGGATTATTACTCCACAAGCATTTTTCCGATGTCGCTGATAATTCGTTATATGAAACTGTATTATGAACTTCATATTTGTGAAAACAAAACGAAAGCAAAACAAAATAACTGAAATATTTTATATACATGACATTTTTTTCATGTATATTTTAAACTTAATATTGCTTTCATATAAAAGTTTCATCCTAAATATAACGTACTCAATATGTCATCAAACTAAGTTTATATGTTATTTATTGTACAATTTATGAAAAAAATGTTATAAAAATTTCTAAAAAAAAACAAACTGATACCATGTTTTTTTCTTGCTTGCCATTTCTATTCAGATTGATGTATTGTGTTAAATGAAAGCCCTCTGAAACGAAAAAAGTTCTTTTATGTTCCGCTGTTTAAGAATCGACATGCGTCACTATCCCTTCCGAGTCTGACATTACCATCATAATTATATGTGTAAATATGCCAATGCAGTACGTAATATATAGATTTAGTGACACATATTAAAGTTTATTCAATCATATCATGTTATGAAATTATTAATCATGTATATATTATATCGAAGCTATTATTTAAATCAATAAATACAGTTTCATGTTTATTAATACCAGTATACAAATACTTTGGTCATTTTTCAAAAATAAAAAACAGGATGGCCGAGATATCACAAATACTTACAAAGAATGGCATTAAAGCAAGAATTTATCAAAGCACTAGATATGCTGTAAGCGGAAGCCCCGAACATTTTATGCAACGTCTTAATCAAGTTACTAGTAATTAGTATAACGTAGACACTTTGCATGTTAAAGATGGTAAATATACTCAAAACTAAAGGAAAAGTGGGAGTGTGATTTCTGTTGGTTCTAAGCAACAATCTTCCTATTTACAGTACCTCGGGGGCAGACATTGTGTTTCCGATTCTAGGTAAGTGTCATCACATATATAAGTGATTTGACTGTAGAGGAAATTCCTTTTAAATATTTATCAATCTTATTTACAAAGTGAAATCTTCAAAATCAAATCAACTGAATATGGCAATATAACATAATAAAAGCCATTTGATCTAACTCTTTTCTGAAAAATATGCATTACCAAAGACTCATTTTGGCACGAAAATTATCCCTCATTGGGTACGAAAGTATTGCGTACAGAAGTAGCATAAATTCAAATATTTTTACTCTCACAGGCATATTGTTAAAAACTGCAGGAAGTCATATTTAAAAATTGTGTGTTTGTTTGTTTGTTTGATTGATTTGGTTTAAGGTCAAACCAACAAAGATGGGGTCATATCCCGACATTCCAGTTTTACTGATTCAGGAAGACCTCAGGTGCACTTCCATTCATTATTTCAGGAACGAACCGACACATGAGTAGAACCATCGACGTTCCGTAAGCTTGAAAGATAGCTTACTTACATGAAATAATACAAAGTTACTGTCGGGATCGGAACCAACAGTGGTGAGGGGTAAGATGTGTGACGCCATCGACCTTAACCCATCGGCCACGGACGCCCTTTTAAATATGGCTGATATAAAGATAAGTACATAACTATTTTTATAAGACGTATAACGTTAAACGTATAACTATATTACAGTAGCTGGTGTGAATTGAACATTATGATGTTACGGCCCGTACGGCTAGCCACTTAAATGTTGTAATCATTCGAAACTGCCGACTTATAATGGATAAATGGCTTTTTTAGCTTAGTTAAATCGTAACGAAATTGGATTGTTTAAAGCCTTTTTACGACTTGGTATGATAAATTCATATTTTAGACACTAAAAATCCGTGCGTGCAAGTTTGATTTATCGGAGCAATGCAATTCGGACAAATCTCCCTGGGCACTTTATACCCAAGAATACTCGGGTCCCGCAATTTTCCCTTCAGGTATTGTATTGAAATGAAAACTATCGAAAAAATAAATGGATGATAAATAGTGTACTGTATAACAGATTTTTAGGGGCGTTTAAGATTGCAGTGTCTGAGAGTGAAATGTCTTCAGATCACAATGTTCCTTTGTATATTCCGTGTAATTAGCTAAAAGTACAAAATACGGAATCATCTTATAAAGAAAATGGCATTTAAAGTGGTTTTTGGTTTCATCTTTCGGAATTATCTTAACAGTGCAATAATTAATCAAATTTTAGAGATTCAAATCTTTGATGTTGTCGTTGTTGCTGCTGCTGTTGTACAATGATAAATATATTAAGCAATTAATTAAAATGCTTTTATTTCAAGCTGAGAAAAGTATTTATTTTCACTATCATTAAGGGAAATGTTAAGTTGCTTTATTGCCATACTAATTTATTGCGAAAATAGTGATACGTTATTTTGCTGGTTTCGACTCGACACAAACTCGTAAAAACAGAAAATAAACATCAAAGGAGCTCCAGATAGGCACAAAAATATATAAAAATGAAATTCTTACGTCTTGCGTCTCTTAATATAAGAGGAAAATTGCACAAGATAGTTAGAAAATATACCATGAATTAAACTAAAATATATCTTTAGTACGATTCTTCGCCCACGTTGAGTTAAAAAAAATTTGAACGACTTCATATTTGATCTACTATATACCACTTCAAAATAACTCTTTTTTTCATTCAAGTGAATAATTAAAGTAAACATTCTATTAATAGCTGTAACGTCATAAAGCTTTTACTGGAATGATGTGTTGTTCAATATTAAGAACTGGGTAATTTGTGTGGTAATTTGTGTGGATCCCAGTTTAGAAAATTACAAAATTATATTCTACAAGTAATATAAACAGTCGGTATTTTGTGGAATCCTTATTTTGAAATTTTCGAGCTTAATTGCATAGATATCAAAATACATAAGAGCCCACCAGGTTAGCTCAATAGGTAAACCGTTCGATTGTGAATCGCACAGTCCAGGGTTCGATTACCGTCATCACGACGGTAAACTTCTATGATATCACCACTAAACTATAAAATGTTGATTCCATTTTTGAAAATCAGTGAACATGTGACTAGTAGTCGACAGAAATGTTTTAAAATAAAATAATATTTTTTAACCTAAATACATTCCACCAGTCATTTTATGACACAGTTATAGAGGCGGATAGTATATTAATTGCTGATTCTGATTATAACCATTGTTTAGCATAAAATAACATATAGCAATGTTTTACAACAGAAACCTTACAAACACGTGTATATTTCAAATTTAAATAATAATGCAGCCTTTTTGTTGAAAGATATTGGACATTTTGTAAATATAACACTATTTTTGAAAGAAAACCGCAAATATTCATGAATATAACAGGGCAGTTTTGAGAAATTATATTTTATTTGAAAATAATAATTGATCTTTTATATGACTTGGTAATACTTGGACCATTTTGAGTTGCATCCCTTGCTATGATCTAGGAAATAATACGGAGAGTCCTCCATGTATTGAAATGTTACGTATATGATTAGTGAAATGACAAAGTAATTACTATCCCGTTTTACTTTTAATCCTGTTTGAAACACGATTGCGTTTTTAACTTCAGGACTAATTTCAGTGAGATTTGACTTCAGGATTAATTTCAGTGAGATTTAACTTCAGGACTAATTTCAGTAAGATTTAACTTCAGGACTAATTTCAGTAAGATTTAACTTCAGGACTAATTTCAGTGAGATTTAACTTCAGGACTAATTTCAGTAAGATTTAACTTCAGGACTAATTTCAGTAAGATTTAACTTCAGGACTAATTTCAGTGAGATTTAATTTCATACTCATACTGTTTTGTAAATTGCATGATTCCATATTTCTGCTTTAATGTCTTTCCTTGACTTTTGGACCTAATTAATTCCTTACTATAGGACCTAATTAACCCCCGACTATAGGACCTAATTAATCCCCGACTACAGGACCTTATTTATACCAAACGATAGTACCTTATTAATCCACGACTTTAGGACCTTATTAATCCCCGACTATATGACCTAATTAATCCCGGACTAAAGGACCTAATTAATCCCGGACTATAGGACCTAATTAATCTCCAGCTATAGGACATAATTAATATCTGACTATATTACCTAATTCATCCTCAACTATTGGACCTAAGTAATCCTCAAAGTAAGGACCTAATTTTTCTCAAATTATAGGACATAATTAATACATGACTATATGACTTAATTAATATACAACTATTGGACATCATTAATCCGTGACCAATAATACTAAATAATCGTCAACTATAGGAACTGATTCCTGACTATAGGACCTAGTTAATCCTCAACTTTAGGCCAACTATAGGACATAATTAATTCCTGACTATAGGACCTAGTTAATCCTAAACAATAGGACATAATCAGTGTGCAACTATAGGACATTATTAATTCCTGACAATGGGATCTAATTAATCCTCAACTTTATGGCTTGACTAATCCCAAACTATAGGACCTAATTAATTCATGACTATAGGACAAGATTTAAACACAATTGCGATTTAACGTCAGGACAAATGTCATTCAATCTGCGCCATCAGACGGGTGAAGGAGATTTAATTTTATTCATGCTGAGTAACAAGCACTAATATATACCAAATGCATGTGATAGTTGTCTTAATTAATCCCTGAACTAATATGACCTAATCAATCGACTAAATGAAAGGATCTATTCCCACCCACAGGTGTTCGGCACGAAAATTGGTCACTACCCCCCCCCCCTCTCCCACAAAAAGCTACATATATATTAAGTGAGGGCGCAGGAGTAGCGGCGTAGTGACCATTTAACGCGCAGTACACCTGTGTTCCCCTGGTACCTTAACTATCATAGCATTTACCTTGGATTTAAATCATCGTTGAACATTGTATGTAAATACACGCAGTAAACTATAAAGGTTTTTTATATCTTTGCTACCCGTAATGTATGCGTCTATTTTTAGCTCTTAGTTTCGGTTTCGCAAATAATGCAATAATAAACAATTGACACGACTTTAAGGATTCCGGCTTGTTATTATTAGGTCTATGCAAATGTAAATATTTCGTTTTTTTTAATATGAATGCAGAAACATGCAACAGTATTCATTTCCCGATAAAAAGTTAGTTGATAAAGTTGTTACGATACAAAATTATGCGTTATTTGATAATAACGACTTTGTTTACCATGTATGTTTTAACACATCATTATGATATATATTAATAAAGACCTTCCCCGTCAATTGTAATAATGTAATAAATATATATGTTGATATTTAATTGTTATAAATAAGATAGGCTAATTAAGAAATGAATTGTTTGAACTTTTTATTGTAATAATCTTTTTCAATCAATTATGTTAAACAGTTCGTTCCAGATGTAACCAATAAAGATATAATAGTTTAATAATTTAATTTAATTAAAGATATCTTTTACTTTCAGCATCAACATAAAATATGTATGTAAGTATGTGTGCCTGCGTGCTTGCATGCTTACTAGCCTGCTTGCCTACAACATGCATAAGGATGTTGTACTTAAGTACCAGGATTATAAATTAACCAATAAATCGAGAAGACTTAATTTAATCATATCTGAAATATAGTAATATATTCAAGGCTAGGCAGATTAAGATGCATGCACTAACATTTTCAAAGTTGATTGATTATGTTTTTAAAGAAAAACCGTCAAGTTATTTTACAGCTTGTTCCGCTGATTTAGAGTCGGCATAGGTCACTTCTGATCCTCAAGTTACCCGGCAACTTTTCTTTGTAAGTATATATACATGTATGCATTCAGTACTTCATATATAATAATTCAAAATGTATACATAAAACAAAATTGATAGTATTAATCTATTAACCTGCCTTTTGTAACCTAGAATCTTCTTACTTGCTTCATTAAATGCAGTACATACTCCCTCCCATTGCTCATCATTCAATTCTTCATTCGTTATTTCATCATATGAAATCTGTTCTTAAGTTCTAATTTGAAATCATGGCTTATTTTGCTGTTCTTCAGTTTACCAGTATCTATTCGTATCACACTGTTTTAAGGTGTTACTTTCATGGGTTAAATGTTGATGTTAGCTGTAACTAGGTGGTGATCACTTCCAACATCAGCCTCACGTCTCACTCATACATGTTGTAAGGATATCTTCCATTCAAGGCAATGTGGTCTATCTGATTTTTATCTCTTCTCCAGGCGACACCCATGCAAGTTTATGAATCTTCTTGTACTTAAACAATGTACCACCGATGACCATATTGTTATTACCACAGAGTTCTTCAAATTCATTGTTCCACTACCGCGTCTTCCCATTTCTCTCTCATACCCAGTGTTTTCACTCCCTACTTTAGCATTTAGCTCTCCCATAATGATTGTTTGATCTTGCTTTAAGGATCTTATGCAGTTCAGCTTGTGAAGCGTGGTAAAATGCTTGATTGACTTAATCATCTGTATCATATGTCGGTGCATAGACCTGTATTATTGATGCCTGTAGAGGCTTTCTTTTCAATCTGACTCCTCATTTACAGGATGGTATTTTACTAATAATTTTGTTGCTGTTTTACAAAAGATGATTGCTACTCCTTCATGATGTTAACCATCTCTTCTGCCTGAGTAAACTTCACTCATACTTGTTACCTTGTTTTACAAAGTCCGTACATCTGCATTCACTGATTCCATATATATGTAACTTGCTATTATTAATCTCTCATAGTTTGGGAAAGGTTGATGAGTGCTAGGGCATGTCCACACACTGGTGAGGCTACACACTTCATTTTCAGGGCCTTTGCTGCTCTGAGATCCCCTTTCAGTTTAGCTTGAGAGCGTATGTCTTAATTACTGTGTCTTTCCGCGGGGAAGCACTGAAAGGAGTCTTGGTAGTACAGAGGCTTTGAGCTTGCAGGAAAGATTTAAGCACTCGACACTCCCTAACCTAACAAATAGATTAGCAAGCGGCAACAGTGGATCTAGAGACGTTAATTACTGCCACACTAGACGCATTTCACTACCCAATGTAAAAAACATAACACACCCGGTCTATATCTCTAAAAAAAATGACTCTCCGGATCTTTATGTTATGACTCTCGGTCACAATATCATGACCTTCTCACACTAAACAAATGACATCGCTTAAAATTGATATAAATAAATGTAATCGTTTATAACCTTCAAAGATACAGGTTAATACATAACATGAGACTTTATACTACTTCACAACAGCAGGTGGCAAGTGCTATGTGGCAGCTGTTAAAAGTTGTCCCGTACTTCACTTCAGTGATGTTATATTTTACTTGTCCTGCGGTATCATTGATACCAGCACAGTTAAGTTTTGAGAATTAAGTACCGTTCAAGCCGGTGCTATGGGGCGTGAGGGATTTTGCACGTTTTCAGAATCACTCATGTACAGACTCAATCAAACCGGGTCTGCAATTCTCTTGTAATTTTGTTGGGATTAATGCTTCCGAGGGATCACTTTGTTTCCAGATTTTTATGTATTAATCAATGCACCACGAATCCACAATTACAACTTTCTGAATTCATTTTTTCAACTTCACAGATTCATAATAAAACAACTGGACCTTATGAGTTTAATTTCATAAATTATAAATGTCATACTTCTGAAATTTCGTTTTCAATTTGTGTATTCACTGAAATCAAAGTCCTGAATTCATGAGGATAATATTGTGAAAACGTGATTATTGAAACATAAATCATGATTACCAGTATTAAGTATAAACATATGCTCATATACCCGTGTACATGTAGTGTGTGTTTCTTTGCGTTTTGCGTTTTGATTGAAAGGAATACCTGCACTAAATGTTTCTGACGGAATATATCAATAGAGTTGATATTAAAGTATAAAAGCCGGGCTCTTAAAAACGTGAAACAACTAGACTTATCAGGTCATCTAGTTATGGCATGTATTACTAAAACGATCTCGTGACATGAACTTTATTTTATTTATAGAAACAACTAGGCAGTTTTTATAAATGAAACGGGTTTGTTCTAAAAATAATCCTGATTAATAGTGGTGTAGGTAATAATGGTTTACCAAGTAAAGGAAATCTTTATTATAAAATGGGAAGATTAAGAATACATATCATACCCTGGTTTGTTGTCTGGTAATAAGGTAAACCTTAACATCATTTCTATATCTTCAATCACTTATAAATTGTCATGTTTGAGTTATTATTCATAAATTAGTTTATAGGGTGGTCAGAAGCATATTGATTTATTAGTGCTATTAATCTAATTAGGCACAGTAATTATTACATTTATTATTTAAACTATTCTCAGAAAAGCTTACGTCAACAAAAGGTCTGAGTTTAATATAATTAATAATTAAGAATAAAATACCTGTATGGATGATATAGATTTTTCAAATATTTACCAGGGAAATTGTCATTAAGCTAATTATAATTCATGATTTAGTAAATACGTACATGCATTACTATTTTATGTATCGAATGTATAATGTAGACACAACTTATATTTTCAGTAAAGCAAATTTCTTTGATTAGGCTAAATCAAGTGTGATCTCAGGAAAGCTTCAATACAAAGGTAAGTCGGTGAACTTATTAACTATATTTATTCAAAACAAAATGTATCATGACAATGTAGCAAACAGTGTATTGGATGTATATATTTTCATATATTTTCATATCTATACTTCTAAATTGTTGTTTTTGTTAATTGTTTTGGTTGTTGTTATTTTGTTTTGGTTTTTATGATCCCCGAAGGGTGAGCTTATAGTCGCCGCTTTGTCCGTCCGTCCGTCTGTCTATTGGTATGTATGCCTGTCCGTCCGCTCACTCTTTCTTGTCCGGGACATAACTCTGAAACAACAAAAGGTATCTCTATGAAACTTTGTAGGTAGATAGATATCTTTGGGTTCATGTGCAGTGCACAAGAACCGTAACTCTGCCTGGCCTGATTTTGGAGTTTTTGCCCAATGTTATTTTTATACTATGAACATTTTCCGGGCATAACTTTGAAACTTTAAGAGATATCAACATGAAACTTTGTAGGTAGATATATCTCATTGGGTAGATGTGCAGTTTAAAAGAACCGTAACTTTTCCTTGCCTATTTTATGAATTATTGCCCTTTGTTCATTTTTACACTTTGAACATTGTCTTGGACAAAACTCTGACACCGTGAAGGATGTCACTTGTTCATTTTTACACTTTGACTTTTGTCCGAGATATAAATCTGAACCATAAAAAATATCATTATGAAACTTTGTCCGGGACATTACTAAACTACAAAAGGTATACACTTCTGTGTCCAAAACCTTTTCGGGGAGCATGACCCGATTCAGCTGCCTCTTTTTTTTTTGGCTTCTTTTCTTTGTTGTTGTTCGTTTAGACACTATGTATTTCTTGTTATAGTAGGTAGCCTAAAACACTTAATTCAAAACAGAAACTGAATTATTTCATTGACAGTAAAATCAATGGGCAACGTTGACGCGACAATGCAAGGTGGTACAGGTGGTGCAGGCGGTCAGGGAGGTCAAGCTCCAGGTGCTGGGGGTGGCGGAGGAGGGAGTGGAGCCGGAAGCTCAGGTTCAGGTGGGGCGGGAGGAAATGGTGGAAATGTGCAAAGGATTATTACTCCACAAGCATTTTTCCTATGTCGCTGATAATTCGTTTTATGAAACTGTATTATGAACTATCTTCATATTTGTGAAAACCAAATGAACGGAACAAAATAACTGAAATATTATATTTACATGCCAATTTTTTCATGTATTTTAAACTTAAAGATCATGTATGTTGTGTGATTGACATTGTTACTGTATGTATACCACACCTGCAAAAAATTATATATGTACATAATTATGCAAATAAAACAATTTTCAAACATCGAAGAATATGTAAAATGTGTACTGTAAATATTTGTGCACATTATATTTTATCAATAAATTACATGCAGTCATTTCTTATTGGAAAGTTTGACTTAGAATTTATAGAAATTAAATTTCCAATTACCTCCCTTTATTTACATGAAATGTTAAATTGGGTAATATCTTTAGAATTAATGCTTATTGGAACTTACAATATTGACAAATCGTAATTTGAGCATCATATTTATGAAATAAAACTATGAAAAAATTGTGTTACAGGATCTTTAATATTGCTTTCTTATGAAAGTTTCGTCCTAAATATAACGTACTCAATATGTCACCAAAGTAAGTGTTATATTTTATTTATTGTACGATTTATGACAAAAAATGTTATTGTTAATTTGTGCAAATATATGAAAGAGGCATTTGTTATTCGAAATTCATTTATAAATAATATAACCTAATGCGAGGTAGTATACTTTTTACCTTACTGTCTTTGTTATACATGTATGTAGCATATGTAAATATATGTTAAAGTGCACTTTTGTAATACGTTCTAGATATGTGACATGTTTAACATTGATGTTTATGTATTAAGATGATATACTTATGTATAAATCTAATAAAATGTCTGTTCTGTTCTGTTATTAAAATTTCTAAAAAAAAAGGAACAGAGTTTATATCATGTTTTGCTACGCTTCCAATTACTATTAAGATTGATGAATTGTGTTATATGAAAGCCCTCTCAAAAGAAAAAGTTATGTTATAGCCTGTTCCGCTATTTTAGAATCGGCATATGTCACTATCCTTCCAAGTCTGACATTACCATCATAATTCTATGCGGAAAAATGCCAATACAGTACGATTATATATACATTTAGTGACACATATTAAAGTTTATTAAATTATATTATGAAATTAAAAAAAAACAAAGCTATTATTTACATCAATAAATACAGTTCCATGTTTATTAATACTAGTATACAAATTCTTTAGCTATTTCCAATAATGAAAAAGATGGCCGAGATATCACAAATACTTACAAACAAGGGCATTTAAACAAGAATTTATCAATGCACTAAATATGCTGTAAGCGGAAGCCCCGAAAATTTGATGCAACGTCTTAATCAAGATAATGACAGTACGCTTAGCTTACAACTTTTTTGGTATAAAATATGATGGTAAATATACTTAAAACATAAGGAAAAGTCGAAGTGTGATTTATGTTGGTCCTCAGCAACAATCTTCCTATTTACAGTATATCGGGGGCAGACATCCTTTTATAAATTAACATACAATGCATATCAAAAGATGATTGATAAGTCTCATAACATATATATGGGTTAAAATAAGTAATTTGACTGGGAAGCAAATTTCTTTGGAATATTTATCAATCCTACTTCAAAAAGGTGAATTCATCTTTTAAAACCAAACCAGCCGACAATATAACATAATAAAAGCGTTTTTATCCATCTTTAATCAGAAAAAGATGCATTAGAAAAGAAAGGTTTTGACGAGAAAAGTGTCTCTCATTAAGTTCGAAAGTATTGAGTACTTAAATGGCATAATTTCAAATAGTTTTCCTCTCACAAGCATATTGTTTTAAAAACTGCAGCATGTTTATGCATCATATTAAATATAGTGTCTTTGTTTGTCTGTTTTACGTCACATCAGGGGGATATAACATCGTTCCAAAGAAATCTCGGGTGCTCTTCCGTGCATAATTTTAGGTACAAACGGTCACCACAGATGTTCTGCAAGATAGCTGAATAGCTTTCTCACATCAAAGAGTCTTTGTCGGAATTCGAACCCACAGAGGTAAGGGGCAAGTGGTTTGAAGCCAATGACCTTTATTGCTTGTGTAGCTTAGCTAAATCGTAAAAAAATGTAGTCTTTGAAGTTTTTACGATTTGGTATGATATAGTGGATATTTGTTTGTTTGTGTGTAAGATGAAATTTTATTTCATCGCGTGAGTTTTAAAAACAGTATACCCACGAGTGGGAATACCGTTTTTTAAGTTCACGCGATAAAATAGAATTACATCATACACAACAAACAAACAAATTTTCTTTTTATTTTACGTTGGTTTGCTGGTTTCGACTCGACACAAACTTGTTATAACAGAAAATAAACATCAAAGGAGCTCCAGATAGGCACAAAAACATATAAAAATGAAATTCTTACGTCTTGCGTCTCTTAATGAAAGACGGAAAACTGCACAAGATAAGAAAAAAATATACCATGAATTAAACTGAAATATATTTTAGTACGATTCTTCGCCCACTTTGAATTAAAAAGAATTTGAACGCTTTCATATTTGATCTACTATATACCACTTCAAAATAACTCTTTTTTTCATTCAAGTGAATAATAAAAGTTAACATTCTATTTATAGCTGTCACGTCATAAAGCTTGTACTAGAATGATGTGTTGTTCAATATTAAGAACTGGGTAATTTGTGCGGTAATTTGTGTGGATCCCAGTTTAGAAAATCACAAAGTTATATACTACAAGTATTATAAACAGTCGGTAATTTGTGGAATCCTTAATTTGAAATATTCGAGCTTGATTACATAGATATATAAAGTGTATATCAAAATACATAAGAGCCCACCAGGTTAGCTCAATAGGAAAAGCGTTCGATCGTGAATCGCACAATCCAGGGTTCGATTACCGGACGCTGCAGGTCAATTTTGTTGTGAAATCCTTTATACGGTCATTCGCACTGTACCTCTTCCGTGGTATGTGTTGAAGTAATCAGTTACAGCACTTTTCCTGGTAAAACTGCTTGGTAGCATGCTCAGGAACGATGCAGTGGCTGCGATCTGGTGAATACATTTAGTGGCTTAATGCCGTCATCCCGACGGTAAACTTCTATGACATCAGCACTAATTAAAATATAAAATGTTGATTCCATTTTTGAAAATCAGTGAACATGTGACTAGTAGCCGACAGAAATGTTTTTGAATAAAATAATATTTATTACCTAAATACATTCCACCAGTCATTTATGACACAGTTATAGAGGTTGAGCTGATTCTGACTATTAGTATCATCATTGTTCAGCATAAGATAACATATATAGCATTGTTTTACAAAACACGTGTACATATACAAACATTTAATAAAGCAGCTTTTCTGTTGAAAGATATTGGACATTTTGTTAATATAAAAATCTTTTTGGAAGAAAATCGCAAATATTTATGAATATATCAGGGAAGTTTTGAGAAGTTATATTTTATTCGAAAATAATAATTTGGGTAATACTTGGACCATTTTGAGTTGCATCCCTTGCTATGATCTAGGAAAAAATGTTAAAGGATGTATTCCCACTCACAGGTAATCGCCGCGTTGATTCGATTGGTAACAACAAAAAAAGATACATACCTATTTTATATTTATGTTTTCTTTTTTCCCCTCTATTGTTTTGTTTGATTTTGTATTTTTACTACCCTCCCCCCAACCCCCAAAAAAAAGAAAGAAAGAAAGAAAAAAAACAACAACAATTGAACTTTTGTGGCGTAGTGACCAATCACTGCGCCGAACACCTGTGTTCCCACCACAACACCTGGTACTTAAACTATCATGGATTTAAATCATCATTGAACATTGTATGTAAATACACGCGGTTAACTATAAAGGTATTTTATATCTTTGCTACACGTAATGTATGCGTCTATTTTTAACTCTTAGTTTCGGTTTATTTGTAAACAGTTGACACAAATTTAAGGATTCCGGCTTGTTATAATTAGGTTATACAAAAGTAAAGATTACAATTTATTGAATATGAAAGCAGAAACTTGCGACATTATTTATTTCCAGAGAAAAGGTTAGTTCGTTGTAAAATTATGCATTATTTGATAATAAAGACTTTGTTTACCATGTATGTTAATAAAATTTGTTTTAACACATCATTATGTGTACAGCACTAGGTTAGATAAGTAAATTATTTGTTAATATGTATAAAATAAAAACATTCCCGTTATTTGGCCGCCGCCCAGCTCCCATTCTTAATGTATGTTAATTAAACTCCGAGCAGTTATTGATGTTTTGATGAAAAATGTAATAAATGTGTTTGTAAATATTTAATAGTTATAAATAATACAGGCTAATCTATCATTATAATAGAACAGAACAGAACAGAACAGAACAGAAATTTCTGTTCATCATAATATTATTTAACATTTCTTTCCAGATTTAGATTAAATCGTTTAATACTCTATTAATTATATATCTTTTAATTTCAGCATCGGCATAAATCACACATTTTGCTGCAGATAAAGATGGCTGACGACAATCGCTATCACGGTGAGTTGAGCATATTGTTCAGATGGATGGAAGGATGGGTGTTCTTGCTTATTTACGTATGTATGTATATATGTGTGTGTGTGTGTGTGTGTGTGTGTGTGTGTGTGCGTGTGCGTGTGCGTGTCAATCAGCCTGTCTGCCTGCCTGCCTGCGACATGCATTAGGATGTCGTAATTAAGTACCAGTACTATTAATGTACTAATAAAATAACTATTTGAAACTTTAAGTCAATAATTTTCAAATGCATACATATATGTGAATAATAATTTTGAATCCTGTATTGGAATTTGTTTATCTTGTTGTTTTTTTAGATGAAAGAGATACCGTTGGTGGTGGAAGAGGTGGCAAGGGTGGAGTGGGGTATAATAACGTCCCAAGTGGACATGACGGTGAGGACGGTGAACCTTGTCCTGGTGGCAAAGGTGGTGTGGGTGGTAGACCAGCCGTATCCAAAAAAGCCTATATCTGGAATGATAACTGGAACAACGTTCCATGGTATACAAGATGGTTTGGTATTGGAGGAAACGTTTGGAGAACTGAAAATGAATATGATATAACTGATGGTGGAAGAGGTGGCAAGGGTGGGGTTGGGTGTAGTAATGTCCCAAGTGGACATGACGGTGAAGACGGCGAACCTGGTCCTGGTGGCAAGGGTGGTACAGGAGGTAGACCGGCAGTTACAAACTCTTGTTATCATGAAAGACCGAGGGACGATACTTTTGGTTTGATTAATGTTCCTTGGTATACGAAATGGTTTGGCATTGGTGGGTACATGAAAAAATCACAAAGTGACGAAAACGATTGTCATTCGGAACGAATTTCGGCATCGGGAAATGAAAAATGTAATAAAGTGAATCACGTTCCTCGAGGAAGTGAGGGCGGGAATGGTGAATGTAATACAATGAGACAAGGGTCTCGAGGAAGTGAGGGCGGAAAACCAACATTATAAAACTGACACATCTTTAATTGTGTCATATTCAGAATTGTGTACTTGATAAAATAATTCAACAAAGCTAGATAGCATAATAGTGCAATAGTCCAAGTTAATACAAGATTTTATTTTTCTGAAAAATAAATAAATACATATTTTATGTATATATATATGTTTTGTATATTCAGATAATAGTATAACCCGGTATCATTTATATATTGCTTAGAGTGAGAGGACGTTTTCAAGAGGATTTTGTCATCAAGATGTTTTGATTTCTCTGTGTAATATTTATGGTTCTGTCATATATTCTATTTCACAGATATTTATATTTCCCGAAATAGTAAAGAAGATTGCAAATGGTGACTATATGTATTTGTTGCAATAAATATATATTTCAAATTATACATATGTCATTAACGGAGGATATTGAATGAAAGTATGTTCAATACTGAATTAATTTTGAACGAGTTGAATGTATGTATGGTAAGGATAAGCATTGCAGGGGGAGTATGCTTTTCCCGTTTCGGGCACAAAATTGTACACCTATCATAATAAATTACTTGTTTAATTGTCTTAAGCTCACATGACTATTCTTCAATGTATCAAGAGGATTGGCTCGTATATTATATGAAAAGCTTGAAATCGTTGTTTGAAGTCAACAATTGTGACATTTTTTTTAGGAAATCGGGGTGAGAATTTTTTCTCCGAAAAATATGGGTCTCACCGTAGGGCTTATGCCAGAAATAATCTCTTTTATGTAACTCAAAGTTATAAAAGTAACAATTCCTCCGTGATTGGTCTTTATTGAGCTTATCTCTCAATTTCCATTTCAAAATCAGGGATTTTTGCGTTTTTCTTGCTCTCAAGCGGAAGTTTTAGCGGACAAGACGCGGTGAACCTTAGAATTGCTATTAAAACTCGATATTTAAACTAATGTTTATTATTTCTTTTTATTATTGATTGGACAGATGGCTAAAAAGGAGGACGGTGACATCCAGCCGTTCAAATATTGTAGGAAATAAAAGTATTTATCTATATATCCGTCTGTCTGTCTGTATATAACCATAGATAAAAATGAATGTTCTTAGCGAAACACATAAATATTAAAGATAAGATACATGCTGTTGTTGAACTTTTTATATTTATGTAACCTTATTATACTAGCTATAAAAGTGATAAAAAATAATGATTATTGACTTCTTTTTGTTATTCAAATTCAAACAATTTATAAATATAACTAATTTTTACACGGCCATTAAAAGAAGATATTGTTTTTTTGTTGTTGTTTTATTTTTCTTCAAGCAATTTGTATTTTGGCATGTAATGTTGACCATCTTTACTAAATAGCCTTTATTTTTTTAATTAAATTAAAAAACAGGGAAGGGTTAGGGAAAAATTTAACAATTTTCGACAGTTTCCCTCATTACATAAAGTTTCTCTACCCTATAACAATATTGTGAAACATCGAAATCATGATTGTGTTTATTTTCTATTCATTTTTCATAACTTGTAAATTAAATCATCTCATAAAACAACAAATTGGTTTTTCTTGCTCATAACCCTAACAGAACAACACAAAACAGCTGGCACAGATCAGAAAATTCATTTTACATTGCGTTTTCTTTGTTGTTTTGTGATAAAAGTAAAGATCATCGAAAAGCAACTAAAAAGTTCTTTTATGTGTGTTGTTTCTATTTGAAAAATATTATAACATTGAGAGAGTCAAAGTTTTGAAGTTGTGTCACACTGCTGGTCTGCCACCCGCACCACCTTTACCACCAGGACCGGCCTCTCCATCCTCGCCGTCATGTCCACTTGGAACATTATTGTAACCTATTCCACCTTTTCCACCGCCTGAATAATTATATTCTTGCTCGTTTGTCTTTTTAGGTCCTCCTATACCAAACCATCTTGTATACCAACTGAGTTGTTTCATCATGCAAATTATCGTTGTGTAGCTGAATCAAAATCTAGTTAATTTAATCAATTGTTCTATTATAGATAGTTATAAAGTGTAAATCTACAGAAAATTACAAGATTCATGCCTAACTTCTACTTTGTTCCTTTCATTTACTTAGATTGTATCATATATAATTGGAAAACCAAACGTGAATCATAAAACGATGAGTTGTATGTATTAATGGCATTATAGTATCAATATCTGCGCAAATATTGAAATACGAAAACAAAAGTATTATAAGTTCTAGTAACGGATTTGTTTTTAAAATACATAAAGTTAATGAATTATATCATGTTTACCTGCATAATTTGGTTTTCCAGATGTTTTAAAAATAGAACATTGTCAAATAATTAAAGAACATGGCTGGATAGAGAAGTAGATGTTTATCATCACATAAAGTCAGATTTAACGTTTCGACCTAGATATTGATATTTCTGTACTCTTTCAAAACCAATTGTAGTCGATATAGTTATTGAATATATTAACTCTATAGTTTATACATAAAGCAAACTGGTTAATAATACGTAACATATTATCAAAATAAATATATTTTGAAAGCGTTTCTCTTTTTTTAAATTCCACGTTTATTCCATCAATCTGGTCGATTAAAAAAGGGTTTAAACTTGCAAAAATAGTATAAAATTACAAAAAAAAAACATAATGCCCACACCATTATGACCTCCTCTCGCGTCGCGACCACCGTAATCTAGATCTTTGTTGCTCCTGTGTTTAAACTCAAAATTATTTTGAAATAAAGTGATTAACTATAACAACTAAATTTTATTATCACTCGTATAACAGGCGTATTTCATTTTTTAGTAATGGCAGCAGTTTCTCGCAGCATTTTCATTTTAAGACTGAAAGAAAAACATTTGGGTTTTTCATTATCTGAACATATATATTGACTAACTCAAAATTATATTTTCCTAAATAACTTTTCAATATAAATGAGCGATGGTTTTTTAAGCTTTATAAAAAGGAAAAAAGGTGTCCATAAGAACAACTTAAAATAATTTATAATTTACCTATGTATTTTAAGTGAAATAAGAGTAAGTTAATTGTGGAAAAAGATCTTATTGATATTTCCTTTAAAAGATAAAATCTTAATTAAAGGTATCAAAAGCATTTAAAACCTGAAACTTGTCTAAATTATTAGTACGTGTACATGATCCACATGAAATATTTTTTTTTTATTTTGTCAACCAATCTATAAATAAGCACCATTAATTGTTATGTATCATATCTACTATGACGTGGTAATGTATAATATACAAATGTACAGTAGATAACATTCAACGTAATGACTGATGTTTTCTAAAAAAATTCGTTGGAATTCCTCGAAGTATTGGAACAAAAAATGACAATTTCAAAACTTATAAACTGGTTTTCCAATTATACAAGTATGGAAAAGACGTTTTCCTTTATAAAAGCTGAATTCATACATGAAGGAAAACAGATAAGTTCAGAAATTAACAGACGTTCAGTGATTAAGTATATAGATTCTATTATTAGTTAATATAAAGATTGTTAACAGGTTATATGGCCCTATATAAAAGGCTATTTGTTAATATAACCCGAGCCGCTAGGCGAGGGTTATATTGCAAACAGCTGTTTATATACGTCAACAATATTTATAACGAATTTTTAATACAGCAAGCATCATTTTTAAAGACAAAAGTAAGATTTCTTCATGAATCGACAGAAGCCGTGCATATAAAACTGTTTAAACGTCACGATTATCCAATGAAAAGTGACGTTACAAACGTGCAGTATTATAATAATCCTTATAATACTGCACGTTTGTAACGTCAATTTTTATTGGATAATCGTGACGTTTATATAGTTTTATATACACGGCTGCTGTCGATTCATGAAGAAAACTTACTTTTTTGCTCTAAAAATGATGCTTGCTGTATTATAAATTCGTTATAAAGATCGTTGACAGGTTATATGGCCGTATATAAACGGCTGTTTTTAATATAACCCTCGCCTAACGGCTCGGGTTATATTTACAAACAGCCGTTTATAAAGGGTCATATAACCAGTCAACAATCTTTATAACTAATAATATAAATGTAAGTGTTAATTGGTTATTAAGATTCAATACAACTTTAAAGTTATTCATTGATATAGCCCTTAAAATAATAATATTTTGATGATTCTATATAACCACATATGTCACAAAGAAGCTATATCGTTTCTTCTGTTTTTCTTCTTCTTCAATCAATTTCTTAGCTGTATATACTTCTTGTGGCCAGTCGAAATTGTCTATTGGATAAAGTTCAGTCCCTGTGATGATCGTGTCTTCAATTTGCGAATGCATACATCTTCAAGGCGAAGTCTTTTGTTACGCTCGAAAGGATGAATTATATTGACGTCAATGTCGATGACGTTATGGTTTGCACTATTAAAATAACGTATCGTTATTCCTAGATATGACATCTCCTAGACGTCACGTAATATCTTACCTGTTTGTCCAACGTATTGTAATTTGCATTTTTTGCATGTGATGAGATATATCACACTAACCGTGAAACATGCATAATTTCTGGGGATGATGAATGTTCTATTTGTAACGTTGCTAGTAAAGTTTTCGGAATCAACAATATATTTACATACAAAACATTTTTTCCACAGCGTAACTCCTTTTCTGAGATTGTATAAGTTTGCTCGAATCAGATCGAAATGAAAATATATATCCCTTTAAGATTTAGCTCTGTGAGTGACGGCTAATATTCTTGTATTACTGGCAAATGTTGTAGACGTATTGGATAATAGAAGGTTGAGGTGTTTGGTTTATACAGAATTTATTTTAGTTTGATTGTGTAAGAAGCTATAAGCTTATAGACACACTTTCGAATCTGTTCCTAGAACCAATTAGTACTGAGAAAAGAGAGTAAAGTTTCTTGCTCAAGGAAACAACGACTTGCAGGGCCCTGACGGGGTTTGAACCCATGCGGCTAGCGATCATTAGATTACTAGTCCGACGCGTTAACCACTTGGCCATGTCGCCACTTAAGGAAGGTTGAGATGTTTGTTTAGGATACTTTGTGCTGTATATGTATTTGGGTTTTATGTATAGATAAATGGTATGATACGACTTTTCTCTTTCCTCTTCGTCGTCAACCGGTTGTATCTGTTCATGTTTCCCGCCTTTTTTATCCGCTATTTTGATAACCTCTAGCTTTTAGGTTTATTGCCAGATTATTTCTACACGCTATGAATCTAATCATCACTATTCTTAATGCTTGGCTATACGGAAAACTGTTCTTCTGGTCTGGAAAAATGTAGATACATATTGAGCGTCTGTCGGTTTTGTATATTCTGTGGTGTGGTGTCGACCGTAATATGCTTGTCCAGAAATTTTGCCTGCTTTAAGTCTATCTTGTGCGTGGATTTTATTGAATTATGAAATGAGCTTAGACGGGCCATGAAGGAAATGAATTCCTGTCGGGTATGCGGCTTAATAATGAAGATGTCATCTATATGAATCTCCACCAAACTAAAGGTTTGACTCTTTGGGTTTGTAAGAATTTTGTTTTTAAGTTATCCATGAAAATGATTGCGTAGCTTGGGGCGTATTTTGTACCCATTGTGGTGCCAGATATTTGTTTGTAGGGTTTCTCATTGAAATTAAAGCATGTTTTTAAAGAACAAATTCCTCACTTGAATACTGTTGAACCACCATTAGGTTATGTCCTGCTTTTGCTTCAAGTAGTTAAAGAATGTTGTTATTTCATCGGATATGTTTTGCGTTTTGTCTGAAGGGATTGCTTGGTAAAACGTTTGTCTTTTAGTTGTCTGAGGCCTTCTTGTATATACGAAATCTTATCTAGAATAACTACAGCACCTCCTTTATCTGCACGTGATATCTGAATTGTTAAGTAAAGATAATATGGCCCTGCCGTTCTTCATAAGATATATTAGAAACTGGCTGATTTTTATTCTTTTCGTTCATCAATCTAAGATTGTTACAGGCAATTTAGGTCTTTCTATTCGGCTATTTTCTTTTTGGGTGGTTCCAGTATTCCTCACTTGGCTCACTGTTGAATCACCATAAGGTTATGTGTCCTGCTTTTGCTTTTTAAATTTGTCTTTTGACGTATTATCTGTAATATGCAGACTTCATAACCTCTGATCCCCTTTCTACATTCAATTTTATTTAGTTCCGTCCATTGTTTTATCGTTCAGGGCACACGCATTTGTTTACTTGGGGACCATATGCCGCTTTTGATGAAATGGCACTAACGTGTCACATTGAAGGTTCCATGATAACCGCCATATGTTTCGGATGTTTCAAAATTCTTAATTTTACCAATTCATGTTAAATACTGCTTAAGCCAGTGCTAGGGGGCGTGGACGGTAACTTGGACTTCTTAATACCGTCCATGAACAGTCTCAATAAATCTGAGCCTGTAAAATTTTCAATTTTGTCATGCTGTGCGTTTTTTTAGGAATTTTCTATTTCTCTCTATTCTAATCCGATCGATTTACCTGCTGGTGATGTCGATCCGGATTATTCCTTTAATGGCTATTCTTCGTGGTTGGTTCTGAAAGAATTGTGCTAACCTTACGTTGGTGCTAGATATTGCTTTAGTACTGGATATTGCTTTGGTACTGGATATTTCTTTGGTAATGGATATTGCTTTGGTACTGGATATTGCTTAAGTACTGGCTATTGCGTTGGTACTGGATATTGCTTTGGTACTGGATATTGCTTTGGTACTGGATAATGCGTTGGTACTGGATATATTGCTTTGAGATTTGATATGTCTTTAGTACTTGATATTGCTTAAGTACTGGATATTGCTTTGGTACTGGATATTGCTTTAGTACTGGATATTGCTTAAGTACTGGATATTGCTTTGGTACTGGATATTGCTTTGGTACTTGATATTGCGTTGATACTGCTTTAGTACTGGATATATCTTTGGTACTGGATATTGCCTAGATCAATGCATATTTATTGACAATTTTACAGGTCAAGTGACCTTTGACCTGAGAATGGGTGTGGCAGGTACAGTTTGTCAAGGTTCAATTACATATGTTTTAAGTTCCTCACTTTAATGAGCAATTTTATGCTTTGTTATTATATGTCTAAGTGTCATTGACATTTATAAAAAAGGTACGGCAGGTCACCCTAAATCTGCATATAAACATACAATAATCACATTATGCATATGTGACACACAGGAAAAAAAACTCACCAAGTTGCATCAACACATAAAATATCCATGAAACAACTATAAAATAAGTTTTGATGTAAATGACCATAAACTGATACAAAACGGTTAGCAAAAGACAAAGACGACACAGAGGAGTCTGTTTATAGAAGGTATTATTCACGCCCCAAATATGGCTACTTAAACTGTATATAGAAATAACTGGTAAAGAAACAATTACAGATGTGTTCATATGGCAATTATCATTAATCCTTCAATGTTACATGATTATATAATTCTATGACAAGCATCATCAAGTATCATCCAAAATAAAAGAAAATATGTTCTCTCCAAAGGTAAAACTTTATACAATGGTTTAAAGCCTCAAATATATGCTCCCTCAGGTTTATTTTTTCCCAGGGGAATAAAAACGTGTTGAACCAGACCCAAAGATAACACAAGAGAACTGTGCCAATGTCTCCAATCCTTTAATCTATTTTAATGAGCCAAAAAGTAACAAATCACACTGAATATACACAATTAGCTATTTATTTAAAATACAACAAAAATGGAATAATTACAAATCATGAATATGACAAAACATAATGCTGTTTTAAAAACATCAACAGAATACAAATCTAACAAACACGTTAAATTGATATCCCTCGTCAAATTTAAACTATTTGCTTCTTAGTACCACCCAGAGCATTAATATTATATTCTCAAGTAGAGTTACTCTTCCTGTAAAGTGTAACATTTTAAAGTTGATGCCTAAATTTTTTTTAGATAAGATTAAAAAGCAAGTGTGTGTGTTTGGAGTGGGGGTTAAGTCTTCAATTATGCAAAAGAGAATTATGCTTCTGGAACAATGAAGTTTTCTAGAATGAGATCTATCAATGTCTGAAATTACAAATTGATATGTATAATACATTTTCAGCTTTGATTGAAGAAAAGTTTCCTGCATAAAGATACCATTTCCCCATTACTTTTTTTGGCACTATTAAAAGAAGGAGAACCGCATAAAAGATTAAGAATTGAATATCATCAAATCAAAGAGGAAATACAGTTCCATTTTGTTCCTGAAGTCACACAAGTTTTTTCCAATAGGTAGGAACAGATAAAGCCAAATTTATACACCTCTGTCTTGGACGGGGGTAACAAATAAATACTAGAACTATCACTAAATGTGATTAATACCCCCACAAGACTGCTTCGGAAATGAGGATGTTACTAGTAACAGAATACCTTGTAAAAGAATTGAAATATAGAGTTATGGTTAAAGATAGTTGTGGTTCTTGTATGTTGCATTTCCTTTCAATGTGGTTGGCCATTGATGAAGTTTTATTGAATTACTCTGTAATAAGTCCAGAAATACAAGGAAAAGGAAAAAGGGCAATAACTCTATAAATACTGAAGATGGAGTTATAGTTCTTGTGCACTGCACTTCCTCTTATTGTGCTTGACCATTGTATGAAGTTGTTTTGAATATTTCCAATCAGTAAGTTTCAAGTTATGCTCCGGACAAGGAAAAGTATCAAAGGGCAGTAACTCTGTAATAAGTCAAAATGGAGTTATGGCTCTTGTGCACTGCACTTCCTTTTAATGTCCTTGACAACTGTATGAAGTTGTATTGAATTCCAAACAGTAGTTTTCAAATTATGCTCTGGACAAGGAAAGATAACAAAGGGCAATAACTCTGTAATTAGTCAAGATGGAGTTATGCTTTTTGTGCACTGCACTTCCTCTAAATGTGCTTGACCATTGTATGAAGTTAAATTGAATTCCAACCATTAGTCTTCAAGTTATGCTCCGGACAAAAAAAGCAATGGAAAAGTACCAAAGGGCAATAACTCTGTAATTAGTGAAGATGGAGTTATGGTTTTTGTGCACTGCACTTCCCCTTATTGTGCTTGACCATTGTATGAAGTTGTTTTGAATTCCAAACAGTAGTTTTCATGTCATGCTCTGGACAAGGAAAGGTTAAATAGGGCAGTAACTCTGTAATAAGTCAAGATGGAGTTATGGTTCTTGAGCACTGCACTTCCTCTCAATGTGCTTGACCATTGTATGAAGTTATAATGAATTCAAACAATAAGTCTTTAAGTTATGGTCCGGACAAAAGAAAGCAATGGAAAAGTAACAAAGGGCAATAACTCTGTAATTACTTTAGATAGAGTTATGGTTCTTGTGCACTGCACTTCCCTTTATTGTGTTTGACAATTGTATGTAGCTATATTGAATTCCAACCAATAGTTTTCAAATTATGCTTCGGACAAGGAAAATGCAACGTCTGGACCAACCGACCGACCGACCACCGGGTGACTCCTATATACCCCCCCCCCCAAACTTCGTTTTTGGGGGTATAATAATGACCAAATATAAAATATGTTGCTCAAAATTATTTACGATGATACAATACTTTCCTTGCAAATGCTCCAAATCTTTTTTTTTTCTTCAAGCAATTTGTATTCTGACATATAATGTTGACCATCTTTACTAAATAGCCTTCATTTTTTTAATTAAATTAAAAAACAGAGAAGGGATAGGGTTAGGGAAAAATTTAACAATTTTCGACAGTTTCCCTCATTACATAAAGTTTCTCTACCCTATAACAATATTGTGATACATCGAAATCATGATTGTGTTTATTTTCTATTCATTTTTCATAACAAGAAAATCCACTCATAACACAACAAATTGGTTTTTCTTGCTCATAGCCCTAACAGAGCAACACAAAACAGCTGGCATAGATCAGAAAATTCATTTTACATTGCGTTTTCTTTGTTGTTTTGTGATAAAAGTAAAGGTCATCGAAAAGCAACTAAAAAGTTCTTTTATGTGTGTTGTTTCTATTTGAAAAATATTATAACATTGAGAGAGTCAAAGTTTTGAAGTTGTATGTCACACTGCTGGTCTGCCACCCTCACCACCTTTACCACCAGGACCAGGTTCGCAGTCCTCACCGTCATGTCCACTTGGAACATTATTGTAACCTACTCCACCTTTTCCGCCACCTGAATAATTATATTCTTGCTCGTTTGTCTTTTTAGGTCCTCCTTTACCAAACCATCTTGTATACCAACTGAGTTGTTTCATCATGCAAATTACCGTTGTGTAGCTGAATTAAAATCTAGTTAATTTAATCAAGTGTTCTACATGTATTATAGATAGTTATACAGAAAAATTACAAGATTCATGCCTTACTTCTACATTGTTCATTTCATTTCGTTAGATTGAATCATATATATATAATTTGAAATCCAAACGAGAAAATGTGTGCGTGAGTTATAAAACAATAAGTTGTATGTATTAATGGCATTATAGAATCAATATCGGCGCAAATATTGAAATATGAAAACAAAAGTATTATAAGTTCTAGTAACGGATTTGTTTTTAAAATACATAAAGTTAATGAATTATATCATGTTTACCTGCATAATTTGGTTTTCCAGATGTTTTAAAAATAGAACATTGTCAAATAATTAAAGAACATGGCTGAATGGAGAAGTAGATGTTTATAATCACATAAAGCTATGATTTAACGTTTCGACCTAGATATTGATATTTCTGTACTCTTTCAAAACCAATTGTAGTCGATATAGTTATTGAATATATTAACTCTATAGTTTATACATAAAGCAAACTGGTTAATAATACGTAACATATTATCAAAATAAATATATTTTGAAAGCGTTTCTCTTTTTTTAAATTCCACGTTTATTCCATCAATCTGGTCGATTAAAAAAGGGTTTAAACTTGCAAAAATAGTATAAAATTACAAAAAAAACATAATGTCCACACCATTAGGACCTCCTCTCGCGTCGCGACCACCGTAATCTAGATCTTTGTTTCTCCTGTGTTTAAACTCAAAATCGTTTTGAAATAAAGTGATTAACTATAACAACTAAATTTTATTATCACTCGTACAACAGGCGTATTTCATTTTTTAGTAATGGCAGCAGTTTCTCGCAGCATTTTCATTTTAAGTATGAAAGAAAAACATTTGGGTTTTTCATTATCTGAACATATATATTGACTAACTCAAAATTATATTTTCCTAAATAACTTTTCAATATAAATGAGCGATGATTTTCTAAGCTTTTTAAAAGGAAAAAAGGTGTCCATAAGAACAACTTAAAATAATTTATAATTTACCTATGTATTTTAAGTGAAATAAGAGTAAGTTGTGGAAAAAGATCTTATTGATATTTCCTTTAAAAAATAAAATCTTAAAGGTATCAAAAGCATTTAAAACCTGAAACTTGTCTAAATTATTAGTACGTGTACATGATCCACATGAAATATTTTTTTTTTTATTTTGTCAACCAATCTATAAATAAGCACCATTAATTGTTTATGTATCATATCTACTATGACGTGGTAATGTATAATATACAAATGTACAGTAGATAACATTCAACGTAATGACTGATGTTTTCTAAAAAAATTCGTTGGAATTCCTCGAAGTATTGGAACAAAAAATGACAATTTCAAAACTTATAAACTGGTTTTCCAATTATACAAGTATGGAAAAGACGTTTTCCTTTATAAAAGCTGAATTCATACATGAAAGAAAACAGATAAGTTCAGAAATAAACAGACGTTCAGTGATTAAGTATATAGATTCTATTATTAGTTAATATAAAGATTGTTGACAGGTTATATGGCCCTATATAAAAGGCTATTTGTAAATATAACCCGAGCCGCTAGGCGAGGGTTATATTGCAAACAGCTGTTTATATACGTCAACAATCTTTATAACGAATTTTTAATACAGCAAGCATCATTTTTAAAGAAAAAAGTAAGATTTCTTCATGAATCGACAGAAGCCGTGTATATAAAACTGTTAAAACGTCACGATTATCCAATGAAAAGTGACGTTACAAACGTGCAGTATTATAATAATCCTTATAATACTGCACGTTTGTAACGTCAATTTTTATTGGATAATCGTGACGTTTATATAGTTTTATATACACGGCTGCTGTCGATTCATGAAGAAAACTTACTTTTTTGCTCTAAAAATGATGCTTGCTGTATTATAAATTCGTTATAAAGATCGTTGACAGGTTATATGGCCGTATATAAACGGCTGTTTTTAATATAACCCTCGCCTAACGGCTCGGGTTATATTTACAAACAGCCGTTTATAAAGGGTCATATAACCAGTCAACAATCTTTATAACTAATAATATAAATGTAAGTGTTAATTGGTTATTAAGATTCAATACAAGCGTTAACGTTATTCATTGATATAGCCCTTAAAATAATAATATTTTGATGATTCTATATAACCACATATGTTACAAAGAAGCTATATCGTTTCTTCTGTTTTTCTTCTTCTTCAATCAATTTCTTAGCTGTATATACTTCTTGTGGCCAGTCGAAATTGTCTATTGGATAAGGTTCAGTCCCTGTGATGATCGTGTCTTCAATTTGCGAATGCATACATCTTCAAGGCGAAGTCTTTTGTTACGCTCGAAAGGCTGAATTATTTTGACGTCAATATCGATGACGTTATGGTTTGCACTATTAATTAAAATAACGTATCGTTATTCCTAGATATGACATCTCCTAGACGTCACGTAATATCTTACCTGTTTGTCCAACGTATTGTAATTTGCATTTTTTGCATGTGATGAGATATATCACACTAACCGTGAAACATGCATAATTTCTGGGGATGATGAATGTTCTATTTGTAACGTTGCTAGTAAAGTTTTCGGAATCAACAATATATTTACATACAAAACATTTTTTTCCACAGCGTAACTCCTTTTCTGAGATTGTATAAGTTTGCTCGAATCAGATCGAAATGAAAATATATATCCCTTTAAGATTTAGCTCTGTGAGTGACGGCTAATATTCTTGTATTACTGGCAAATGTTGTAGACGTATTGGATAATAGAAGGTTGAGGTGTTTGGTTTATACAGAATTTATTTTAGTTTGATTATGTAAGAAGCTATAAGCTTATAGACACACTTTCGAATCTGTTCCTAGAACCAATTAGTACTGAGAAAAGAGAGTAAAGTTTCTTGCTCAAGGAAACAACGACTTGCAGGGCCCTGACGGGGTTTGAACCCATGCGGCTAGCGATCATTAGATTACTAGTCCGACGCGTTAACCACTTGGCCATGTCGCCACTTAAGGAAGGTTGAGATGTTTGTTTAGGATACTTTGTGCTGTATATGTATTTGGGTTTTATGTATAGATAAATGGTATGATACGACTTTTCTCTTTCCTCTTCGTCGTCAACCGGTTGTATCTGTTCATGTTTCCCGCCTTTTTTATCCGCTATTTTGATAACCTCTAGCTTTTAGGTTTATTGCCAGATTATTTCTACACGCTATGAATCTAATCATCACTATTCTTAATGCTTGGCTATACGGAAAACTGTTCTTCTGGTCTGGCAAAATGTAGATACATATTGAGCGTCTGTCGGTATTGTATATTCTGTGGTGTGGTGTCGACCGTAATATGCTTGTCCAGAAATTTTGCCTGCTTTAAGCATGTTAAGTCTATCTTGTGCGTGGATTTTATTGAATTATGAAATGAGCTTAGACGGGCCATGAAGGAAATGAATTCCTGTCGGGTATGCGGCTTAATAATGAAGATGTCATCTATATAAATCTCCACCAAACTAAAGGTTTGACTCTTTGGGTTTGTAAGAATTTTGTGTTTAAGTTATCCATGAAAATGATTGCGTAGCTTGGGGCGTATTTTGTACCCATTGTGGTGCCAGATATTTGTTTGTAGTGTTTCTCATTGAAATTAAAGCATGTTTTTAAAGAACAAATTCCTCACTTGAATACTGTTGAACCACCATTAGGTTATATCCTGCTTTTGCTTCAAGTAGTTAAAGAATGTTGTTATTTCATCGGATATGTTTTGCGTTTTGTCTGAAGGGATTGCTTGGTAAAACGTTTGTCTTTTAGTTGTCTGAGGCCTTCTTGTATATACGAAATCTTATCTAGAATAACTACAGCACCTCCTTTATCTGCACGTGATATCTGAATTGTTAAGTAAAGATAATATGGCCTGCCGTTCTTCATAAGATATATTAGAAACTGGCTGATTTTTATTCTTTTCGTTCATCAATCTAAGATTGTTACAGGCAATTTAGGTCTTTCTATTCGGCTATTTTCTTTTTGGGTGGTTCCAGTATTCCTCACTTGGCTCACTGTTGAATCACCATAAGGTTATGTGTCCTGCTTTTGCTTTTTAAATTTGTCTTTTGACGTATTATCTGTAATATGCAGACTTCATAACCTCTGATCCCCTTTCTACATTCAATTTTATTTAGTTCCGTCCATTGTTTTATCGTTCAGGGCACACGCATTTGTTTACTTGGGGACCATATGCCGCTTTTGATGAAATGGCACTAACGTGTCACATTGAAGGTTCCATGATAACCGCCATATGTTTCGGATGTTTCAAAATTCTTAATTTTACCAATTCATGTTAAATACTGCTTAAGCCAGTGCTAGGGGGCGTGGACGGTAACTTGGACTTCTTAATACCGTCCATGAACAGTCTCAATAAATCTGAGCCTGTAAAATTTTCAATTTTGTCATGCTGTGCGTTTTTTTTTAGGAATTTCCTATTTCTCTCTATTCTAATCCGATCGATTTACCTGCTGGTGATGTCGATCCGGATTATTCCTTTAATGGCATTTCTTCGTGGTTGGTTCTGAAAGAATTGTGCTAACCTTGCGTTGGTGCTAGATATTGCTTTAGTACTGGATATTGCTTTGGTACTGGATATTGCTTTGGTACTGGATATCGCTTAAGTACTGGATATCGCTTTGGTACTGGATATTGCTTAAGTACTGGATATTGCTTTGGTCTTGGATATTGCTATTAAAAGTACTGGATATTGCTTTGGTACTGGATAATGCGTTGGTACTGGATATATTGCTTTGAGATTTGATATGTCTTTAGTACTTGATATTGCTTAAGTACTGGATATTGCTTTGGTACTGGATATTGCTTTGGTACTGGATATTGCTTTGGTACTGGATATTGCTTTGGTACTGGATATTGCTTTAGTACTGGATATTGCTTAAGTACTGGATATTGCTTTGGTACTGGATATTGCCTAGATCAATGCATATTTATTGACAATTTTACAGGTCAAGTGACCTTTGACCTGAGAATGGGTGTGGCAGGTACAGTTCGTCAAGGTTCAATTACATATGTTTTAAGTTCCTCACTTTAATGAGCAATTTTATGCTTTGTTATTATATGTCTAAGTGTCATTGACATTTATAAAAAAGGTGCGGCAGGTCACCCTAACTCTGCATATAAACATACAATAATCACATTATGCATATGTGACACACAGGAAAAAAAAACTCACCAAGTTGCATCAACACATAAAATATCCATGAAACAACTATAAAATAAGTTTTGATGTAAATGACCATAAACAAAAACTGATACAAAACGGTTAGCGAAAGACAAAGACGACACAGAGGAGTCTGTTTATAGAAGGTATTATTCACGCCCCAAATATGGCTACTTAAACTGTATATAGAAATAACTGATAAAGAAACAATTACAGATGTGTTCATATGGCAATTATCATTAATCCTTCAATGCTACATGATTTAATAATTCTATGACAAGCATCATCAAGTATCATCCAAAATAAAAGAAAATATGTTCTCTCCAAAGGTAAAACTTTATACAATGGTTCCTCAAATATATGCTCCCTGGTTTATTTTTTCCCAGGGAAATAAAAACCTGTTGAACCAGACCAAAAGATAACACAAGAGAACTGTGCCAATGTCTCCAATCCTTTAATCTATTTTAATGAGCCAAAAAGTAACAGATCACACTGAATATACACAATTAGCTATTTATTTAAAATACAACAAAAATGGAATAATTACAAATCATGAATATGACAAAACATAATGCTGTCTTAAAAACATCAACAGAATACAAATCTAACAAACAAACTCGTTAAATTGATATCCCTCGTCAAATTAAACTATTTGCTTCTTAGTACCACCCAGAGCATTAATATTATATTCTCAAGTAGAGTTACTCTTCCTGTACAGTGTAACATTTTAAAGTTGATGCCTAAATTTTTTTTAGATAAGATTAAAAAGCAAGTGTGTGTGTGTGGAGTGGGGGTTAAGTCTTCAATTATGCAAAAGAGAATTATGCTTCTGGAACAATGAAGTTTTCTAGAATGAGATCTATCAATGTCTGAAATTACAAATTGATATAATACATTTTCAGCTTTGATTGAAGAAAAGTTTCCTGCATAAAGATACCATTTCCCCATTACTTTTTTTGGCACTATTAAAAGAAGGAGAACCGCATAAAAGATTAAGAATTGAATATCATCAAATCAAAGAGGAAATACAGTTCAATTTTGTTCCTGAAGTCACACAAGTTTTTTCCAATAGGTAGGAATGGACAAAGCCAAATTTATACACCTCTGTCTTGGACGGGGGTAACAAATAAATACTAGAACTATCACTAAATGTGATTGATACCCCCGCAAGACTGCTTCGGAAATGAGGATGTTACTAGTAACAGAATACCTTGTAAAAGAATTGAAATATAGAGTTATGGTTAAAGATAGTTGTGGTTCTTGTATGTTGCATTTCCTTTCAATGTGGTTGGCCATTGATGAAGTTTTATTGAATTACTCTGTAATATGTCCAGAAAGACAAGGAAAAGAAAAAAGGGCAATAACTCTATAAATACTGAAGATGGAGTTATAGTTCTTGTGCACTGCACTTCCTCTTATTGTGCTTGACCATTGTATGAAGTTGTTTTGAATATTTCCAACCAGTATGTTTCAAGTTATGCTCCGGACAAGGAAAAGTATCAAAGGGCAGTAACTCTGTAATAAGTCAAAATGGAGTTATGGCTCTTGTGCACTGCACTTCCTTTTAATGTCCTTGACAACTGTATGAAGTTGTATTGAATTCCAAACAGTAGTTTTCAAATTATGCTCTGGACAAGGAAAGATAACAAAGGGCAATAACTAATTAGTCAAGATAGAGTTATGCTTTTTGTGCACTGCACTTCCTCTAAATGTGCTTGACCATTGTATGAAGTTAAATTGAATTCCAACCATTAGTCTTCAAGTTATGCTCCGGACAAAAAAAGCAATGGAAAAGTACCAAAGGGCAATAACTCTGTAATTAGTCAAGATGGAGTTATGGTTTTTGTGCACTGCACTTCCCCTTATTGTGCTTGACCATTGTATGAAGTTGTTTTGAATTCCAAACAGTAGTTTTCATGTCATGCTCTGGACAAGGAAAGGTTAAAAAGGGCAGTAACTCTGTAATAAGTCAAGATGGAGTTATGGTTCTTGAGCACTGCACTTCCTCTCAATGTGCTTGACCATTGTATGAAGTTATAATGAATTCAAACAATAAGTCTTCAAGTTATGGTCCGGACAAAAGAAAGCAATGGAAAAGTAACAAAGGGCAATAACTCTGTAATTACTTTAGATAGAGTTATGGTTCTTGTGCACTGCACTTCCCCTTATTGTGTTTGACAATTGTATGTAGTTATATTGAATTCCAACCAATAGTTTTCAAGTTATGCTTCGGACAAGGAAAATGCAAGGTCTGGACCAACCGACCGACCGACCACCGGGTGACTCCTATATACCCCCCCCCCCAAACTTCGTTTTTGGGGGTATAATAATGACCAAATATAAAATATGTTGCTCAAAATTATTTACGATGATACAATACTTTCCTTGCAAATGCTCCAAATCTTGTTGTTGGTTTGTCAAAGATAGCATTTTAGTGATAATCATTTACATTAATAAACATATAACATCAAAAATGGCTGATTGTTATGTACAAGTTTTATGCTAACATACCTCTGTGTAATTATCAAAACATTGATTGTTCTATACAATTATTATAAACAAACCGTGAACACTTACTGCACTTATTAAATATGATACAACTATACATATCCTTTCATGATTGAACACACGTTACTATGAATGTTAACAAAATTGGCCAAGACTCAAATGATTGTGAATGTCTGATTATAAGTGTGCTCCTCAATTATAAGTGTGCTGCTCCACTAAAACATCAAAATCATAATCAGCCTGCTGAACATGATCAAATGTAACAAACGATCAAAGGCAATGACATATTTGACGTCATTAAACAAGACGGCTGAAAAGTGGTATTATTAAAACTTAAAAAATAATTGTTACTTGTATAAATACACAGTTTTACTGATCAAAAAAAGGAAAAAAAAAAGTTCAAACAAAAAAAAACTTGATTTAACTGGTCTTCGTGGCATTTAAGGTAAGTAGCTTGATTTGTAATAACTCCAGCGGGTTCTCCAGTAAAAATGTCCTTGGCAAATGCAAATACTTAATAATATGTCAGTGTATAAAGCTATATATCTGCTGCAAAAATTATTGCTAGTATTTTAAAAAGAATAATACTTTCAGTATGCTTGTATTACAGAAATATTGTAGTAAATTACCTTAAAAGTAAATGTTGCATTTAGGAAATCATTGCTGCTAAAGAGATAAAACCCTACAGTACTATAAAAAGTGAAGTATATTGTGTTGCAGAACAATTTATTCTGTTAACTTACAATATTCATATGTGTTTAATAACAGAGACAGACTACCTTACAACTCTTTCTAGAAAGTCAACCATAATGATTATAGAAACAATTTAATTTTACTATTGATAAATTATAAAAATATTTCATAAGATATAGCTTTATACCCTTCAAAAAACATTATTACATGCCAGAGATGAGTTGCAGTGATTATTGACCCTGATTAAATTATGAGCATCTGCTTGAAGCAGGGCCATTATTTATTTAACAGACCAATTATCACCAGCCCTACCCTGTTGTGTATTTACCACTTAATGGCAATAAATTCTGTCAATCTGAATTTAAAGTATTTCAACATGCCATAGATGAAATATTGTCAATCAACATTGTGGCATTTTGTACAAACTGTGTTGTCACAATTGTAATACACATTCTAAATAATGTATTAATATGACACACTATGTGAAAAATGTATTACTATAAAGGTACATTAAGCCTCAGTATAAATGACTTTTTCTTTTAGTAGTAACTGCAAACAAATGTTTTATAATATTGGAATAATGAATTCAAAACAAGTTAGATGCTTATCACATGAAGAAAATGGCACTGAATGTGAAATAATTTGTGATAAGCTAGCAAAATGTAAACAAAGTGATTAAAAATATTAAAACACCCTACCTATATAAAATTGCCAAAAACGAGAAAGAATCTAAAGATGACCAATGAATCAGTAACACAATACCAAAAATAAAAAGGTTTTAGGAAATAAAAACAAGCTCCTGTTAGGTATAATTGGCCTTTAGGTTAGTTGTAGAAATAATTAGAAATGTATGCATAGGACATGAGTTTCTCTGTTTTGTTAATGTACAAATGTATATCATTAGAGCATAGGACATGGATTTCTCTGTTTTGTTAATGTACAAATGTATATCATTAGAGTATGAGGGAAGGACAATGGCAAATGTACATGCTCCCCCACAAGTGGGGGTATAAACATAATTGAAAATGTCATTTTTTCATAGCATTTTACATGACAGTTTTACATTGTTGTCATGTAAAACTACGTTATAAACTTTCCAAAATAGGCCAAAGTTTTGAAAATAAATATCCTAAATGACTGGAAACATCAACTCAAGATGTTAAAAATATTTAAGGGTACAATATTTTAATTCTAATTATCTACAATCTTGAAAGAAAGGCAAAGTTAAAATGTGTAAAATTGCAAAATAATATAAAATGTTACATTAGAAATAAAACTCTGATAAATTCCATTTTTCAACATCTTTTGTCAGGTGTGCATTTACAAAAATCTCAAATAATTGATAATTATGTTTTAAAAATAAAAGCTGTTAAAAAGGAGAGATTATATTCTTTAGTTTGTAACAATGAAAATACAGTTCAAGTCTGACCAAAGTTAGTGTCCCTCTCTACAAAATAACACTAATGTTAAATATTTCACTCTAATATTTTTGTAATGAGTAAAGTTCAAATACTAAAATTCCTAACATCCTTTTCTGAGCCTTTTGTTAGTGCATCCTAACTAGAGTTACAAGGTAATTCAAACAAAAATAATTATACTGGTAGTTTATTATGACGTTTAACACTGTCACAAACATTTGTCTTCACCATGACACTTTATAAACATATCCCAACAATATATCCCACAGAAAAACTGGAGTTATTTATTTTATAAATGTACACATATAAGGCAATATGGGTAGTGGGAATGATAAAAGTAACATTTAACCATCATTAGATCATAAAACATATATCAATTTATCATAAGATCATATAACATATATCACACCTTTATAAACTATTACTATTGTCTTTTAAGTTTTATATTCCTAGTACCCATGTATAAAAATCTGAATATCTTACTATACATCTCATCTTATAACCTAGTACAAGACATTACTAACTCTACTAGATCATGTGTAATATATGAGGGAATACCTGTAGAATCTCTCAATCCATTTTAAAAACAGTCACATCTTGCAATAACTTGACATTTATATACATATATATTCTAATAAATAAAAATTGCAATAAGACACTTAAAGTAGAAAAACAGATCTCGTGTAAAGAGCCTAATACTAGTAAATGTAGAACATTAAATAATAAAATCATGGTGGAGTAAACAAAATATACACACTGCTATAATGCTGGTAGGTTAATCATTATACTAACAAAACTTTTAATATAAATCTGAATTCTCTTTCGGGTATTCTTCATCATAAAAAATGTATAATATATACCATATGGATTTTGGTGGTTGAAATGAAATTATCTTTTGTTATGACAGTGATAATATTCTATATTTATACGTTTACTAGTACATGTATATATACAATTATTAATAAAGAGACAATAAAACTGTACTATTAAAACTTAGTGCTCGCCAATTTTTTTAAGCCAATCACCGAAGAGGATTTTTCAAATTTTCAGGTTTCAAATCTTAATAGAACAGATTTTATATAAACTGGACGTTTTATATTATAAAAAGCAAGTGGGCGGAGCTTAGTTTCGAAGAGCGCTAAAGTGAAATATACGCATGTGCAGAGATCATGAAGTTTACTCCTACTAATCAATATTTATGCATCATTTTTTTTCCGTACACGCACATGTATATCGTCACTACCGCATAGAATTAAAAAAAGAGGTTCATTGAAATGAAAACAGGCAAAATTACAGTAAAAATGTTTTATTACTTACGGAACCATTATCATTTTATAATTTCCAAATAAAAAGTTCACTTATTCCAACATAGTATGTTTGTAATATTTCTAACTTTTTATGTAAATATTACAGCCCGTGCCGCCGCAAGACCGAAAGTAGGGTGTTTTTATTAATTTTACATTTATTTTTGACAATATACTGCCATTTGTCCGAAGATGATATGTATATGAACATAATTAATATGTATGATGCATATATAATCAAGCTACAGGTTCATTTCAGCCCGAAAAATATGTCGAGGTGACGGGCGAGGCAAGACATGTCGACTTTTTGCAGCTTATTGTGAAGTTGCAGTACATGAAAATCGGGCACATGACAAATCAGCACATTAAAAAAACATTCTAGTGTTCCGTGGTATACATCTTTTCTACATGTCATACCTCCTTTCCTTATTACAATAAATTTTTACTGCATTGTTATCCATCGCTGGTTTGTTTTTAGCAGAGAATGACCTGTGTATGTTCAAAGAGGGTACCGTTTGAGAATATTTCGCAAAGAGGGAACCGATATGGATATGCACCGTGATATTGTCTGATTTACCTAGACAGAATGCGGGAATAAACTATGCAAAACACGTGACCCGAAAATGTGTACTGCTACCTCTTCCAAATATGGTTATACACATTTAGGCTATCGTGTGACGTCACGCAGTGTGTTAGGCGGAAAAAAATGGGCGGAGCACTAAGCCGGTTAGAGTGCATATTGGATGTTCTTCGTAAATAAGAAAGCTACAGTCGCTTCGCAAGCTCCGCTCCTTTTTAGCTTTCTTATTTACGAAGAACACCCAATATGCACTCTAACCTATACTTGCAACATAAATAACGTATTTTATGAACAAAGAAATCCATATACAAGGCTAATTTTTTGATAAAATTTGTGACTTAAAACATATCTACAAGACAACAACTACATTTACATCATACTTTGAACCCCTTTAACTAACAGACATGTTTTAAACACTAAAATCTAGTCTACAGTAAAAGAAAAGGCATTTTGGTGATAAAAACTTGAGACACTGACCGTAATTTCATGCATTCCTGGCAGACTTTCTCATTTCAAGTCATGGTTTATCAACATTTATAAATATAAAGTAATTATTTATATCATTTAAAACATAAGAGATCAAATAAAAATGCTCCAATAAAAAGAACGTTTTTGTGTACTCTTGGTTTATATTATTGCACCCACTTCTTCAATGGATTTCAGATATATCCTCATTACAAAAATAAATGTTATATATCCTCAATTAAAACAAAAACAAATGTTTGCTAAAATGAACATAATTCTTCATAGTAATTAAATAGTTTCACATATAGTATTAAAATGTTTGTTACTTAACACATAATGTTTGCTAAAATCAACTAGTAGTTAAATGATACCATATATAAAATATGAATGATTTGTTTATTTCAAAATGAAATATCAAGTCAAGTTATCAACAATATGCTAAAAGTTATGTCAAAAGTTATAATGTATATAGATATTATATGTCCATAAACTTTCTTCTCTATATTTTCTCTTGTGATGTTCTTATATCACTGTATGTTATAGACAAGTTTACATGTATACTCTATCATTGTATGTTATAAACATGTTTACATGTTTCCTCTATCACTGTATGTTATAGACATGTTTACATGTATCCTCTGTTATTGTTGTTTTGTTGATTCTGCTCGAAATACATAAAGTCCTGTAATATAAAAGGTTGTTTTGTCCAAGTATGAAAATAATCCATTGATAAATTAACAATTTAAAGCCACTTGTGGTGATAACCAGTGAAAATGAAATAATTTGACATTCAAGGTCAAGGTCATACATGAGTCAAGGTTAATTTGAGTTTAATATACATCAAGGTCCTGGCCTCAAAAATGTTGTGTATAGATTTAAATTAATTCATTTATACATGACCAAGTTTGAGACAGTTACAGAAAAAGAAGTTACAGAAAAAACAAGAGAATTTCATTAATTTCACCATGACAGTCAAGGTCAAATTAAGGTCCAGGTCACATCTAAATTATTCAATATGTTTGTTTGGCAGTAAGTCTTGTTTTGTCTACGTGTAAATTAAATCTGTACATTATGACAATTTAACAAAAAATTCAAAAATTTGAATGTTAAACTATAAACAAAAGCAGAAATAAAATCTAACTTTTAAACTGATATCACAAAGTTCATATTTTTATCTGAAATAGTGCATGTGTAAAAACATTACTGGTTGCTGTTGCTATTAAGAAAATCAATGACCCACTCGGGCAGGGCCCAGGGCTTTCATTTTAACAAACATGGGAGACACCCACTAGAAGATGTTTAATGCTAAATATCTAAGCTCTAGCTCTTTTCTTTTTAAATAGAAGATTTTTTAAGTTTATAATACAAAAATATAAGGAAAATCAATGGCCCCCAGCCGGGGCCAATTTTGACCCAAGGGCTTTTACATGTATTTGAACAAACTTGGTAGACACTCACTAGAAAATGTTTCATGTTAAATATCTAAGCTCTATGTCTTTTGGGTTTTTTATAAGAAGATTTTTTAAGTTTTTACTATATACATTAGGGAAGTTTTTACTATATAAATAAGGGAAAATCAATGAACCTACCCGGGCAGGGCCAATTTTGACCCCAGGGCTTTTATTTGAACAAACTTGGTAGACACTCACTAGAAGTTATTTCAAGATTAATATCTCAGCTCTAGCTCTTTGGGGTTTTTAAAAGAAGATTTTTTAAGTCTTTACTATATACATTTAAGGAAAATTAATTTTACCCTTTTTTTCCCTGAGTGGGGTAATTTTGTAAGCAAATGCTACATGCTAACTAAATGTGTTTTCCTATATAAAGCCTATACAGATCAAGGGACCCCCGGGATGGGCCAATTTTGATCTGAGAAAGTTCGAACCTGGGTTCTGCCTCATTATCAGTAACATTTCTGTCAAATAGGTTTAATTTTCTTGTATCTTGTATTATTCACTAAACAATGAAACTTACAATAAGGAAAACAGCTCCTAACATAACTGCCTTCAACTTGACATCAAGATCCATCGGAACTGAAATTAATCATCAATACCAGATATTATCAAAGTTGATAACAAAACATAAACCACAAATAGTTTAATATTTACTCTCACTATCAATATAATCATAATATCTCACTATCAATATAATCATAATATCTTACTATCAATCTAAACCTAATATCTCACTATCAATCTAAACCTAATATTTCACTACCAATATAATCTTAATATCTCACTATCAATACACACCTAATATCTCACTATCAATATAATCTTAATATCTCACTATCAATACACACCTAATATCTCACTATCAATATAATCATAATATCTCACTATCAATACACACCTAATATCTCACTATCAATATCAGGGCTCATCCGGAAGGGCGATTCAGGCGAAAACTTCGCCGTGTATATTCCAATTTCGCTCTTCCGATTGATCAAAGAGAAGTCAACATCGCCGATAAAATCTTAATTCCCAAATAGTAATTACTTAGCGATGTAAAGAGCAGAGATTGTATCCGCCCATATGACGACCGCTAATTATCATTATCCAATCAGAGCGTCGCTTTATACTACCCTTCTACCTGTAAGCGAAGCGATAGACCGCCTACTCTAAACAGTAAATAATGAGAGCATCGGCCCGAAACGGTATAATTGTGTGATAGTTTTGCGAGTTTAATACGGGATTTGGCGATAATTATAAATTGTTTTTTCCCCGATTATCTAAACAAGTGCAATCTTCCCTAATTGATATACACGATGCACTTCGATGGTGGGTTTTTAACCCGAGTAAAGGCGATGTGCAATGGATTTTTCACGGCTATCACAAAACTGTTAGTCAATTAAAAATAATCAATTTCATTAATGATCAGCGACCAGATTAAAAACTTAATCATAGTTTTGAATGATTTCAGTCTGTTAACATCAATTTTTACTGTAAAATTGTTATGTCGCTCACGTCATGGCTACAAGGCGAAATGCCGAAACCGAGCAGTAAGAAAGTTACTGATTCTGATAGTTACACCTACGCGAAAATTTAAGAAAGCCAATTCGCAAAAATCTAAGATTATCTTGCGATTGGTATGTTGTAGACAGTAGGGGTGTTTGGCATTGTTCTCTTTGTAGAAATGCCAAATTTGACACAGTTTACGCACGTGGGCAATACATCCCGGCTTAACTAGACATATCGGTCGTATATCATGTAACGTGCATATAACAACAACATTTGTCTGGAAAGAAGTGTTCTTATTGTTTCAAAATAAATTCGTAAATATGACGCTCAGATTAAGATTTATCAATATTGTAAATTTTAAAAAGCATTATTTATAAAGATATTACCGAATTTAACATTTCATGAAAATAAAGGGAGGTAATTAGAAATTAATTTTCTACAATTTCTCAGTCAAATTTTTCAATAAGAAATGAATGTATGTAATTTTAGTGATCAAATATAATGTGCACAAATGTTTGCAGTACATATTTTACATATTCTTTGATGTTTGAAAATTGTTTTATAAGCATAATTATATGCATATAAATCTGACATTACAACATTTAGGACTGTGAGAGAAATTTCTGTTACCAGAACATAATAGAACAGATATTATTAATCAATATCCAATGTCACTTCATCTACTTTTAAAGGTGAAGAAAGTAAAGTAAAAAATATGAAATTGATTTAATCATAACTTTTCTTACACATTATTATCAACAAATGTACATGAAAATATATAAACACATATTTAGAGAAAGCTTATAAATAGTTGATCAATAGATATCAAAAATAATTTTTTATATTCATATATGCAGCTCAAAACATTTAGATGCCATTGCCTGATCTACTACTAAATAATTAATCTACTTTTAATTAATACTACTATTAATTAATCTTCTATTAATTAATAAACTGGAGAAATATTATAAGTGATGTTAATTGTGTTTATATTATAATTAAAGGATGTATAGCCATGCATGTTAATGCATACACATTGGGTTGTTTCCCTTCTCCCTAATTTTCGCGAGGTCGTCACTTCTCCCTAAAATTTCCCCCCAGGATGAGCCCTGAATATAATCTTAATATCTCACTATCAATACACACCTAATATCTCACTATCAATATAATCTTAATATCTCACTATCAATACACACCTAATATCTCACTATCAATATAATCTTAATATCTCACTATCAGTATACACTTTATATCTCACTTTCAATATAATCTTAATATCTCACTATCAGTATACACCTAATATCTCACTTTCAATATAATCATAATATCTCACTATCAGTATAAACCTAATATCTCACAGTCAATCAAAACTTAATAGCTCACTTTCAATATAATCTTAATATATAACTATCAATGTAAACCATATATCTCACTTTCAAAATAATCTTATTATTTCACTTTCAATCTAAACTAGATATCTCAACATCAATCTAAACCTATTATCTCACTTTCAATCTAATATTAATATCTCATTATGAAAATATAAACTGGGAAAAGGAAATGTCATAAGGAAAGAATGTTGAAATTATAAAGTAAAGATCAAGTTTCTTACATGAGATACCAAAGTTGTCAGCATCAGTGAAATATTCCCTCAGTAAACCACTCCACTGTTTGCTGATCTTTCCAACTTCTGTCTGGCCATCTTTAGAATTCACCTATCATAAAAAGTAACACAAGTGAGGGTATGTTATGGAAATGTAAGTTTCATGCTATTGACAAATTCACTAATTAAACATTATTCTACATACATGTATGTTGACTGTAAATTCTACTATTCATTTATTGACATATCAGGCGCAGCAGCCATTAGTGGTGTCTATCTAAAGTCCATATATCGCAACCATCTTAAGTCCATATAATACTGTAAAATCATTATTATTCGTGGGGCACGAATTTTCGCGCTTTTCGTGATCCACGAATTTAAGATCCGACGAAATTTTATCCCAACAATTACTTCTGATCATGTTTCTGTTCCATACATGCGTCGCAGCTTTTCCGGTCGATTACTGTGTTATGATGGTATACCTATGATCAGGTTAGTGACAGATTAAATCTATAAATAGTTTAGGTTTGCAATATTTTAGAAACTTAAAAGCAAACTGAATTTGGTCGTATATACACATAACTGAGACTGCTTAATTGTTGTAGGCTACTTGATTGTGTTATTCAGAAAACTTGACATAATCAATTAAAAATGGGAAACCAGTGCAATAATTAGCGCTAATATAAATTGTCAGTTTGCTCTTATTAATTGTAAATAGAATCAAAGAAATCTTTGATATTAATGTCGTAAGTTAAGTACATAAACAAGAGCTGTCGGTAGGACAGCATGCTCGACTATTCTTAGTGCTTGATAGTAAAAAAAATGCCTGATACAGTTACCTCCTCCTGTTTACAGGTTGGGGTCATGATGGTGAACAAGTGTGCAAAGTTTCAATGCCATATGTCAATGGACTTTGAAAATATTTGAACTATTACAAAAACTTTAACGTAAATTCTAAGTCGAAAAAGGGGCATAATTCTGTCAAAATGCTTGATAGAGTTACCTCCTCCTGTTTACAGGTTGGGGTCATGATGTTGAACAAGCGTGCAAAGTTTCAAAGCCATATGTCAATGGACTTTGAAAATATTTGAACTATTACAAAAAACTTTAACGTAAATTCTAAGTCGAAAAAGGGCATAATTCTGTCAAAATGCTTAATAGAGTTACCTCCTGCTGTCTACAGGTTGGGGTCATGATGTTGAACAAGTGTGCAAAGTTTCAAAGCCATATGTCAATGGACTTTGAAAATATTTGAAACTATTACAAAAACTTTAACGTAAATTCTAAGTCGAAAAAAGGGCATAATTCTGTCAAAATGCTTGATACAGTTACCTCCTCCTGTCTTCAGGTTGGGGTCATGATGGTGAACAAGTGTGCAAAGTTTCAAAGCCATATGTCAATGGACTTTGAAAATATTTGAACTATTACAAAAACTTTAACGTAAATTCTAAGTCGAAAAAGGGGCATAATTCTGTCAAAATGCTTGATAGAGTTACCTCCTCCTGTCTTCGGGTTGGGGTCATGATGGTGAACAAGTGTGCAAAGTTTCAAAGCCATATGTCAATGGACTTTGAAAATATTTGAACTATTACAAAAACTTTAACGTAAATTCTAAGTCGAAAAAGGGGCATAATTCTGTCAAAATGCTTGATAGAGTTACCTCCTCCTGTCTACAGGTTGGGGTCATGATGGTGAACAAGTGTGCAAAGTTTCAAAGCCATATGTCAATGGACTTTGAAAATATTTGAACTATTAACAAAAACTTTAACGTAAATTCTAAGTCGAAAAAGGGGCATAATTCTGTCAAAATGCTTGATAGAGTTACCTCCTCCTGTCTACAGGTTGGGGTCATGATGGTGAACAAGTGTGCAAAGTTTCAAAGCCATATGTCAATGGACTTTGAAAATATTTGAACTATTACAAAAACTTTAACATAAGTGGTTACGCCGACGCCGACGCTCGGGTGACTGCAATAGCTCTACTTATTCTTATCGAATAGTCGAGCTAAAAATAATAAACAATCACTAACTAAAACGGATGAATTGTACATCCTTTGATCGTAAACATCAAATACGCTGCTGACTTCTTAATATATCTGCACAATCTTGTTTTATTTACTCACTTTAATTTATATGCATGTTAATTAACACAGTCGATGTGATGTTGCGTGTAGTTACTGTCAAACAAAGTAAGACTGATTCAGGGTGTAAACTATTTAAACTCGCTGGTTAAAACGTGTCAGGGGTCGTATAAATTATGCAATGTTTACATCGGCGAATCACAGGGGCAGTGTGTACAATGGAGCTGCATATCATGTCATCTAGATGTGTTAATTGCGGTCAATTATCGGCAGTAACTGTTATCTTTATGTTATGCCTAGAGGCAAGGATTAGATTATTGACAAGCGCTGTGTGATACATAAAGATATGTTCATGTGGTAAGTAAAAATGCGTGACGATTAATTGTAAGATAACTTTACATTAGGTTATATTTTTTTTTTACAAGAAAATGAAAATCCACGAATTTAATAACCCACCAAAAGGTCCGTTTTGACAAAACCACCAAATTTTATGCCCACGAATATATGTGAATTCGCAGTATTAGAGCAACCGCTTAAGTCCACATATAGCAACCATGTTCAGTCCACATAAAGCAACCATAAGCAATGTCTTTTGAAAGTCCACATATAGCCACTATGAGTGTTAACCAGAGAAAGTTAATATTTACCAAGTTGTTAGCAGATGTGCACATAAATTTACAGGGGTAAAAATCATATACATGTACTATCATCCTCACATGACACGATATTTATACTATTATCCTATTCACAAAATACATGTATATCAATTGAGGATATTAAATTTTGAAAATGTTTGTTTTGCATGTAAGATGGAAATATACATGTATTTTACATAATGAACACAAGAGCAATTTTTTCATGAGTGGCATGTCAACAATTGAAAACATAACAACAGGTGTTCATTAGTGAAATGCAATTGTTTCGTACCTGCAAAACAAGCCCTAATTCTATTTAGGTCTTTTTGTGGTTGTATATCATTTTGACTAATTTTGCCACTTTACATCATGTATTCTTCTTTATGACATCATCAAATCACATCATCACAATTTTCATTGATATTTCAAGTTCAAGTGAATATCTCTACTCAGATTTTTCTTACTTGTATACAGTAAAAAGCTGTATATTTGCTGCCTGTTTTGCTTTTTTTTAAACATTCATATATAGATATACTTTCTTAAGAATTCATTGCTGAGGGTCAAAAGTACTATTAAAGACTGCATCATTTTTCTACTGGTCCCTGAGATGGGACCGGCCACATTATAATCAAGTTATAGCCAGTTACAGCAAAAAAAAATCAACAGTGATTTGACCTTTAAAGTCAAGGTCATTGATGAGTCAAGATCAATGTAAGACTCATCAACTTAAAGGTCTATCCTCAAGGACTGCTGTGTCCAAGAATGAGGACAATTCTTTCATAAATAACTCAGCTATAGCTACTTTGTATATTTTTGGGATATAAGATAAAGACGCACAATTTTATCAAACTAAAACTGTCAGAGTTATTAAACTTGACACACACACACAAATGCATTGTAATTTTGAATTGATATGTCATGTTTGTCCAAGTATTAATAATTTCCATAATTTATACTAACAATAAAGTTGTACAGCCAATCATAGCAGAAACAGTGAGAATACAATAACTACACCTTCAAGATCAAGTCATTTAAAAGTCTAGGTCAATGTCAGTTTAATTTTCATAAAGGTATTGTCCTATTAGATGTTGTGTCTAAATATGAAGACAATCAATCCATCTTTTACATAACACATTTCTAGCCATTTACAGCAACAAATTAGCAAAATTCAATAATCAAAATTGAAGGTCAAGGTTATTTTGGACTCAAGGTAAAAGTCAGTCTGGTCAACTAGAAGGAACATTCCAAAGGATTGTTATGCCCAAGTATGAATACAATTCATTAGTAAACAATAAAGCTATAGCCATTTTGGTAAACTTTTAGGGATATTTTCTATGTAATAATGTCAAACTAGAAAACTTGACGAAGACAGTCGGATTTTGATATTGCTTTATTTCAAATCAATATGTCTACTGGTACCTGAGATGGGACAGGACGGGACAAAGTGATTTCCATATAACCCCCAAAAACTATGTTTGTCGGGATATAATACTTTCCTTTTACTATTCAAAAGATAGAGAATAACTAAGAAATTGTTAGCCTGCAGCTTTGACCTCAAGCTTGTAGTAAGACAACTTAAACCTTGACACTACATGTACATGTCAATTGACCCAAGTATTACTTGAACCCTTAACAGGCTGAACAAGAGCTGTCACAGGAGACAGCCAAGCTCGACTAATAAAATACCGGGCGCAGTAAGGAGGACAAAACTATGAAAGAAAAATCAATTATGTACAATTATGTATTAAGATATAGATAAAAAATAACATTTCTTAACATAAATTCCAAGATCAAGGGAAATAATTATAGAAATAGTCACGCTAGAGTTATGAACCTTGTCACACAACATGTGTGTAATGATAAGAAATATATATTTGAAGTTTGAAGTAGATACATTAAAAAGTAAAGAAGTTATAATATTTCTTAAAGAAAATCCTAAGTTCAAAGAGAGATAAATGTGTAAAAATTGCTTCAAGAGTTATGAACATTGTCACATAAAATGTAATTGATGATAAGGATAAGTATTTGAAGTTTGAGGTAGATACCTTTAAAACTAAAAAAGTTATAGTAAAAAATAACATTTTTCTAGTAAAAAAATCTAAGTTCAAGGGGAGATAAATCTGAAAATATTGGTACTAAGGTTATGAACCTTGTCACATAAGATGGGGATGATGATAAGGTACATATATTTGAAGTATGAGGTTGATCCCTTAAGAAATAAAGAAGTAACAGTAAAAATTAGTATTTTTTAAGGAAAATTCTAAGTTCAAGGGGAGATAAATTTGTTATCTACTTACCCAATCCCTTTCCCACACAGATACGCATTTCTACTACCGTAAATTTAATTTATTAAAACAAAACATCATAAATCTACTTAATATTTAAAATGAGTATTGGTAACTGAAAAAAAAATGTGTTGCTATTTTATGAAATGCTGTAATTTACAGTATAACACTTAATTTCCCCTAAGGTCATTCAGTTCACTGATAAAGCGTAAAAAATAGATGACTATTTCGTCATTAGAATATTTGACAAGGGTGATTAACCAATCAGGGCAACATTGTGCATGATCAAAAGGTCTGTCGGCACAGAGGCATACAAGGAGCAATAAAAATCGTTAGTACACAGTGTGACAGGAACATTTGGTGCAAATTAGGTACAATTAAAATGGACAATGCACAGTATTAGACATAAGTAGTAAGAACCAGCAATTGTGTCAATAAATTATGCAAATTACACCTCCTGTGAAAATTAATTTGTCTGGTCAATACTTTATTATATCAATATTTCGCTACGATTCTACTAGATTTATCATAAATCTAAAGATGTGGGGAATTGACACCACGCGCACCTGTTTTTATACGGCCAATACATAAACATGGCCGCGCCGACTGATTTGTAGAAATCGGTGATTTAGAGATTTAAATTTTGTTATCATTCGCTTAATATTATTATTTGGCGGCAGAAAATTTGCAGATTTATTTTTTATAGTATTCTTTTTCTGAAATCAAGTTTTTATTCTAACCTTGTCTTTCCCTTTAAGAAATGACAAAGTTATAGTGAAAAATATTTTACTGCACCAAAACTTTAATCTGAAATCTGGACGCTGACGCCGACACCGGGGCGAGTAGGACAGCTCTCCATATACTTTGTATAGTCGAGCTAAAAATGAGACAGGAACTTGCCTACTGACAGACAGATGGACAGATAAACAGTGACATAATACTACATGCTATTATATTTTAGGTACTTACAATGAAATCTTGGTCCCAGGTACAACATGGTCCTTGTATAATGCAACAAGGTCCTGTCATAGAAAACACCTCTTCATGTTCAGCGTTACAAATAATGTAATGTGGTTCAATACAGCTTTGTCTAAATAATACAAAAACAATACATTATAAAGTATGTGCTCAATTACATACCAGGTCTACATAAAATGTAATGTGGTTCAATACAGCTTTGTCTAAATAATACAAAAGCAATACATTATAAAATATGTGCTCAATGATATACCAGGTCTACTATGACTATACTTTAACCTGTTCCACAAAACATTTCTATGTTCATTAAATTACTCATTTTTTATATATACATTTATTATATTTATTATTGACAATTTATAAACATAATTCAGCAGTGCTTCATTTCATATTGCTTTGAAAGATTTGCCAAAATAAATTGTTACATGGTATCCTTTTATTTTCTTTCTAGAAACAAAATATTTGTCATGCTATATACTATTAATAATGTGTGTAGTCTTTCAAAAGTACATTTCTATGACAATATTAATATACATGTGAAATTCAGGGTTCCCACTCTTAGATATTTTGAAAATTTAAGGACTTTTCCAGGACTTATCAAGGACCTTTTTTGATTTTTTAAGGACTTTTTAGAAGATAAAATTTCAAGCTATTTGATTTTTTTGTCCTTTGAATATGCTCATGGTAATGTTTAGCAACACCAATATAATACATATAGTTCATGACATAAATCTAACTCTATCTAAGAAATACATTCAGTGTCTATAAATAATGAAATGTACTTTGTGACAGCAACTGTTTTTGCAGGTTGTGTGCCATTTTCATGTAATTTTGCTGTTTTTAATGCTTTCAAGGGATCACATTTTGACCAGATATTCATAGTACTTATTAAATAAGTTACCACACATTTGACCTCAGTCCACTTAAAGGCTTCAAAGAATGGCAAAAGCATGTCACACTGAATGGTATAATTATGAAAACTGCCTGCAGGTGATTCCACATTCAAAATTTCACAACTTTAATGTTTAAATGTTGTATTCTGCTTAAGTCAGTGCTACGGGAGGGGGGCGGTGTTCAAAAATGTATATTTAGGTATGTTTGATTACATCTTAGTGAAATTGTATATTGTATTCATGATTAAAACACAATTTTATTAGTACAACACATTATTTTTAGTATATATTGGCTATACTTTGGTATTTCGTGCTACCCGTGTGGCCAATTGGCTGTGCTCTGCCTTTACAATAGTTCATGTATGTAATCAGGGCTTCCACAAAGTTCCAAAATTTGGAAGTCAGACACTGCAAAATCTCTGATATTGGAAGTCACATTATATAGGTAAAGAAGGAAAAGTAGAACTTAAAGAAGTCACAAACCAAAATCAGGGAGTAAATGACTCCCAAACTTCCATTAATGGACGCCCTGTATGTAATACTGTTGTTAATTTTATATTGATATACCTTTGGCTTTTAGCATGGTTGGGAGCAATTAGGATAAAAAACATTGCCCAAGGAAACAACCATACCTGTGAGCTTTCACCTTTTTCATGTGCTTTGAGCACAGGCCAATCAAGCAAACTTGAGGTCGATTTGTGACTGTCTTATAAGATTTTCCAAACAAAACCGCCATAGTAACCAGAAAATAAATGTTAAATCTCATAAATGTCAAAATTGGCCTCTTAAAACACTTGTAAATCGAAAAATCATCAACATTCAAGATGCGGAAATCAATATACTGTGCTAAGACCGCCATTTTGGTTGTTTGATTTACCTCCCCTTTTCCAGACTAATTCCCGTACCTTCCCGGACTTTTTTCTGTATCAACACTAATTCCCGGACTTTTCAAGGCCGGGAGCTAGTGTTTTCAAATTCACGGACATTTCCCGTTTTCCCGGACAGCGTGGGAACCCTGGAAATTGCATTTGACACTAACATAAATACATATGTTTAACATATCCAAAAAATATATAGAGAAAAAATTTTTTACTTTATCTAAGTTTAACCCAACCAACAATCTCACTTTACCATTGCTTATTTTGCGTTTGTTTGTGTTTTTTTTTTGGGGGGGGGGGGGGGGTTTACGTCACATCAACACAGTATTGGTCATATCTCGACGTTCCAGCTTTACTGGTGGAGGAAGACCTCAGGTGCCCTTCATTGCATTATGTCAGGCATGAACAGGCACCTGAGTAGAACCACCGACGTTCCGTAAGCTAGCTGGATAGCTTCCTCACATGAAAGAATCCAAGTCCCTGTAGGGATTCGAACCCACAGCGTTGAGGGGCAAGTGGTTTGAAGTCAACAACCTTAACCACTCTGCCACGGACGCCCCTTTTACCTTAGTTTAACACATATCCAACAAACAGACTTTACATAAGTTTAAACATCCTAAATAACTAACATAACCTTTTTTAAATTGACTTCATCAAATAAACTCACTTTTCCTCGGTTTAACACATCCAATAAACTCAATTAAAATTAGTTTAACACATTCATTAAACTCACTTTACCTTAGTGAAACACAACTAACAAACTCACTTTTCTTTTGTTTAACTGACCTTATCTTAGTTTACATCCAACAAACTCACAGAAGACACTTTAAGTTAGTTAAATACATCCAACAAACAGACTACCCGAGTTTAACACATCCAAAATAACTAACATTACCTTTGTTAAACTCACATTACCTTAGTTTACCACACCCAACAAACTGACTTTATTTTAGTTTAACAGACTTTACTTAAGTTTAACAAATCCAACACATTGACTTTACCTTTGTTTCACATATTCAACAAACTGACTTTATTTTTGTTTCACATATCCAACAAACTGACTTTACCTTTGTTTCACATATCCAACAAACTGACTTTACCTTTGTTACACATATCCAACACACTGACTTTACCTTTGTTTCACATATCCAACACTCTTACTTTACCTTTGTTTCACATATCCAACAAACTGACTTTACCTTTGTTTCACATATCCAACAAACAGACTTTACCTTTGTTTCACATATCCAACAAACTGACTTTACCTTTGATTCACATATCCAACAAACTGACTTTACCTTTGTCTCACATATACAAACAAAATGACTTTACCTTTGTTTCACATATCCAACACACTGACTTTACCTTTGTTTCACATATCCAACAAACTGACTTTACCTTTGTTTCACATATCCAACAAACTGACTTTACCTTTGTTTCACATATACAACAAACAGACTTTACCTTTGTTTACATATCCAACAAAACTGACTTTACCCTTTGTTTCACATATCCAAACAAACTGACTTTACCTTTGTTTACTACATATCCAAAAGACTTTACCTTTGAAATATCTGACTTTACCTTTGTTTTCACATATCCAACAAACTGACTTTACCTTTGTTTCACATATCCAACACAACTGACTTTACCTTTGTTTCACATATGCCAACAAACAGAACTTAACCTTTTTGTTTCACAATCCAACAAAACTTTACACATATCAACAAACTGAAAATATTCTTTACCTTTGTTTCACATATCCAACAAACTGACTTTACCTTTGTTTCAACATATCCAACACACTAAACTTTACCTTTGTTACACATATCCAACAAACTGACTTTACCTTTGTTTCACATATCCAACACACTAACTTTACCTTTGTTACACATATCCAACACACTGACTTTACCTTTGTTTCACATATCCAACACACTGACTTTACCTTTGTTACAACATATCCAACAAACAGACTTTACTTTGTTTCACATATCCAACACACTGACTTTACCTTTGTTTCACATATCCAACAACAGACTTTACCTTTGTTTCACATATCCAACACACTGACTTTACCTTTGTTACACATATCCAACAAACAGACCTTTAACCTTTGTTTCACATATCCAACAAACTGACTTTACCTTTGTTTCACATATCCAACACACTGACTTTACCTTTGATTCACATATCCAACACACTGACTTTACCTTTGTTACACATATCCAACAAACAGACTTTACCTTTGATTCACATATCCAACACACTGACTTTACCTTTGTTACACATATCCAACAAACAGACTTTACCTTTGATTCACATATCCAACACACTGACTTTACCTTTGTTACATATATCCAACACACTGACTTTACCTTTGTTACACATATCCAACAAACTGACTTTACCTTTGATTCACATATCCAACAAACTGACTTTACCTTTGATTCACATATCCAACACACAGACTTTACCTTTGTTACACATATCCAACAAACAGACTTTACCTTTGATTCACATATCCAACAAACTGACTTTACCTTTGTAACACATATCCAACACACTGACTTTACCTTTGTTTCACATATCCAACACACTGACTTTACCTTTGTTACACATATCCAACACACTGACTTTACCTTTGTTTCACATATCCAACACACTGACTTTACCTTTGTTTCACATATCCAACACACTGACTTACCTTTGTTTCACATATCCAACAATTTGTCCAACAGGTGCTTCTATCTGTACAACATGTGCCCAGGAATCATTACATGCAAACCACGGACAACCAACACAACATTTAAACTCTCTAGTTACACGAATAACTTCCTGAAAATATGTACCATTTACTCATGTAATTAATCTCTATTATATTAAAATAATTAACAAATTCAATGATGACTGATAATAAAAAGTAAATGTTACCTTCAGTTTTAATACAGTCCAAGTAACAATGTAAATATTAGCTACAGTTGTAATACAGTCAAAGTAACAATGTAAATATTAACTACAGTTTTAATACAGTCCAAGTAACAATGTAAATATTAGCTACAGTTGTAATACAGTCCAAGTAACAATGTAAATATTAGCTACAGTTTTAATACAGTCCAAGTAACAATGTAAATATTAGCTACAGTTGTAATACAGTCCAAGTAACAATGTAAATATTAACTACAGTTGTAATACAGTCCAAGTAACAATGTAAATATTAGCTACAGTTTTAATACAGTCCAAGTAACAATGTAAATATTAGCTACAGTTGTAATACAGTCCAATACAGTCCAAGTAGACAATGTAAATATTAGCTACAGTTGTTAATACAGTCCAAGTAAGTAACAATGTAAATATTAGCTACAGTTGTAATACAGTCCAAGTAACAATGTAAATGTACAGTTGTAATACAGTCCAAGTAACAAATGTAAATATTAGCTACAGTTGTAATACAGTCAAAGTAACAATGTAAATATTAAGCAATGTAAATATTAGGCTCAAAGTAACAGTTGTAATACAGTCCAAGTAAGCAATGTAAATATTAGCTACAGTTGTAATACAGTCCAAGTAACAATGTAAATATTAGCTACAGTTGTAATACAGTCAAAGTAACAATGTAAATATTAGCTTCAGTTTTAATACAGTCCAAGTAACGATGTAAATATTAGCTACAGTTGTAATACAGTCAAAGTAACAATGTAAATATTAGCTTCAGTTGTAATACAGTCCAAGTAACAATGTAAATATTAGCTACAGTTGTAATACAGTCCAAGTAACAATGTAAATATTAGCTACAGTTGTAATACAGTCCAAGTAACAATGTTAAAATTACCTTCAGTTGTAATACAGTCCAAGAAACAATGTAAATATTAGCTACAGTTGTAATACAGTCAAAGTAACAATGTAAATATTAACTACAGTTGTAATACAGTCAAAGTAACAATGTAAATATTTCCTTCAGTTGTAATACAGTCCAAGTAACAATGTAAATATTTCCTTCAGTTGTAATACAGTCCAAGTAACAATGTAAATATTAACTACAGTTTTAATACAGTCCAAGTAACAATGTAAATATTAACTACAGTTGTAATACAGTCCAAGTAACAATGTAAATATTAACTTCAGTTTTAATACAGTCCAAGTAACAATGTAAATATTAACTTCAGTTGTAATACAGTCAAAGTAACAATGTAAATATTACCTTCAGTTTTAATACAGTCCAAGTAACAATGTAAATATTAACTTCAGTTTTAATACAGTCAAAGTAACAATGTAAATATTAACTTCAGTTTTAATACAGTCAAAGTAACAATGTAAATATTAACTTCAGTTTTAATACAGTCAAAATAACAATGTAAATATTAACTTCAGTTTTAATACAGTCAAAGTAACAATGTAAATATTAACTTCAGTTTTAATACAGTCAAGTAACAATGTAAATATTAACTACAGTTGTAATACAGTCAAAGTAACAATGTAAATATTAACTTCAGTTGTAATACAGTCAAAGTAACAATGTTAATATTAACTTCAGTTTTAATACAGTTCAAAGTAACAATGTAAATATTAGCTTCAGTTGTAATACAGTCAAAGTAAACAATGTAAATATTTACTTCAGTTGTAATACAGTCAAGTAACAATGTAAATATTAACTTCAGTTGTAATACAGTCAAAGTAACAATGTTAATATTACTTTCAGTTTTAATACAGTCAAAGTAACGATGTAAATATTAACTATAACATAACAAACCTGGCCAGCATTGTCTGTAATATGGATAGTAAATCCTCTCTGTGGACCACAGCACTGTCTCATACACATGTCAGATTCTGTAAAAAATAGTTCATGTATTTATATTTGTCTATTATAAATATCCTGTTCCATTATGAGACAATGCTACATTCTCGTGTAACCTATCTATAACTGTGACCAAACAATTTCCAGAACTTTGTAGAGAGTTACCAAATGCTACATTCTTATGCAATCTATTTATGCATTCACCAAACTTTTGCAGAGGGTTTTAACTGTGTGACGTAAGGATTATCCCTACCCTGGTTGGTCTTTATGTAAATACTTTTTATAATTACATCCTAATTTATGCATGGGATGCTCTCATGAATTATCAACCTTTATGATATCACACTCTACATGCATGTTTTCCTATTAAAATGTGTTTACCCTGGCTATTTTCAGCAAGTCAGACGGCAATAGCAAACAGATATATTTTTAAGAAAGGCCTTAAAAAAGTTTTTTTGAAGCAACATATATAGCTGTGACAGGTATATAAAATGTATAACTGATACTCAACTAAGACAATATTCAGAAAATAGATTTTTATCCTCATTTTTGAACCTTGATTAATACTACTACTGTTAACAAAGAATTATAAAATAATATAAAACCTTCAGCTGCAAAATACACCTGTTGCCCCATACTGTTCTGTACTTTATATTTGTTGGACGTCTCGAACCCAGTGAAAGCTGAAAGGAAATAAATATACAATAGATTATTAATCAGAAACATCCATAAAACATAAATACAACTGGACAATCAAAAAATAAACTTTATTGTTGAATATCATGTCAAGTATATATATCAAGATATAAATACAGACATTTCATTAAACAACAAATATCATCTTTATGTCATTATATAAATAGAATATTCATTGTGACAATTAATCTGTTCACAAACATGAAAATACTTAACTACATTAAATTATGAGACTTCACAGTAATAAAACACTTAGGGAACTAAATTTAGGTTCACAATAAGAAAACTACTAACTATATTTTTTTGTGAGCTGGAGGGTGGTAGATTACATTGCACCAACACTGTAAAAGTCAAATTGCTACTCTACAGCTTTAAAAGTGGAGAAACACCTCAGGTGCCCCTCCATGCATTATTTCAGGCATGGACAAGCACCTTAGTAGAACCAACGATGTTCTGTAAGCTAGCTGAATAACTTCCTCACATGATTCCAAAGTGTCTGGTAGGACTGGAACCTACAGCTATGAGGGGCAAGTGCCTGGTAGTACTGGAACCTACAGCTATGAGGGGCAAGTGCCTGGTAGGACTGGAACCTACAGCTATGAGGGGCAAGTGCCTGGTAGGACTGGAACCTACAGCTATGAGGGGCAAGTGCCTGGTAGGACTGGAACCTACAGCTATGAGGGGCAAGTGCCTGGTAGGACTGGAACCTACAGCTATGAGGGCAAGTGATTTGTGCCTGGTAGGACTGGAACCTACAGCTATGAGGGGCAAGTGTCTGGTAGGACTGGAACCTACAGCTTATGAGGGGCAAGTGCCTGGTAGGACTGGAACCTACAGCTATGATTGGCAAGTGCCTGGTAGGACTGGAACCTACAGCTATGATGGGCAAGTGCCTGGTAGGACTGGAACCTACAGCTATGATGGGCAAGTGCCTGGTAGGACTGGAACCTACAGCTATGAGGGGCAAGTGTCTGGTAGGACTGGAACCTACAGCTATGAGGGGCAAGTGTCTGGTAGGACTGGAACCTACAGCTATGAGGGGCAAGTGCCTGGTAGGACTGGAACCTACAGCCTATGATTGGCAAGTGCCTGGTAGGACTGGAACCTACAGCTATGAGGGGCAAGTGTCTGGTAGGACTGGAACCTACAGCTATGAGGGGCAAGTGCCTGGTAGGACTGGAACCTACAGCTATGAGGGGCAAGTGCCTGGTAGGACTGGAACCTACAGCTATGAGGGCAAGTGCCTGGTAGGACTGGAACCTACAGCTATGAGGGGCAAGTGTCTGGTAGGACTGGAACCTACAGCTATGAGGGCAAGTGCCTGGTAGGACTGGAACCTACAGCTATGAGGGGCAAGTGCCTGGTAGGACTGGAACCCACAGCTATGAGGGCAAGTGCCTGGTAGGACTGGAACCCACAGCTATGAGGGGCAAGTGCCTGGTAGGACTGGAACCTACAGCTATGAGGGGCAAGTGCCTGGTAGGGACTGGAACCCACAGCTATGAGGGGCAAAGTGCCTGGTAGGACTGGAACCCACAGCTATGAGGGCAAGTGTCTGGTAGGACTGGAACCTACAGCTATGAGGGGCAAGTGTCTGGTAGGACTGGAACCTACAGCTATGAGGGGCAAGTGTCTGGTAGGACTGGAACCTACAGCTATGAGGGGCAAGTGTCTGGTAGGACTGGAACCTACAGCTATGAGGGGCAAGTGCCTGGTAGGACTGGAACCTACAGCTATGAGGGGCAAGTGCCTGGTAGGACTGGAACCTACAGCTATAGGGGCAAGTGCCTGGTAGGACTGGAACCTACAGCTATGAGGGGCAAGTGCCTGGTAGGACTGGAACTACAGCTATGAGGGGGCAAGTGCCTGGTAGGACTGGAACCTACAGCTATGAGGGGCAAGTGCCTGGTAGGACTGGAACCTACAGCTATGAGGGGCAAGTGCCTGGTAGGACTGGAACCTACAGCTATGAGGGCAAGTGCCTGGTAGGACTGGAACCTACAGCTATGAGGGGCAAGTGCCTGGTAGGACTGGAACCTACAGCTATGAGGGGCAAGTGCCTGGTAGGACTGGAACCTACAGCTATGAGGGGCAAGTGCCTGGTAGGACTGGAACCTACAGCTATGAGGGGCAAGTGCCTGGTAGGACTGGAACCCACAGCTATGAGGGGCAAGTGCCTGGTAGGACTGGAACCTACAGCTATGAGGGGCAAGTGCCTGGTAGGACTGGAACCTACAGCTATGAGGGGCAAGTGCCTGGTAGGACTGGAACCTACAGCTATGAGGGGCAAGTGCCTGGTAGGACTGGAACCTACAGCTATGAGGGGCAAGTGCCTGGTAGGACTGGAACCTACAGCTATGAGGGCAAGTTGCCTGGTAGGACTGGAACTACAGCTATGAGGGGCAAGTGCCTGGTAGGACTGGAACCCACAGCTATGAGGGGCAAGTGCCTGGTAGGACTGGAACCTACAGCTATGAGGGGCAAGTGCCTGGTAGGACTGGAACCTACAGCTATGAGGGGCAAGTGCCTGGTAGGACTGGAACCTACAGCTATGAGGGGCAAGTGCCTGGTAGGACTGGAACCTACAGCTATGAGGGGCAAGTGCCTGGTAGGACTGGAACCTACAGCTATGAGGGGCAAGTGCCTGGTAGGACTGGAACCTACAGCTATGAGGGGCAAGTGATTTGAAGCCAAATTGAACTTGACCAATTATAGAAATACTGCGACATTTTGTTCACCCGTTTAGCCCAATAAAGACAGCATGGAATTTGTTATCCCGGGATTGTGGAGTCGATCTTCGGACAAGGGGAAATTTCTTCAATGACAATTAATCTCACAATTTACTGGTCATTTGTCTCTTACCCCTGATACAGAAATCATGTGGTCAGTCATTTGTCTCTGACCCCTGATACAGAAATCATGTGGTCAGTCATTTGTCTCTGACCCCTGATACAGAAATCATGTGGTCAGTCATTTGTCTCTCACCCCTGATACAGAAATCATGTGGTCAGTCATTTGTCTCTCACCCCTGATACAGAAATCATGTGGTCAGTCATGTGTCTCTCACCCCTGATACAGAAATCATGTGGTCAGTCATTTGTCTCTCACCCCTGATACAGAAATCATGTGGTCAGTCATTTGTCTCTCACCCCTGATACAGAAATCATGTGGTCAGTCATTTGTCTCTCACCCCTGATACAGAAATCATGTGGTCAGTCATTTGTCTCTCACCCCTGATACAGAAATCATGTGGTCAGTCATTTGTCTCTGACCCCTGATACAGAAATCATGTGGTCAGTCATTTGTCTCTCACCCCTGATACAGAAATCATGTGGTCAGTCATTTGTCTCTCACCCCTGATACAGAAATCATGTGGTCAGTCATTTGTCTCTCACCCCTGATACAGAAATCATGTGGTCAGTCATTTGTCTCTGACCCCTGATACAGAAATCATGTGGTCAGTCATTTGTCTCTCACCCCTGATACAGAAATCATGTGGTCAGTCATTTGTCTCTCACCCCTGATACAGAAATCATGTGGTCAGTCATTTGTCTCTCACCCCTGATACAGAAATCATGTGGTCAGTCATTTGTCTCTGACCCCTGATACAGAAATCATGTGGTCAGTCATTTGTCTCTGACCCCTGATACAGAAATCATGTGGTCAGTCATTTGTCTCTGACCCCTGATACAGAAATCATGTGGTCAGTCATTTGTCTCTGACCCCTGATACAGAAATCATGTGGTCAGTCATTTGTCTCTTACCCCTGATACAGAAATCATGTGGTAAGTCATTTGTCTCTTACCCCTGATACAGAAATCATGTGGTCAGTCATTTGTCTCTTACCCCTGATACAGAAATCATGTGGTCAGTCATTTGTCTCTTACCCCTGATACAGAAATCATGTGGTCAGTCATTTGTCTCTCACCCCTGATACAGAAATCATGTGGTCAGTCATTTGTCTCTCACCCCTGATACAGAAATCATGTGGTCAGTCATGTGTCTCTGACCCATGATACAGAAATCATGTGGTCAGTCATTGTCTCTGACCCCTGATACAGAAATCATGTGGTCAGTCATTTGTCTCTGACCCCTGATACAGAAATCATGTGGTAAGTCATTTGTCTCTTACCCCTGATACAGAAATCATGTGGTCAGTCATTTGTCTCTTACCCCTGATACAGAAATCATGTGGTCAGTCATTTGTCTCTCACCCCTGATACAGAAATCATGTGGTCAGTCATTTGTCTCTGACCCCTGATACAGAAATCATGTGGTCAGTCATTTGCCTCTCACCCCTGATACAGAAATCATGTGGTCAGTCATTTGCCTCTCACCCCTGATACAGAAATCATGTGGTCAGTCATTTGTCTCTGACCCCTGATACAGAAATCATGTGGTCAGTCATTTGTCTCTCACTCCTGATAAGAAATCATGTGGTCAGTCATTTGTCTCTTACCCCTGATACAGAAATCATGTGGTCAGTCATTTGGTAGTTTGGTAATTATTGGTTAGTTATCTAGAAAAACTGGTAATGAAATAACTGGTAAGGTGGAACAACCACCAAGATATGACTCAATGAAATAACTGAGCTGTTTACACTTATAAATCTTATAAACTTATAAACTCTTAAGTTGTTTACACTTACACCCTTCCCAAGCTAATAAAATGATTATTCATATAAAATATACCTTCCAGTAACTCCATCTGTTGTTTAACAAGGAGTTGATCAACCTGACAGAGATATTCAAGTCCAGGAGGACAACCTGGAATACCCTCAGGTCTGGCCATCCACTGACCTACTGCTGGCTGACCATGTATCATTCCTATAAATACATTACATATAATTATATTACAATTCTAAACAGTTTTTTTCCCTCATATTTTTATAGCAATATTGTTTTGTTATGAAAATGCAGCCAATACATCTACCAAGTATTAACCTAATACTTGTAATAACAGGCCCAATTGTCTTGAAATATTCAAGCTTTACAAGAGCACCACATTGGGAGTGTGAGGGGGGGATGAACATTTGTTTGAGAAGTCAATAATGATCTTTCAATTAGAGAAGAGACCCAAGTTTCACTAAATAAAACTTAAATGTGTTTTCCTATATATGTCATAAATACCAACCTGGTGGGGCACCATATGGAGCCTGTCCTGGTGGTGCACCATATGGAGCCTGTCCTGGTGGGACACCATATGGAGCCTGTCCTGGTGGTGCACCATATGGAGCCTGTCCAAACTGTGGTTGTCCAGCATAACCTTGTGGTGGCTGGCCATATGCTGGTTGACCATAGGCTGGTTGTTGTGGTGCTCCTGTAATATAAAAGTTATTCATAACTCATCTTTATTAAATAACTCATTACATCTGTATTACATAACTCATCACATCTGTATTACATAACCCATTACATTTGTATAACATAACTCTTCTGTATAACATAACCCATTACATCTATATTACATAACCCATTACATCTGTATAGCATAACCCTTTACATTTGTATAACATAACTCATCTGTATAACATAACCAATAATTACATCTGTATAACATAACCCATTACATCTGTATAGCATAACCCATTACATTTGTATAACATAACTCATCAGTATAACATAACCAATAATTACATCTGTATAACATAACCCATTACATCTGTATAGCATAACCCATTACATTTGTATAACATAACTCATCTGTATAACATAACCAATTACATCTGTAGTGCATAACCCATTACAGCTGTGTAAGATAACCCATAACAGCTGTGTTACATAACCCATTACATCTTTATGACATAACGCATTACATTTGTATAACATAACTCTTCTGTATAACATAGGCCATTACATCTATATTACATAACCCATTACATCTGTATAGCATAACCCATTACATTTGTATAACATAACTCATCTGTAAAACATAACCCATAATTACATCTGTATAAAATAAACCATTACATCTGTAGTACATAACCCATTACATTTGTATAACATAACGCATCTGTATAACATAACCCATTACATCTGTAGTGCATAACCTATTAAAGCTGTGTAACATAACCCACTACAGCTGTGTAACATAACCCATTACATCTGTATAACATAACTCATTACATCTGTAGTACATAACCCATTACATCTGTATAACTTAACCCATAACATCTGTAGAACATAACCCATTACATCTGTATAACATAACCCATTACATCTGTAGTACATAACCTATTACATCTGTATAACATAACCCATTATATCTGTAGTACATAACCCATTACATCTGTAGTACATAACCCATTATATCTGTATAACATAACCCATTACATCTGTAGTACAAAACTCATTACATCTGTAGTACATAACTCATTACATCTGTATAACATAACCCATTACATCTGTATAACATAACCCATTACATCTGTAGTACATAACTCATTACATCTGTAGTACATAACCCATTATATCTGTAGTACATAACCCATTATATCTGTAGTATATAACCCATTACATCTGTATAACATAACCCATTACATCTGTATTACATAACCCATTACATCTGTAGTACATAACCCATTACATCTGTAGTATATAACCCATTACATCTGTATAACATAACCCATTACCTCTGTATTACATAACCCATTACATCTGTAGTACATAAATTATGATAGGGTTATGGCTACATGCAGTTTCAGATATCTTATAAATAGGGTAATAGCTACAAGCAGTTTCACCTATATTATAAATAGGGTAATGTCTACATGCAGTATCACCCATGTTACAAATAGTTTCACCTATGTTATAAAAAGGGATATGGCTACAAGCAGTTTCAATTATATTATAAAAAGGCTTATGTCTACAGGCAGTTTCACCTATGTCATTAATAGGGTTATGGCTACAATCAGTTTCACCTATCTTATAAATAGGATTATGGCTACAAGATTATTAAAGGTGATTCAAACCCCAATCTGCCACCTTCTTTTTTTGAAAAATAAGTGGTCTGAAAAGCAATCCCAAACAGGGTCACTACATAAGCTTGCTATAAACTAAGTTTGATCATAATATTTTATTCCTCACCTTAGTTATTTTCTGGAAACCATTTTTCTATCTTAAGTAACAGTAATCTTGACCTTAAACCTAGAGGGGGGCAACAGCAATCCCAAGGTAGGTCTCTTCATAAACTTGCTATTTTCCAAGTTTAAAATTACAATATATCATTCCTAACTTGTTACATTCAAAAACCATTTTTCTAACCATTTTTGATCAAAGGGGGTCAAAATCTATCCCAAGCAAAGTTTCCTCATTAGTTTGCTTAAATACTAAATTTGTTTACAATTGCTAACTCAAGTTAGTCTAGTTATTGTCCGGAATAAATATTTCTATATTTAGTTTTGTAACCTTGACCGTAACACTATGTTCACAACGAGGAGCCGTGTCATCACAAAACCAACATAATGGGTTTGTGACCAGCATGGATCCAGACCAGGATAAATGCTGTTCACTAACAACTCTATAACAAGTAGAAAAACTGACAGCAAACAGCATGGATCCTAATCAGACTGCGCAGATGTGCAGGCTGGTCTGGATCCATGCTGGTCGCAAACCCATTATGTTGGTGTTGTCATGACACGGCTCATATAAGCTGATAATAATATACCAAGTTTTATTTCATAGATATTAATATATCCTAAGTTCCTAACCCTATATGCAATAAAATGTTAAACAAAGAAATGAAAGTAGAATTGAAAACATCAACATGTCAGGAAAATCTTAATGTGTGAAAATGAAAAAAAACCCTACTTTTTAGACTTTAATTTTATCTTTAGTACCCATGTTACAATACACATACATGTAAAATGTAAAAACTTTGCTTATATATATGTCTAGTCAATAATAATGTTAAGTATATACTATAATGTAGCAGACAATATAAAACATGTTCTAGTGAAGAAATAAGGTAAATTTTTACCCTTGATAACACATCATTCTGTACATTATTATCTTTATTACATACCTTTTTCCATTATTATATATAGAACACTTGCATTAGTTAAATCCTGTTTCAGGATTTAATAGAAATATATAAATAAAATGTTGATAATAAGATTTCACAATATGAAAATACAAAAGTCCAATGACTCAACTTGGTCACATGATTCAATCAATATTGTATGTTAAATTTTTTACATTTTTCGGATATATATGTTAACATTTTAGGAGGGAAAAAAAAAAGGTAGCATTAGTTCTTTATCTTGTAAGATATGCACTATCAATTCAGTGTATTTTAGTTTAAATGTTTACACAAAATAAGTTTTAAACTTCTGGGTTTATAAATGACATATATAATACACATTGTAAGTGGTTTTATCTATAGAAATTTGCCAGCATAGAAAACTTAATGTACTGTATGTATTGTTTGATTTTATTAACCTGTCAATTACAAATAGAAAAGACCTGGTCATGAAGTTTAAATAACACTGAGAGGTTTTTGATGAAATATGTTGTTATGAGCAACGGCTTTTAGTTGATTTTGATGTAATAATAATAAAACAAATTCTTCTATTTTACAGGGGTAAGGATAGACAAATGACTAATTATTCAATTTTTTGTCCAGTATCCAGAATACTGAGTACCCCATTTATGAGGAATTGTTTCCAAAGAAAATAGAATGGAAAAATTTGGGCCTCTGAAATACGTCCAGTTTACTGAGGATTCTCTTTTAGTGGAAATAATTTGTTGCTATGGTTTGATTTCTTGCATTAAAATCACTAAACTTGTATTAAAATTGGTAAAATGAGAGAAAATCTCTCACAAACATAACCAAATATACATGTAATTGTTTCCTGTCATACACAAATTCAGCTGCCCGTGTTTAATTCAAACGCTGATGCTTCACACTTGTCATCCATATAAGTCAATCAGAGAGCAAGTTATTCCTATATTCTACATGTAGTTGATTACAAACATTTATGTAATTGGTATATAAATTATATATGAGGCAAATGCTGCAAAATCAACACATTTTAATGTTATTACTAACACATTTCAAATGATGTTTGGATTTTGGAAAAAACGTGTTGTAATAATAGCCCCCTTTTGGAAAATGTTTAGCCCCGGGGGCGTTTAATAGGAATTTTACGGTATACTTATACTTACCAGATTTTAAATGTTGTTTACACCGAGCTAATTCTGCCGTGTTAAATATTTCAACAATAGATCTATATGCATTTTTACTGATAAAAATCAGCAGAACATATCTCAAATTGCAGTGGCATACCATGTTAATTGTACCAGTTATAATGTTCTTTGGGAAATATTTATATGCATTTTAGGAGATAATCATTTGAAAATAATTATAATGTTTAGGCTTTTTGTCAAAAGTTTGAATTGTCAATAATTTTTACTCACCCATCAAGGAAAATTGAATCTGTCTAGAAAAAACTCAATTTTGTCATTAAAATTAGCCAAATGATAAACTCAGTAACTATCCTTGACATAATAATACCACATATAAATCTTGTTTTATCAAATTTACACAAAACAAATTAAGGATATAATTAATACAATAGTAAAGCTGAATTACATTATCATACAGTTTCTAGTGGGACATCATAAATTATGTAAGTGAAAAACTTCTCAAACAATACTTGAAGAATTCATGGAAGTAATGATAATTTCTAAATTAACTTGATAACACCTTAGGGTTATATTAATCATGCCCATATTATTCGGGGTTATATAAAACATATCCAATGGTATTACATTTATATGTAATGTAATCTTTTAGTATATACGTTATACCTGCAATGTTATTAACTTAGGGTTATATAAATAATATGCCCTGGTACTATAATCTTTGGGTCATGTAATCCATACCCCCAGTGTTATAACTTAGGGTTATATAAATCATTCCCCTGGTATTATAATCTTTTGGTAATATAATTCATACCCCCAGTGTTATAACTTAGGGTTATATAAATCATTCCCCTGGTATTATAATCTTTTGGTAATATAATTCATACCCCCAGTGTTATAACTTAGGGTTATATAAATTATTCCCCTGGTATTATAATTTTTTGGTAATATAATTCATACCCCCAGTGTTATAACTTAGGGTTATATAAATCATTCCCCTGGTATTATAATCTTTTGGTAATATAATTCATACCCCCAGTGTTATAACTTAGGGTTATATAAATCATTCCCCTGGTATTATAATCTTTTGGTAATATAATTCATACCCCCAGTGTTATAACTTAGGGTTATATAAATCATTCCCCTGGTATTATAATCTTTTGGTAATATATAATTCATACCCCCAGTGTTATAACTTAGGGTTATATAAATCATTCCCCTGGTATTATAATCTTTTTGGTAATATTAGTTATAAACTTAGGGTTATATAAATTATTCCCCTGGTATTATAATCTTTTGGTAATATAAGTCATACCTGCCCATTCCCCTGGTATTATAATCTTTTGGTAATATAAGTCATACCTGCAGTGTAATAAACTTAGGGTTATATAAAACCTTAACCAGGTATTATAATCTTCTGATAATATAAGGCATACCCCCAGTGTTATAAACTTAGGGTTATATAAACCATTCCCCTGGTATTATAATCTTTTGGTAATATAAGTTATAAAATTAGGGTTATATAAATCATTCCCCTGGTTTTATAATCTTTTGGTAATATAATTCATACCCCCAGTGTTATAACTTAGGGTTATATAAATCATTCCCCTGGTATTATAATCTTTTGGTAATATAATTCATACCCCCAGTGTTATAACTTAGGGTTATATAAATCATTCCCCTGGTATTATAATCTTTTGGTAATATAATTCATACCCCCAGTGTTATAACTTAGGGTTATATAAATTATTCCCCTGGTATTATAATTTTTTGGTAATATAATTCATACCCCCAGTGTTATAACTTAGGGTTATATAAATTATTCCCCTGGTATTATAATTTTTTGGTAATATAAGTCATACCTGCCCATTCCCCTGGTATTATAATCTTTTGGTAATATATTAGTCATACCTGCAGTGTTATAAACTTAGGGTTATATAATACATTCCCCTGGTATTATAATCTTTTGGTAATATAAGTCATACCTGCAGTGTTATATAAAACATTACCCAAGTATTATAATCTTTTGGTAATATAAGGCATACCCCCAGTGTTATAAACTTAGGGTTATATAATACATTCCCCTGGTATTATAATCTTTTGGTAATATAAGTCATACCTGCAGTGTTATATAAAACATTACCCAAGTATTATAATCTTTTGGTAATATAAGGCATACCCCCAGTGTAATAAACTTAGGGTTTTCTTGCATATCAGACAGGATTATCTACCATTTACACTGGTGCTTGAAAACCCTGTCTTACACCCCCCATGTAAGACAAGTTGTGTGCTTTAAATGAGTCGTCATTGCTGCGCGCCTTTTATGAATGAATTGCGTTCTTAGGATGACGTCACTTAACTGTTATGAATGAAGTTGTACGTTCATACGCTACTATAAGAAAAAAGTGCGTAATGAGAATACCACGTTTTCGTAATTTCTGTTCTGAAAATAATTGATACCAAATATGCAAGAAAAAGAATCAAACACTGGCGGTCGGTACAGACGGGAATATCTAGCTCTCGGGTGACTGTTTAGCAGAAACTCGGCAGAGCCTCGTTTCCGCCGTAAACAGTCACTCTCGAGCTAGATATTCCGATCTGTACCGGCAGCCAGTGTAAGATTCATATAATATAAAACATTACCCTGGTATTATAATCTTTTGGTAATATAAGGCATACCCCCAGTGTTATAAACTTAGGCTTATATAATACATTCCCTTAGTATTATAACCTTAAGGTCATTTAAATTATGCCCATGGCATCATAACACTAAGGTTATATCAGTCATGTCCCCCTTGTCATAATGTAAGCAGTGTTGCATCTAGAATTTCAAAATTATGGGGGATTGTCCCCCACTCAATTGAAAAATGTGGGGGATTTGAAAAAAATGTGGGGGACATACATTACCTTACAATATGACATACAGAATAGAGTTCATTTATTTTACATTCAGGCATTTTTGACAGCTATCGTACGCTCAAAAACGTAAGTAGAAAAAATAAAATATTGATGAATACTACAAAACACACGCGAGATGACTTAGTCGGCTGCTACATGCGATTTAGTACGTATTTTAGTCACAACCACGAGTGAAAACAAACATGGCTGAAGCATTTAAGATATGATGAAGATAAACTGAATTAAGTTGAAAAGATTGTCAGATGCACGACTTGGCGCACACTGACTTCAATAAAATGCGCGATCTGCATAAAAAATGCGCAAATCGCGCAATCACGCGGCCTAGATGCAACACTGTGTAAGGGTTGTATAAAGCATGCCCCCTTGTGTTGTAAATGCCCCTGGTGTTATATTAAATCATGCCCCTCTTGTTATAAACTTAGGGTTATAAAAATTATGCCCTGGAATTATAAACATAGGTATACAATGAAGTATGCCCTTTGTACACTGTATTATAAATAGCATTGCAGAATTCATGAAAAAAAAATATATTGAAGAATAGGATATTTGAGAACAATAAATAATGTGATTTGCTGTAAAATATGCCTGTAGTCCAAGAACTAAAATACTCATCTAAATACTTATTTACATAAGTTCATCTCATTTCATTTTGTTATTTAAGTACTGAGTAAACAGAAGAAAGTCTGCTCAAAAGAACATTAATATATTACCATATGCTGGTGGTTGTTGGGCCATCTTTAATAAATTACTGTCTTTCTGAAACAATAAAAAAAATCAATCAAAATTCAGTGCGTAAAATTCAATGTTGTTTATATCAATCTATTCTATAAAAAATTGAAAGGTTAAGCTAGATTGGTATTTTTGTTTTAAGATCAACTACCCTCATCATTCAGGTATATTTTGGGTTTAGTGTTATTAGACTGTGCATCCGCCACCGAGCGAGAATGATGCTGGGTTTACGAAAGAATATATATATATATATCATTCTTTTATGAAATGATTAAGTGTCTGCACTCCATAATCAACTTAGTTAATACATCAGCACATTCAACCAATTATATTCTTTGAACTAAAATATTTATCAACGGCAACAAGAGTTGTCCCCCCTTAACTTTTT